GGGCGAAATGGATTAATTCGCCTAGCACCCCTAAGGAACTGGATGACCAGGTTATGCTTTCCCACGGTGCCGCCAGCTACCGCGCTATGATAAGCGGAGATGGCGGCCACGTAAACCTTGAGAGTGGAGGGCGACAGCCTGCTGTCCAACTTCTCTTGAAGGAAAGAGAGCACAACACTAATCTGGCAATTTCGGGGGTCTTCTCTGCGAGAGACGCACCATTCAGTGAATAGACTCCACTTCAGGGCGTAGGCGCGCCTCGTGGAGGGGGCTCTAGCCTGAGTGATGGTATTAACCACCGCAGTCGGTAGGTTACCTAAGTCTTCCTCGCGTCTAGGGACCACACGTGGAGGTTCCAAAGATCGGGGCGAGGGTGCCAGATGGTGCCCTGTCCCTGAGAGAGTAGGTCCTCTCTCAAAGGGATCCGCCAGGGGAGGGCCGTCGCGAGGAGTGAGAGCTCTGATATCCAGGTCCGGTTGGGCCAAAGGGGTGCAACTAGCAGAACCTGTTCCTCGTCCTCCCTGACCTTGCACAGAAACTGCGCGAGCAGGCTCACTGGGGGAAACGCATACTTGCGCATGCCCCGAGGCCAGCTGTGGGCCAGTGCATCCGTGCCGAGAGAGCCCTCGGTCAGGGAAAAAAACAACTGGCAGTGAGCGTTCTCGGGGGAAGCAAACAGATCGATCTGGGCCTCCCCGAATCGCGCCCATATCAGCTGAACAGACTCGGGGTGGAGTCTCCATTCTCCAGGGCGTAACAGCTGTCGTGAGAGCGCATCGGCTGCACGATTGAGCGTGCCTGGGACGTGAATGGCGCGCAGCGATTTCAGCCGCGGGTGACTCCAGAGGAGCAGACGGCGGGCGAGCTGAGACATGCGGCGAGAGCGCATACCCCCCATGCGGTTGATATACGCCGCCGCCGCCGTACTGTCCGTCCTGACCAGCACGTGTTGCCGCTCCAGCACCGGTAAAAAGCGGTGGAGAGCGAGGAACACTGCCAACAGCTCTAGGCGATTGATATGCCAATGCAGCTGGGCACCCTTCCAGAGGCCCGCAGCCGCATGCCCGCGACACACGGCCCCCCAACCCGTGTTGGAAGCGTCTGTTGAAACAACAACATGGCTGGACGCCTGTCCTAGAGGCACACCGGCCTGTAGGAACGAGGGGTCGTTCCAAGGGCTGAGGGCGCAGCGACACAGCGCAGTAACCGAGACCCGGTGTGTGCCCGCGTGCCATGCGCGTCTGGGGACCCGATCGTGAAGCCAGTGCTGAAGTGGTCTCATATGGAGCAACCCGAGCGGCGTGACGGCGGCTGCGGATGCCATATGCCCCAGGAGCCTCTGAAAGAACTTCAGTGGGACCACTAGTTTGCTGTCGAGCTCCCTCAGACAGTTCAGCAACAGGCGAGCGCGTTCCTCGGAGAGGTGCGCTACCATGGTGATCGAGGCCAGCTCCATCCCGAGAAAAGAAATCCTCTGCACGGGGGCGAGTTTGCTCTTTTCTCGGTTGACCTGAAGCCCCAGTAGGCGGAGATGCCGAAGCACCTCGTCCCTGTGCACAATCAATTGCTCCCGCGAGTGGGCTAAAATCAGCCAGTCGTCGAGATAACTGAGTATGCGAATGCCCGCGAGCCGAAGGGGCGCTAGGGCACCCTCCGCGAGTTTGGTGAAGACCCGCGGAGACAGAGAGAGCCCGAAGGGGAGGACCTTGTACTGCCACGCTCGACCCTCGAACGCAAACCGCAGAAATTGGCGGTGGCGTGGAAGAATGGAGACATGGAAATACGCGTCCTTCAGGTCTATGGCTGCAAACCAATCCCGAGGACGAACGCATTGGAGAATGCGCCTCTGCGTGAGCATTCTGAACGGCAGCTTGTGCAGACAGCGGTTCAAAACGCGCAGATCTAGGATTGGCCGTGACCCACCGCTCTTTTTGGGTACGATGAAGTATGGGCTGTAAAACCCACTCTCCATCTCGGCTGGAGGAACCGGCTCGATTGCACCCTTCGCCAGGAGGGCAGCAATCTCCTCTCGCAAGACAGGGGCGGACAGGGGGTTGACCCTGGAGAAATACACGCCCGTAAACTTGGGGGGCCGTTTCGCGAACTGAATCGCGTAACCGAGTCTGATTGTGCGTATGAGCCACCGCGAGGGGCTGGCCCGCGCTAACCAGGCAGGCAGAGCCCTCGCTAATGGAGTCATCGCTACAATCGCTGACGTACCAGCGGTGGGGCAGCGCGGAGTGGGTGTGCTGATCCGGGAAGCACGAGGGTCCCGCGGAAAAGCTGGAGAAGAGCGATTCGCTCTGGCTCCGCACCCTGACTCCGGAGAGGGGGCTGGAGGGCTGAGGGAAGGGAGACCGTCCCCCCAGCGCTCGTGAGCCACTGGCGAAGCACGTAGAGTCTGCAAGCCGGAAGGCAGCGTGTCCCGGACTGGCAGAACTCGTGCAGTCACATCCGGGGAAGGGAAAAAGTGCTCTTTTACTGATGTTTTGGTGGCACTGAAAAGTACCGTTGTTATCGGGGCCCCGCCCTCCAGCGGGGAAAGAGCAAGTTTCCTCTTCTCCGGATGGCCTGTCTCAGGGACGCTTCGCGGTCCGTTTACCGGACTTAACGGCGCCCTGGGCAGGAGGGGCTGCCTGCTTTCGAGGTGAACGCCGCGCCCGCTTGGCCGGAGGCGCAGGCGGGGGCGGGGCAGCACTCGTTGGCGGGCGCCCTCGGCGAGGAACAGCGGAGGTGGATGGCTCGGCGGGCGGAGCGGGCTTACGGCCACGCCGATAGATGACATTGCCCATCGCATCCGACTGCTCTTTCACCGCCTTGAATTCCTGGGTGAATTCACCGACGGTGTCGCCGAACAGGCCAGCCTGGGATATGGGCGAGTCAAGAAAGCGAACTTTGTCAACGTCGCGCATATCGGCCAGGTTTAGCCAGAGGTGGCGTTCCTGAACCACAAGTGTGGACATCGTCCTCCCCAGCGCACACGCGGCGGACTTAGTAGTCCGAAGAGCATAGTCGGTCGCGGTGCGCAGCTCATGTAATAAGCTTGGGTTGGACCCGCCCTCGTGCAGCTCGGCCAGCGCCTGCGCTTGGTAGCGCTGGTAGGTGGCCATCGCGTGCAAAGCAGAAGCAGCCTGGCCCGCAGCCTTATAAGCTCTGGCTCCGAGGGAGGCAGACAACCTACAGGCTTTGGACGGGAGGCGGGGCAAACCCCGCCACGTAGAGGCGCCGCGCAGACAAAGATTGACCGCGATAGCGCGCTCCACTGACGGGATCGCCTCATACCCCCTGGCAGCTCCGCCGTCAAGGGCGGTGAGGGCGGAGGCACTCGCAGCACGGGCAGAGAAAGGTGCCCTCCAGGACTGCGTGAGCCTACTGTGCACTTCCGGGAAGAAGGGGACGAGAGGCTTCGAAGGCTTCGCCTTCTGGTCCTCTACGTAGCACCCATCTAGTCGGTCCGGCCGCGGAGCTGGGGGATAAACCATCTCCAACCCCACGGCCGAAGCAGCCCGGGAAAGCACGGCTAACATGTCCGCTTCAGGATCCGATTTGACAGCGCTCACCTGCCCGGAGGGGGCGAGCGGGTCCGGATCTTCGTCGGACAGTGAAAGCCCACCCTCCGATGCCGCGGAGGACATCTGATCTCCGGTGTCAGCGAGTGTGAGAGCTACCATCTGGTTAGACGGATCACTCTCACCACCCGAAGCTTGGATGGAGCGCCGTGAGGAGCGAGAGGTCCGCGAGCCCGTGGGCGGCGGATTAGCTCCCGCTGAAACCCTCAGATCTGCCCGAGCGCCCGCTGCTTTTTTAGAACAGGAGGCAACTGGGGTGGCTCGCTCTCTTGCGAAAGTTAGCCGCGATCTTAGCTGTGCAACGGTCATGGCATCGCAATGACGACATGAACCGCCCGCGAGCACCGCATTAACATGCTGGACCCCCAAACATGCAATGCAGTGATCGTGTCCATCATCCGGAGACAGGAAACCCCCGCATCCAGAAACGCACAGTCGGAGCGCCATCCTGAAAAGGACGTGCTGCACGACTGTGTTGCTCTTTTAGGAAAGTTGCAACTATACGCACCGCTCTGGAGGACCGGACCCAAAGAACCGCAGGCAAGGGAGTAACCCAGCTCGACCGTCTGCCACCGCGAAGACCCACTCTGGACCGGGAGACACACTCGTTCGCTCTGAAGTGCTGATCAGCAAGAGGAACCCTCATCGACTCACTCAGAAAGGATCTGAAGCGAAAAGGATGGCGTCTGCTGGCTTCAGGTGTGCTTATATGCTGAGATGATTGCAGATGTCGCACACCTGCGCAAGCTTACGCTGCCAATTAATTTCATTCATTGGCCCGTTCAATACTCTCCAGATAAGCGGCTTCTGATCCGAATCCTCCCATTCATGGCACTGAAGTTCCCCAACCGAAGGGGAACTGTAGTTCCAGGACCCACTAGTAAAAAAAAAAAAAAAAAAAAATTGTGTGTGTGTGTATATATATATATATATATATATATATATATATATATATATATATATATATATATATATACGACAAGAAACAGAATGAATGAATATATATAAATAAATAAGTAAATAAATATATATATAATTATGAAAAATGGGGTTGCATCTGGAAGGGCATCCGCTGTATATAATATATATATATATATATATATATATATATTTTTACTAGTGGGTCCTGGAACTACTATATATATATATATATATATATATATATATATATATATATATAAAATAGAAAAAATCTAAAATTTTAAAGTACATGTCATGTACACAATACATAGTTCTAAAAAATCTAAAATTTTAAAGTACATGTCATGTACACAATATATAGTTTCATTTTTACAAAAATACTCTGTGATCTTATAGACCTGTGATCTTAAGTTTTACTGAAAATAATAGCTACTTTTCTGGTTCACCTTTGGAACACAGTTTTGTTTTCCTGGTTTGCTTTCTAATCTGAAGCGCTGTTTCTGTTCACAGCTGGAGATGTTCTGTGAAGTGATGACCATGCAGCAGGTTGGATATGTCATGCTGATGGACTACCTGCAGAATAACTACAGAAATCAGCAGGAGCAGTTCATGGGACAGGTCTTCTCGTCATACACTGGCGTCGAGGAGGTCCACACTCCGAGTATGTACTATACTAACACACATTCGCACATAAACAAACTAGGGTAGCATGCGTCTGGAATCATTCATTCTGAAGCTCTTAAAGCAGTCAGGCAGTTTGAGGGTCATGGATCCAATTAGCCTTCAATGCGAAGCTAATCCCAAACAACTGCTTCTCAATTAAATAAGGTTTCTATTTTTACATGACAAAGCCCTCTAGACATTTTCCTACTTTCTATTTATAAATATAGACAGACATTTGGCCCATTTTTAGACATATTCAGGGTTTTTATGGCCCTTTATGGGTGACTCCATATCATTTCATGGTTGGTTTATATGAATCATTACTAAAAAAAATACAAAACGAAAAGCTGCAATTAATATTTTACTGTAAAAATATTTTTCAACGTTTTAAATTGGGCCATTTTTGTGTGGATTCAGTATGTTCTCTCCGTGTTTACATGAGTTTCCTCCTGGTGCTCCAGTTTCCCCCACAGTCCAAAGACATGCTCTATAAGTGAATTGGATTAACTAAACTGGCTGTAGTGTATGAGTGTGTGTGTAAATGAGAGAGTATGAGTGTTTCCCAGTACTGGGTGGCGGCTGGATGGGAATCCTTTGCGTAAAACAAGCCAGAATAGTTGGCGGTTCATTCCACTGTGGCGACCTCTGAAACAGAGACTAAGCCGAAAGAAAATGAATATTTTAAATTGTTAATATAGATAATCATAGCATGTTTTACAAGAATTTTCACTTAAACGTTACCTTTAATTTATTGCTAGGATTTTACTAAGATGTAATTTTTTAAGTGTGTAATTTTACCTTCATGTTTTTGGAGCCAAACTAGTAAGAAAAAAGTGATATATATTTTATATATTTATTGAAATATCCAAATATATTGATCCCTAAACTGTAAATCCTATTAAGTTGGGACTACTCAAATGATTTGAGCAAAGTGATTCCCTCTATTCGTTTGAGTTATGGGAAATCAAAAACTCAATTAACTGAGTTGACCAAATGTGGTTTCTTCATTGAACTAACTTAAGTGTTTAATCACAGATAACTTACATTTTTATATACAGATTACTTAAAATAGCTAATAGACTAAACTCTAAACATCCACAATTTTCAGCTTTTATATTCTTTACTTACTACCAGGGCCGTTTGTATCAAAGTTGATATTTAGATGTACCATGTTGGTGTTTCGTAACATCTAATTTTTACGAGGTGGGTCGTTAGTCCAACGCTCAACCCACAACTTAGAGGACCAGATCATACACACATACACTGCGGACAATTTAGTTTACCTAATTCACCTATAAATCATGTCTTTGCAAACTCCACACAGAAATGCCAACTGAACCAGCCAGGAATCAAACCAGCAACTGTTTTACTATGAGGTGACAATGCTACCCATTGCGTCACTGTGTCGCCCCTGTGTATATCAATTAAGAAAAATGTATATTAGCATTTAAATATCTACTGACTAATTTAACATTTCTCTTTCGTCAGATAGGTTCAGGTAGGGCCTCTGTCCTGCTGCACTTCAGCAAAATTCAGCATCACACGCAAAATGACCACCTTGTGTCATATAACATATATCGACCAATCAAGCGCAACCAATCATTTTAAATAGAGACATGGTGAATTGTTTAAAGAAATTAAAATGTTAAGTTCAGAGAACTTAAAATATCAATTTTTTTTTCTGCCTAATGAGTGAGCTTAACACACCTGTTTAAGATTTGATGCCAAAACTTGGTATTTTAAGTAATGTTAAGTTATATTAACTTACAGTAATATCTTTAGTAATGACAACAGCGGGGTTTACAGTGTACTTTTAACACATATTTTCATACTGTAATAATTATTAGACATTTAAATAAGAATTTAGACACAAATTTATGTTTAAAAAATGGAAATATAGCTATTTAAAAAAAGTATTGCTGAAAATGCAAGTATGTTTTAATGGTTTAAAAAATAAATTTGGATTTGTATAATGTTAAAAAAAATATGTTCCCTGAAAAGTGTAAGATATTATGCAGAGTTGATGTTTTTGATGAATTATTATTATATTAGATTTTTTGTTTAACAATTTTAATAAATGAAACAGAAATTTCTCAGGAATTTAGAAAAACAGTATTTTCCAGAAATCTTTTTAATTAAAATGATTTTTTGATATTTTAACCGAGAAATTATATTGAAAATCATATAAATAATAAATAAATAAATAAATAGAGCTGTATTTTAAAAACCTATTGAGCAATACCCCCTCTTGTGTTAAGACAATTCTGGAAATTACTTTTAATCCACTTCTAATCTTGACTACTGTATATTGTATGCATATTGATGTGACATTTTTGATTCAGATGAAAATGTAGATTGTTTTTAAAAATAAGACTAACATAAACATTGATGACATGTTCATGTATAATTTCTGTATATTACAATTTTTTACACAAAATTTGTTCAATTATTAGGAGTGTTATTACAAAATGTGTTCTTATCGTCTTTCACAAATCCTTTACGCAGTGAGACCTGTCAATTTCACAGAAGCGCTTTCAAATCTAAACTGGTGTGCGCTCAGACTTTTCACTTTAGCAGATCCATGGTGGAACATCGATGCCCCCATTTCAGATTCCTATGCTACAGGGCAAACTGGCTCGTCTGGCACGTGGGAGTTGCTTTTTCAGAGGCCATCAGCAATGGAAAATGTCCCACTTGTGTCATTTCAAACACAAATACGCTTCAACATGTGTCTTAGCTTAAATTGACTCCCATGGAAAGTCATTTTAAAATCAATGCTGCAATATTACTTTGTAAATACTCACTGATTACTTGTAACCCTTAATTAATTGTGAGGGTGGAAATATGTTAAAAAAAGAATTCAGGGCCAAAGTGTACACTTATCAGTTTCAATTACTGATATTCTCATTTAGACTAGGACACCAAGTGATTTTATGTTTAAAAGATATCTAATAGAAGTCTAAACAAATGTCTTGTCTAAATTTAGGCTGTTGGTGAAGATCTAATAGATGTCTAACTATAGTACAAAACTCGACTAGTCATCAAATACGCAGGTTAGACAGACATCACATGTTTCTGTATTTGATGACTTGTTGGACTATTGTTAGACATCTGTTAGATCAAATTTAGTCTTGTTTTAGCCGAGAGGTCTATGTGTAGACATCTAATTAGACATCTATTAGACTTCTGTTAAACACAAAAATGTGCTTGCTGGGAAGGGAACATAAAGTCAAAAGCAGCCAGCCAAACTAGATTTACTGAACTCCATCACTGTGCTCACAGTATTAACAATGTTTACTCTCATCAATCTTTCTGTCTTCGCATAAAAACAGTTTGGAGTTGCTAGGAAACTGTCTCTTTCTGTTTGCCCCCTCACAGACAGGTTGATTTCAGTTCAAACCTATAAATGCATCTGGATCATCAGGCCACATATTAACACTTACTAATAGAATTATGCCAGCATTTGTTTGTTAGTCAATTTTATCGCATTTTTGGGAAAATTTGTCATCTATGGCATCTATTTGGTCTAGAAGTGTCACAACCCACATCTTGGAACACACGTGGCTTGCGTAAGAAATGATTTTACTTGTAGATTAATCCTTCATTTGTAACGATCGTGGAGAGATCGCCTCATGCATCATTCAAATCACATGTATCAAAGCAGTTAGGCTGTCCTCTAAAATATAATGGTGACGGAAGAATCTGTTTAGAATGTGGTGGGTTTCTTAGGTTATTAAAGGTGTTTTCTGTCACTACTTGTTTATCTTGCATCATCACATACAGTGTAAGCTGCACATTCATTAAAAGATCGAGATCTCAACACCCACGCAACATGAATTATAAATGATGGTGATTTGCATATGTGTATTAATTTGTCCAATCCCTGCATTGAAATCTGAAAACGCAAAAATCAAGAAAGAGATTAAGGGCTCTATTTTGACGGTCCATGCGCAGAGCACAAAACGCAGGGCGCAAACGCTTTCAGGGCGTGTCAGAACGCGTTTTTGCTAATTTAAGGACGGGAAAACCTGCTTTGCGTCATGGCGCATGGTCTAAAAGGGTTGAGTTTATTTTCTTAATGAGTTATAGGTGTGTTTTGAGAATAAACCAATTAGAGTCTCTTCTCCCATTACCTTTAAGAGCCAGCTGCGTCGCGCCAAGAGCGCATTCGCGATTTACAGGACGCAAAGTAAGTCTAAGTGGAAAAAATGAGCATTTCACTAGCAAACAGTTAACAGTTAACAGTTTTTTTTAACAGAAAACTGTTAAACAGAGCATCTACTGCGTGAGAATGAGAGATAATGGATCTACTTTCACTTTCGCTCTTGGACAGGGAAACCTTTACGCACAGACGTCAATTAGTCTATAAATAATTAATTTTGTTAGTTAGGCGCAAGTATTCGTTTCAAAACTATTTCTAAAATTCAGTTCTAATTTCCAGCAAACGAATAAATGAACAATAATAACAAAATGAGCTCACAAACCAGAGCTATAACCTAAAACACATGCTGTGCCCCATATGGACTAAAACCTGACAGGTGGGCAAATCTAAGCTTGTTTTTAATAAAACAAATATAAATATGGATATAATAAATAATACTGCTAATAATAATAACATTATACAAAAGCAAATTGTTATGAATGAACTGAAAAAGCCTCCCGAGATGAAGAAGACATAAAAGCAGTGATTTTTCATATTTATGTAGGCTAGAAAATAATATGTTTTGTAATATTTTAATCCTTTATATTTATATCCTAAATCTATTCTTATTATATCCTATAAATATATCCTTAATATTAAAATTTTTTCATATGTAAAGATATTTGCCTATTGATCTCTTGTGCATATTAAGCAGTGCGTAAGCGAGGCGCAACTCTGCGCCGGAGTTTAGACCGGGTTAGTTTTTTTCTAATGAAAAATCTATTATAGTTTCTCAAAATAGCAACGCGCCAGCGGTCCGCCTCAGAACGCCTCCCTTTTTAGACCAGAACGCCTATGGGCGCACAAATGAGCGCTAATGCATTTGCTATTTAAACAGCGTAGCGCAATGCCTCAAAACAACTCTTGCGCCAAGCTGAAACAACCAAAAGACTATTGCGCCGCGCCTTGCGCCACACTGCGCCGGGTGTATGATAGGGCCCTAAGTGTTCAGTCATTTGAGTTGGTTATTAAGTTACAAACATAGACATAGGCGTACTGGGATAACAGTTTATAGTTTAGATAAAGCCACCGAAGTTTGGTATGCAACAAACCATTTAAGTTCAAAAACTAATCCCAGTGAGTACTGTCAACTTAATCCATTTGAGTAAATGAAGCAATTTGAGCACAGTTGACCCAAATAAATGAAGAGAACTCAAACCAACTAAGTTCTGCAAAACCTAATAAGTTAAGGCAACTCAAACCGTTTGAGGAAACTGATTGCTACAAACCATTTGAGTTAAATAAACTCATCTATAAGAGTACTGTAAACTTACTCCATTTAAATTGAAGTAATTAGGTATTTTTACCTTCAACACTGACATCAAAACTCTTTTCAAATGAGTAGAATTAACTTTCAGTCAATTTTGAGTTAACCACAGTCATTTCATTTGATATAGTTGACTGTTGAGTTTTACAGTGTAATAAATGGAAAGCAAACGACATTTGTCTCCTCCCTTTTTTGGATGATGCAAAAAATTATTCGATCTGTGAAAAAATAATAATAATAATAATGTGATTCAACTGTTAGATTTGTGATCCGTTACACCACTAATTTGGGCATCCATGACATGGCCAGGAAACACATTACAACATGGTTATTATACATATAAATTACTCATAAATACACATGCCAGCACTTTACCTTCTATTGAATTCATGTCAAACATTATGTCAGACTTCTCTATTAAGTAATTTAACAGCAGTCACCAATAATTATATCAATTCAGTTTACACATCAATCTGAGGGTCGTAATACTGAATCCTGGAAAAATGTTGCAATTCTGTGTTTCTCATCAGAAATAAATCCCTTAGCTTAATCCCTTATGAATCCCTTTCCTTACAACCTTTTGACCAGTCCAGTTTTGATTTTGATTGAACACCATCATGCTGTTATACCGTATCTTTCCATATACTCGTTAAGTTTGTAATGGAGCTCAATGCCAAATGACACATGGAGTGAAGACAATGGATTAAAGACTGATTTTTAAAGTAATTATTGTTTGTTGGTAATATAAGTCATGGTTCTGTAACACTAATGTAGTGAACACTTTGCTTAATCCGTGGATGCTTTCTGCCCTCTTGTGTTAGCTAATGGGTGGTGGTAGTAGACTAGAAATGATACACAATACATCACAATAATTTCACTGAGGAACTCTAAATATTCAGAAGTGTCCAAGTGTTTTTTTTAACTTTAATTTTTTGTTAATAAATATTTATTCTTCATATTCATTTCTGCAATGTTATTAAACAATACGCAAATTTTTATATGAGTAATGTACCGTACAGTTCGTTATGTTTTTTTGTTTTTAAGTAAGTTTATTACATGAGAGACTTGCATAATACAAGTTAAACACTTTTTAATTTTATGTACAATTTTAGTCACTATTGGTCCAACACATAAATCCACAGATTTTAAACAAATTCTGAGTGGAAATAGCAAAGAAAATAAACAAAGGTAAATGTCCCCAGATTCTGTCTGATCTTAAGTATAACTAAACCATGTTAAACCAGTTTAATCTGATCCAATAAGTCAGGGGTGTCTTTTCTCAGTCTTAAAGGGTCACTTAGGTTTAACTTGCTTCAACACAACAGTCAGTTTTTAGTATTAAATTTAAAATTTATTTATTTAATTTACGGTGGCGCGGTGGGTAGCACATCGCCTCAATGCAAGAAGGTCACTGGTTCAAGCCCCAGCCTGGTCAGTTGGCATTCCTGTATGGAGTTTGTATGTTCTCCCCGTGTTTCCCCCACAAGTCCAAAAACATGTGGCGTAGGTGAATTGGGTAAGCTAAAATTGTCCACATTGTAAGTTTTTGAATGAGTGTGTATGGATGTTTCCCGGTGAAGGGTTGCAGCTGGAAGGGCATCCGCTGAGTAGAACATATGCTGGATAAGTTGACAGCTCATTCTGCTTTGGCAACCCCAGATTAATGATGAGATTAAGCTGAAAAGAAAATGAAGAAATGAATACACAGCCCCTGCGGAAAGGGAACTTTTGGAAATGCTTAACGTGGCAAAGAAATTATTTTTATTTAATAAGGATGGATTAAATGATCTAAACTGACAGTACGTACATTTACAATTCCTAAAATAAAAGCTGTTATTTGGCCAATCAAAGAATCCTTAAGATTGTATAATGCTTTGTCACAAAAATACGAAACAGCAACTGTTTCAGTCAGTATTTAAAAAGAAACTCTGATATTAAGGCTACTTTTTCATGGCAGCTATGTACTATGAACTTTTATTTTTGCATTTTTGAAAAGCTTTGTTCATAACAATGCACACAGCTTGCACTCGCACATGTCTACGAAGACACAAAATGCATGTGCATGACATCATCAAACATACTGCATGTACAGTTAAAGTCAGATATGTTAACCCCCCTGAATTATTAGACCACTTGTTTAATTTTCCCCCAATTTCTGTTTAAAAGAGAGCAGATTTTTTCAACACATTTCTAAACATAATAGTTTTAATAACTAATTTCTAATAACTGATTTATTTTATCTTTGCCATGATGATAGTAAATAATATTTGACTAGATATTTTTCAAGACACTTCTATACAGCTTCAAGTGACATTTAAAGGCTTAAATGGGTTAATTAGGTTGACTAAGCAGGTTAAGGTAATGAGGCAAGTTATTGTATAATGATGGTTTGTTCTGTAGACTTTGAGAAAAAAAATAGCTTAAAGGGGCTAATAATTTTGTCCCTAAAAAGGTGTTTAAAAAATTAAAAACTGCTTTTATTCTAGCTGAAATAAAACAAATAAGACTTTCTCCAGAAGAAAAAATATTATCTGACATACTGTAAAATGTTCTAGCTTTGTTAAACATCATTTGGAAAATATTTAAAAAAGAATAAAAAAATTCAAAGGGGCTAATAATTCCGACTTCAACTGTATATGTATTCAGTTACCTACAGTTGTACACTTGTGATGCATACTTGTGACCGTATAGATTTATACACTATAAAAAATGATTGCAGCCTTATTTTTTGTATTTGAATGAGATTAACTTTTTATAGTTTTTACAACTTGCATCAATCAAACTGACAAAAATAAAAAATCTACCTTTGTATAACTTAAATAACGTATCTGAAACCTGTCTGACTTTAGTAAAATAAGTTACAGTAACATAAAAACACTGGTTGTCAGGACTTTTTTTTACAGTGTGGCAAAATATGTGCACACACAAGTTTAATTTGCAAAAAATGTTTGGATTTCACAGATAAAAAAATGTCACATGTTTATTATGCAAGTGTATTTAAAATAAATAATAATAATAAATAAATAATGAATACAAATTTTACTTTTTTTTTCAACTGTTAGAATTGTAAACATGTCGTGTGTGTTAAATAAGTTAGCTTTAACTTTATATATGTATATGTGTGTGTTCATATATCAAATTTATGTATGGGGTGAAGTGCTCAGGTATGAGTACTATGACATGTCACAATAAACCATGCTCTTTAAAACCAGATTACAGAAAATGTTTCGATGGTGGGAAAGAGAGATAAACAATCCACAAATACAACAGAAGACAAAAATGTATAGCTTATAGCGCCTCTTGTTGACATCTGAAAAGTGCAGAGGAAGGCATTGTAGATTTTGTAGAAATGTAGACAGGTTCTACAGATTTCCAATGAGCCTGGGTTGGAATTGTTGGATAAAATGAATGAAATCCATAAGCATACTATAAGATACTTCTTTCAAAAACATGAAAATCTTTATAAATTCTGCACTTTAAAATAGTACTGTGTAAAGTACAGTAGACGTCATTTTGTTAAGCCATCTTTTCATGTGTTGACATAGTTTCTGTTTGTTGTTTAGTGTAAGCAAGTGAAGGTCCACAGTGCATGATTTAACTCTGTTTGTGTGTGTGTTTGTTTTTGTAGTTTGCAGTTCAGAGCCGGAGAATGTGCAAGCCAGCCCTCATAATTACACCAGCATGCTTGTGATCTGGGAGAGACCGCGGGCCGTTTATGACTCCAGTATAGAGAGATACTCTGTCACCTACCGGCCAGCCCAGGGCGATGATGAATCTGCTTTAGAGTACCTGACTGATGGAGACCAGGATGTGGTAATTTAACTTTCTGTAATAAACCTTTGATATCAATGAATGAATGCTTTGAAAATCAGACTTCAACTCATGTAACAGGTTGTAATTACACAGCTGAATGCTTCATTCTTATTGGCTGATGAGCAATTATTTTCAGATTAAACAAAGTCCCTTTAAGGCAGGGGTATGAAACTCTTCTTGGAGGGCTGCAGTACTGTACAATTTTGTTCCAACCCTGCTTAAACACACTTACCTGGAGGCTTAAGGGTGCTTTCACAGGTTGAATCACCAGGTTCGTTTGACGTCAGAGTACAATATGTTTAGCTAGGGTAAACAACGTCTTCTAAACTTAAATGCACACCCACAAACAGTATCTGAATCCACCTGAATGAGGTGGGGTACGGTTTTTGTGAATTCTGGTACTGTTCACCTCTGATATGAATGCAATCGTACCAAATAACTGAAGTGAACAGCCAACTGTACAACAAACTTTAGTTTTCATAACGTTCATTTGTGTCTGTGTATCACCTACCTTGGCGACAAGCGGGACTGACCCAGTGCAAACAGTGATAATGTCTGCTTGTCTCCACCGAAAATGACTTAAGCAGACATCGCGTGAGGTTTTAAACATTTTTAATATTTTTCTGCTGCAGATAGATGCAAATGGCTCTCCGTATTTACATTTTGGTAAGAAAAGCAAATGCAGAATGACATATATGCGGAAGTCTCTATTTTGTTGTTTTGCTTTTGTGGTTGTCACCTAGCAACAGCTGTACACAAAACAGCAGCTTGATGACGCAAGCGTACCAGGGTCCAGAAGGAAAAAGGAACACAAACCAGCTGAGAAGGTGGCAAGGGACAATCGAGCCTGGGTTCGGTCCAGGCAGTTGAACCAAGTGTGAAAGCACCCTAAAACAAGCCTGAAGGACTCTATTAGTTTGATTATGTGTGTTTAATTAGGGTTAAAGCTAAAGGGTGCATAGCTGTGGCAGAGCTCCAGGAACAAAGTTTGACAGCTGTGCAAGTCATTTCACTCGATGACCATCTTTGAAACCGATATTGGGCAGTTCCTATTTCTTTGAATGGGGTAAATTCTTCAAAATTTGGAATCACCAATAAAATGTTACAACAAACTCTTCTACCAATTTTTCGAACATAAGGTTTAAAGGTGTTGGAAGAAAGATCAAGTTCCCATTATGCAATTTAAAAGCCGAAATAAACATGGAAAAATAAAAAATAATAATAATTTGAAATGCAAAATATGGAAAACTGCTAATTTATGGATTTTTTTTAACAGTATAGAGCATCCATATTAACTGCAAAATTTCTCCCCATTCAAAATGTGTGACATGTCTCTCGTGTCAACACAAATCCAATCAAAACAAATCAAAACAAAACAAAAGCCTTTTGATGACATGTTTAATTCTGGGTCCACACCAATGGTGGAATTAAGTAATCCCGCAAGCACACATTGTTAATAAGCTGCTGTGTGGTGTGCGGTCTGGTCCATCTGATGCTGTGGTGGTGGTTGTGGATAATGAGGTTCCCCCAACATCTGTAAAGCGCTTTGAGTAAGCAAAAAAGTGCTATGTATATAAATGAGGAGGAAAATCCGAGTGAATCAGAGCGAGTGACGCAGTGCTTTGTGTTTAGTTTGAATCCAGAAAAAGACACTAGCCCCACAGAAACGAGAGTTTAGAAGGGGACACTATACTGTCAGTGAGCGGCGTCTTTCGGATGAGATGTTAAACTGAGGTCCTGACTCTCTGTGCTCATTAAATATCGTAAAGATCGTGAAGAGTAGGGGTATTACCCCACTGGCCAAATTCCCTCCATCGGCCCTTACCGATCATGACCTCCCTATCCAATTGGCTCTATCACTGTCTCTCCACTCCATCTATAGCTGGTGTGTGGTGAGCGCACTGGCGTCGTTGTCCTGTGGCTGTGTCCTGTGAGTGAGTTGAACCCCCTCTCATGATTGAAGTGCTTTGGGTGCATGGTTATACATGATTATTGCGCTATATTAATACACAATACTTATTTACTTACTAACTTACCTGTTGTGGTCGCATCATCTGCATTATTTCTAATGATTCAGTGACCCATGGTCGGTTGTTTCTGACATATATGTATGTGAATTGACTTTTTAATGTAACAAACATGTAAAAAAAATACATTATATTTTTCCACCAGGGGGCAATCATTCAAGACCTGGTGGCCAACACTAGTTATATGGTGCAGGTAGTTGCCGTGTGCACCAACGGTCTGTATGGCAGAGTGAGTGACCAGCTGACAGTGGACGTACCCCTGGATGATCCTGGTAAGACCAATCGTCCTCGTCGCCCTCGCATCCGTGGAGAATGAGTTTACAACACTCATACCCCACATCAATTTACTTTAAATGTTAGACTAATGCCAAATGCGTCAGAATATAGACCGATCCTTTGCAAACCAGTTACCTTGTTCAGAAATAGTGTAATGTCATGGAAGAGTTAAGGAGAAAGGGACAAAATCCATGTGATCCAAGTGATTTACCCAGAAACATACTTTACACAAGTGTGTGTTTATTTAAACATACAGTAGATCCAAATGAATGATTGCATAAACATACAGTTTGATGACACATGGTACTTGAGGTTACATACAGTAGTTATAAACAAAGCTCACACGCTTGCGTATAGTGTGTTCAGGCTGAAATCCAGTTCTGTAATAAATAACATTAATTCAGTCTAACACAAAATGATTCTACAACTTACAGTAAATGTAAAAAAAATATATATAACATGATCATTTTATGTTTAAATTTATTTATTAACTATTTATTAAACATGTAAAATTGGAGCTTCTGGTTTTAGCTTGATTTTTGTGTCTCTCTCAGTGTTACTTGTATGCTTTTTTTGTTTATGTGTCACATTGAAGTACGTATTTACCTATATTTTTCTGGTATCTGTGCATCTTATACTTTATCCTCACTATCTGCATTCTGAATTTTCTTCTATATACTATGATTTTTTCCCCCCTGTCTGTCATGGATATTCATGTTTCTCGGTGCATTTTGTGTTCTTGGAATGTTGGGTCATTTGTATTTTGCTTACTAATTATTAATAAACTTGTTTATCTTCCTAAAAATTCCTGTCATCATATTTCAGTCGTCCATAGATAAATGTGTTGCCAACTGTCTCACATTTCCTATGTCACAAGACATTTTTTCATGATCGTATGAAAATATGTGTAAGAGTTGAGTTACATCAGTGAAATGGGGCCAGTCTATCTGATAAAATCATACATCTTCTACCTTTTAATGTTTCCATGCTTCACAAATCGATATTGTCAACATATCACAAAATCTCTGGGGTCTTTTCCACCATTTTGTGTCACTGAGTTTGATCCCATGACAGGTAAGAGCCTGCGAGAGATTCTAAGCTCTCTCTATCTTTGTGTGTTGGGGGCATTTTTAGTGCATGAAGGTGTTCAAACTTTCCTTTCCTGTGATGCAATGTGCGCGTTAAAAAACTGACCCTCTGACCCATAGATTGCTCCTTTTTGAATTAAATAACTATCTAAACTACTGCTGGTGATCTGCCTGACCTTTCCTTCCTTCTCAGTCTCAGTGGTAACAGAAAAATACCAAATGCCATATTCGACAAGGCATGCGGTTTGTGATTGCATAAATGGTGAAAACCAGTTTGTGTGTTTGAGATGTGTCCCTCAAAGTTCCTTTGTCTGTTGAGAATGGAATTATAAACACTGATTTTTAAATCTGTGGTGGATTTTTGTGTGTATGTTATATATACAGTTGATTTCAGAATTATTAGCCCCCTGAATTATTAAACCCCCTGTTTATTTTTTCCCCAATTTCTGTTTAACGGAGAGAAGATTTCTTCAAAACATTTCTAAACATGATAGTTTTAATAACTTATCTATAATAACTGATTTATTTTATCTTTGTCATGATGACAGTAAATAATATTTGACTAGATATTTTTCAAGACACTTCTATACAGCTTAAAGTGACATTTAAAGGCTTAACTGGGTTAATTTGGTTAACTAGGCAGGTTAGAGTAATTAGGCAAGTTATTGTATAACAATAGTTTGTTCTGTATACTATTGAAAAAAATATATAGCTTAAAGGGGCTAATAATATTGACCTTAAAATGGCTTTTAAAAAATTAAAAACTGCTTTTATTCTAGCTGAAATAACAAAAAAGACTTTCTCCAGAAGAAAAAAATATATTATCAGACATACTGAAAAAAATCCTTGCTCTGTTAAACATTATTTGGGAAATATAAAAAAAATAATAATAAAAATCAGAGGGAGGCTAATATTTCTGACTTCAACTGTGTGTAATTGTTATATATCTGTTGTTCAAAATAAACGTATTAATGATAAACAATATTGTGATACTATTAGATATGTAACTAAGATTTATTACAAATGTTTAGTTTACTTTTAGTATTATGAACATTGTGTTAGAGTAGCAAAGCCTACTTAAGTCATACTTTGGTTTAACACATTTATGTTTGATTTATTTTCAGAAGCAGACAATGATTCTGAATCATTTGACTATGATGAAGAGGTAACTGTCAACATCACTCGATATCACTAATATCACCCACTTAGCAAAATATCTCTGGCCCACACAATCAGCTTTTGCTTTTCCAACATGCCACAGTGAACTACGGAACATGACTGGATCAAGTCTGGCTTCCAAACAAGAGCCAAACATGGACCACATCTGGGCCAAGTCTCAGCCAACTTAATAACCCATCACTGAGCCTGAACTGGACCAAATATGTTGGTGTGTCAAGACTGCAATCAAATTGATAAATCCATTAATCATTGCGATTTAAGCTTTTTCTCGATTGGTAGAATTTTTTTCTTTATTTGAAAATAATGCAAATGTATTTTAAATGTGGGTCAAGGCCAAACTTACATGGCCCTCATATCAATTTTTAACATCTGGCCTAAATACTACATTCTACATCCAAACCAGGGTCATGTTTGGCCCACATATTGTATGCCAGTGCCGGATGAATGCCTGCTGTGCCAGATTTATGGCAAATCTGGGCCAGAATTCTTTGCTTCCTGGGTAGTTACTGATGAATATTGTTTTTTAACAGAATTAAACACATCTCTTTGTCTTTGTCTTTTATTTTAGGAAAACTATCATATAAACCCATTTTTAATCAGACCGGAAACAGAAAGGCTTCCATATCCCTTCCAAACCACCACAACCAGCCCAAGAGTTACTACAACAGAGCGTCTGATCCATCCAGTTGTTAAGACGACACAAAGGACTCATGAAAGAAGACTCCCAGTAGAAGAATCTCAGAAGACTCATGATGATATTTTTCCAGTGGTATACACTGATAAACCAACAGCAAAACACACAGACCAACCTACAACCATAACCACAACTTTTGTTGTAGATGTACACACCACAACACCAGATAGTTTTAGATTTATAGCAGGTGTCTCTTCAGAGTCTGATGTCCAAAGCAGTAGCTTTACAGATTCTCCAACAAGTGTCACCCCTGAAACAAGTGAAACCCTTGAGAGATTTGTTACATCAGCTTCGATAGACATTTTGGAGGTTGAGGATGTGACTGAACCGGTAACAATCACAGACAGCTTTGAGGAGAGTTCACAGACTGTAGCCCCATTGCTTGAAATCCCAGTGGACTCCACTTCCTCTACCTTCCCCTCAGAAGTCCCTCTGTGGCCTACAACTGCTAGCTTGCCTTTTCCAGCTACTGCCGCTTTCAGCACTGTTCTGTCGCAGACCACCCAGCCGGTGTTTAATGGTGAGAGCGCCCCATATGCCCCCTCTGTTTCTGACACTCTGTCCTATGTGCATGCAAGTCCTGTGTCCCCCTATTCCCTAAGCAGTGTGTTGTCTGAGCCCATCCCTGACTGGGACATCCCGTACACTGTTACCATGCTGGTGTCTGGTGGTGCGCAGTCTATCACCCCTTCCCCTTCCTACCCTACCCTATCCCTCAGTGGCTCTGTGTCTTATTTAGACATGGAGTCTGTCTCTAGTGGTGGTTGTATTGATGATGATGGTGATGATGCTGTTTTATCTGGGTCCGCCTCGGCTGACCCCCCATGTAGAACTACTTTACCCCTTCAAACATTATCAGAAGTGACCGCTTCTGTTGACCCAATGCTGCCAAGTTCTGAATCCAGCCTTCTACATCTTTCTGAGCACTCCGGTACTATCTCTGTGCTGAGCACCCCTGCGTATCTCCAGCCTTCGGTTCCTGTCTCTAAAGACTACTCTACGACGACCACAACCCTTGATACTGATGCTTCTCTCTTAGGTAGCAATGGAGAATCTAACCTGCTAACAGAGTGGGTTGATTCTTCTCTAGCAGCTCCTACTTTCAGTAGTAAATTCTCTTTGCATGCCTCTTCCAACTCCCTGCTGCCTTCCTCGGTTTCTGGACTGCCCCCTTGTAGTAGTCTCCTATCTAATCCTGTAGAACTCCATTTGTTTCAGTCCACTTCCAGTGCCAGTACTTCTCTGTGCAGTGATGCAGGCTTGGACCTCAGCACCAAGGCGCTCTTGCCCTCTCTTTCCATTTCTACCAAACCATCTAGTGACCTTAGCTTGTCTGTTGCAGCCACGGTCAATAACATTGCACAAAGTGCAATCGGACAGTCCCTAGGAGCATCAGCTCCCATTAGGTCTTCAGCAATTACCACAACCCCTATACTAGAACTCAGATCCACACCTACTCCTGTGGTGCCCCCAACAATTGCACCAACCTCTCCCTCAGACTCCATCACTGTAGTTGCTCCCGTGGTCCCCCCAACCATTCCAGTTTCCTCTGCTCCAGAATCCAGCTCCATGCCCACACACTCTGCAGATGGGCAGCAGGAGAACAGTGCCTCAGGCTGGACTTTCGATTTAGACTGGGGCCAAAGCTCAGCATCAGGAGACGAGAGTATCGCCGCTCCATATATCACCACTGCCTCTCCTACAGAAGTATCTCCTGAGGAGACTGATGATGGGAATGAGGAGCACTCTTCGTCATTCTACTTTGAGGGTGAGAACGGGACCGAGAGTGAAGTTACCGACTTCAGAGTCACCCTGCAGCCCAGCCCGTCTTGGACTCTACGAGGAAGCTGGGAAGAGGAGAGTGGATCAGGTGAAACTCTCACTGATAACGAGACCTCTTCAGACTTCAGTATTCCAGAGCGCACAGAGAGGGAATCAGAAGAGGAACCAGTGGAAGGTAAAGCTCTCGGTTACTGATGTCCGTTGGTGAAGGTGCTTCTTGATTTAGACATGCTCAGTGAAGCTGATTTATCATCGAAGAGTCGAAAAGTACATCAAACCTCTTGGTTTGAGGATTCATCCTAATTCATCATAAAATTTGAATGCCATTACCCACCTCAAATGTCATCTAAGTAACTAAACATTCATCCAGAAAGTGCTTTGTAGACGGTAGTGAGTCCACTCGGAAGGTAAGCGTTCACTACTAAATCACATACATATAACTTTCTGACAATTTAAATATAAACATGCTAATGAAGAACCATCATCATAATTACACAAATCCCATCATTACAATGCATGTCTGATTCCTAGTCCCATGTGATTCCTCTGTGTCCTGTGTTGTGTTACATGTTGCTTGTTTTATTATTTGTTTCAAATGTGTATTAGCATGCTTACATATGGCATTAGAAACATACCAATGGCATGACATACATTATTAATTGGAATAACTTGTAGATTTATCTAGTGTTATATATAATATAGAATATTTGCATTGCAAATTTAACCACATAGTTAAATGCCTTAGCATGCGAGCTAATATTTAGGCTAATTTAGCTTGATGATTCCTCCATGGGACAGTTTACACATTTCACTGTTTGTCCAGCAGAGCGCAGCAAATCTCTTATATTTACGCTCCAGTATGTGACAGCTGGCAGTGGCAGCATTTTTTTTGGCTGGGATGCCGAGGTCATTTCAGACAGTCCTAGGCCATGTCTTAATCTCTCAAACGTGTCTGTCTGCAATGAATCATGACCTATGAACTTCTTAGCTTCTTTGTGTGAAACACATTTCTGATGGAATAAATTAAGTGGTGCTATGCCAATCCTTATGGTTACATAGTGATTATAGGGTCTTTAAGAATCAAAGAGAAACTGAGTCAATATCCTGTGGGAACAGCTTGAACTCAATACAAAAGTACAAAAGGAGGTTTGGTTTAACAAACCTTTTGTTGTTTTATGTAGATTTTAAGTTAAACATAGCACCTTTACCAAAATCTACATTTTTTTTCGTCGTCATTATCAGCTGCATTGATTGTGCCATTATTATGTCTACATAAATAATTGTCACATTTTTGGACTTGTTATTTTAGGGTTTGTTTTTACAGTATAATTATATTATAAATATATGTTTTATACTTGTTATTACAGTATAAGGCCTACTGGTTTGCAAATGACCTTTAGTCACCTTAATACTAGAGTACGGTCAATCTGAAATTAGGTTACATGAAGTAAGATAATTCCTTTTACTTGAAACATTTCATAAGGTGAGTTTACAGTATATACAGTATATGTTCCCAAATAGAAATCTGGCATATGGAAATATATACAAATGACATACACTACCAGTCGAAAGTTTGGGGTCAGTGGGATTTTGAAATGTTTTAAAATAAGCTTATACTGCTCACTGAGGCTGCATTTGTTTCATCAAAATTACAGTACAAATTGTAAAATAGTGAAATGTTATCGCAATATAAAATAACTGTTATTATTAATGGTAATAGTAATAAAAGCAATGATGACTGGAGTCTTAATTTAATTTGAAAGTACATACAATAAGTAATAAATATATTTTAACCCTTACTTTCCTTAAAAAAACATGAAAAAAAAACTGACCCCAAACTTTTGACTGGTAGTGTATATGTCATACAAGTTTTAAATATATCTTACATATATTTTCCCAACCATTGAAATCTCAAATATGTGTATATTTATGTACAAATATGTTAAACATTATTATGTTAGATTAATTACGATTAATACAAAATACATGTTTTTAGGACAAAATATGTGTGAGTGTGTGTGTAAGTATGTATATATATATATATATATATATATATATATATATATATATATATATATATATATATATATATATATATATATATATATATATATATATATATATAATATACAGTTGAAGTCAGAATTATTAGCCCCTCTGAATTGTTAGACCGCTTGTTTATTTTTTCCCCAATTTCTGTTTAACGGAGAGCAGATTTTTTCAACACATTTCTAAACATAATAGTTTTAATAACTCATTTCTAATAACTGATTTATTTTATCTTTGCCATGATGACAGTAAATAATATTTTACTATATTTTTTTAAGACACTTCTATACAGCTTAAAGTGACATTTAAAGACTTAACCAGGGATATTAGGTTAACTAGGCAGGTTAGGGTAATTAAGCAAGTTATTGTATAATGATGGTTTGTTCTGTAGAGTATTAAAAAAAATAGCTTAAAGGGGCTAATAATTTTTTCCCTAAAATGGTGTTTAAAAAATTAGAAACAGCTTTCATTCTAGCCGAAATAAAACAAGAGTTTTTCCCAGAAAAAAAAGATATTATCAGACATACTGTGAAAATTTCCTTGCTTTGTTAAACATCATTTGGAAATATTTAAAAAAGAAGAAAAAAATTCAAAGAGGGCTAATAATTTTGACCTCAAGTGTGTGTGTGTGTGTGTGTGTATATATATATATATATATATATATTTTGACCTCAAGTGTGTGTGTGTGTGTGTGTGTGTGTGTGTGTGTGTGTGTGTGTGTGTGTGTATATATATATATATATATACATATATATATATATATATATATATATATATATATATATATATACATACAAAATATATATACATTTAAATATCTTTGAGACAAAAATGCTTTGTATAGTTTGCTTTTATGTATGTGTTTGTATCACATACATATAATAAATATACAAAACACACACACACGTATTGTGTCAAAATAAACTTTTATTTTAGATGTGATCTATCTATGTGTGTATGTGACTTAACATAATAGATAAGTTTCTGATATTTGTAATTCCAATGGTTAAAAATATGTAGACCATTTTGAAGAATGTGATCAATAACAGTGGTCCTACTGTATTTCCTGTTTCACGTTTTTAATTTCCGTAGTTTCCGAAAATCCAAAAAGGTCCACATTCTGATAAATCATGTTATTATAGCTGTTTTAACATGAATATATGATTTTATATCAATATATGAAGTTCCTCTTGTTACAGTTATGAAATAGTATGATAAGAAGCAGGAAATGTTAAAAGCAGGACATAGCTAAATTGAAATGGTCTATAAGTGGACATTTTTGCAATATTTTGAAATAAATGTTGCATATATGAAAATATGAACTTGTATGTCATGTGTGTAATTTTAATATATTGCCATACATCAGATATTGGTTTTCTGCCTTATATGTCTTTGAATCTAATACTATATTGCATTTCCTGAATCTAAAAGAACATTGATTAATGATGATGCTCTTATCTGATGACCTATAGATGCTAATAACAGCAGTCATGAGTCCCGGGTGGGCCTGGCGAGCAGCATTGAGCGGCAGAAGAAGGCGGTGGTTCCTCTGGCTGTGGTCTCCACACTCACTTTCCTGGGTCTCATTTTTTTGATCGGCATTTACATTTACTGGAGGTAAGTCTATGGGGAAAAAATAGCCATTTCTGCGGGTTTACTGGACTTTTAAGATATGGGTTTGACTAAAAATGGGTCTGATTTCATTCAGATTTTACATTAATATTTGGGTAAATCTTTTCAATAAGGTTGTATTAGTTAATGTTAATGAATTTACTAACATAAACAAAGAACAATATATTTTTATAGTACTCATTCATCTGTGTTAACATTACTTAATGGAAATAAACTTGTTCTTGCTAGTTCATTCAACTCAGTGCATTGATTAATTTACAAGTATGGATTTTCGTTAGTATATGTTAGTAAATACATTGACATTAACTCACAAAATCTTATGGTAAATGTGAGCCATTTTTGCTTATAATAATAAGAAAAAAAAGAGATGTTTATGATTCTAAAAAGCTTGTTTCTGTTTGTGCAGGACAGCATTAAAAAAAGTAAGTAGCACAATCCAGCATATAATATTATATTATTATACAGAAGAAGCAAACAATGTGGTCTCACAGAAAAATTGTTTAAATTTTCTTGGTCTCAATGACAATAGTTTATCTGAAAATTGAAAATATAATGAGACATTCAGAGACTAAAAAAAGATTAATAATTTACTAAAACCTGTACCTAATAAATACAGTAAATTCAGGGAAATTAAGCTCACTGTTTTTTTCAAAGCTCTGTGTGTGTGTATTTATACACTGTAAAGAAAAAAGTCCATTATTATTTTTTTCTTTTCTTTTCTTTTCTTTTTTTTTTTTTACCAAAATCTGGGGTCCGGTAAAAAACCCCCATAAAATAACGACCATTAAATTACAGTAATTTATTGTAAATTAACAGATGTTAAATTACAGAAATTTATCGGAAATTAACATTTTTACGGTGAACTTCTGTAATTTACCGCCTGTTATTTTAGGGTAAATTTCGTTAATTTAACAACTGTTATTTTGTGGTAAATTTCTGTAATTTAACAACCATTATTTTCTGGTAAATTTCTGTAATTTAACGTCCATTGTTTTGTGGTAAATTTCTGTAATTTAACGACCGTTATTTTATGGTAAACTCCTGCTATTTAACGTCTGTTATTTTATGGTATATTTTGTAACTTAACGCCTGTTATTTTACGGTACGTTTCTGGAATTTAACGACTTTATTTTATTGTAAATTTCTGTCACCTAACGTCCTTTATTTTATGGTAAATTTATGTAATTTAGCGTCTGTTATTTTATGGTAAATTTATGTAACTTAACGACCGCTATTTTACATTTTTTGAAAATCAGGATTTTTTTACCAAATTTTGATTTCCGAACTCTTACGAAGTAAAATCATTGGTATTATGTTGTCCAAAAATGATGTATAGAAAAAGCTGAAAACATGTCTTTTTTGGTTTATTCTATGCCAATATATAAACATATATTAAATTTGGAATGTCATCAATAGTTAAATAGTTATTAGCAAAAACATAAAACAAATAAACAAAAAAATTATCATTTCATATTAATTTAAATAATTCACCTATATTAACAAAGGTTAAAAAAGTTTTACAAAGGCAGTTTATATGTTAGCACAGTAATTCATTTTTTTAAGAAACTTATTAATTTAGGCCAAGAAACTCAGTTGAGGGTGCATGAAAAACAAAAATAGACTTCCTCCTAGACAGCTGCTTGTGATTTCCATCATATTGTTACTAATCCATAATCATAACAATCGTCGATAAGGAGGAGAAGGGGGGGGGAGTGCTGTGTGGCCCCATGAGGAGCGTGTTGTCTGTCTGTGATGGGGGTCTAATCTTGGGCACAGACCCAATCTCACACCCACCGGGCGACGGACCACCTCAAAGGGAAGCAAGATAAACAAGCCATGATGTGGCGGTGGTCTCCGTGTGTGCGAAACAGCCCCCGAATTCACACCAAAGCGCTAAATAAAATGCTCCTTCCACACCAGGATGGAAGTCTGAAAAGCCTTGTTTTCCGTCAGATATTCCCAACCGTGAAATAAGCAACTTTGGCAAATCCCATCAAGAAGATGTCTCGGATGTGTAAACACACAAGATTGTACATTTCTCATTGCGACGTGCCTCTTGCCCCTTCAGCATATTGCTCGTGTTTGACTTTTTGTTGTAACACCGCGAAGATTGCGAGGAGATTAAATCGGTAATCTTGGAGCTGGTGATTAAATCTCCGATATGCTGATCTGTTGTTTGTGGGCCTACAGGGAGCACATGCTGCCAGGCTGGAGAAAGAACCTCCTCCACGTGATTATGTTCGACACGACCAAGTCATGTTCGTGTCTTGTTAGCGCAGCCGTGGGTGGTTCAATCTCAGCAGAACACGCTCATGTACGACTGCTTGTCCATCTGTAGCTACATGGTGCTCATTTGGAGAGCAGACAGATGCGCACTTAATGGGACGTCTTCAAAACATTAGTGCTAAATCTGTGTCTGTGGCCACCATTGTGAGCACTAATCCCTTCCAAGAAGTTAGAATTTTAGACAAAACAGCTTCCGGTTTAAGTGATCCTGTTAAAAACGTGTTGTGGATTAGATTGAATATGATGTTTTTTTTTTAAAGCTTTGAGCACATATGTGGATAACACAACAACAACAACAGGCAAATACCCAAAGCTTATGTGTGAGAGCCACTGGGTGTATATTTGTGTGAAAGTCAGTCAACAGTATGTTTAATAAAAGTGTTTAATGCCGTTACAGGAAGTGTTTTCAGACTGCTCATTTCTACATCGAGGACAGCACTTCGCCCAGGGTCATTTCCTCATTGCCACTGCTAAACCCTACAGGTAGTACCACAAACAGTTTTATAAACGCAATATATGTTTCCACTCAAATGAGCTATGCTCTTTTTCTCTCTCTTATCTGATTCATTTATTAAAAACCAAACATCATATACTACATAAATTTAGTCTTCTAAATTCAATACATACTATAAATGTAGATTTTATAGACTTAATGACGCACTAAATATCTAATATTATAATAATTCGCAGTAATTATTTGAAAACAGATGCGCTAAAATAGTCACTGTAAAAGGTATTAGGTGACTTTAAAAAGTGAGTACAATTAGCATAATTATAAAAATTAAGTTGACTTGACAGTTTCAAGTTACACTGGGTTTGCTTACATTATTTTTGTAAAGTCAAAAAGTCAACTTGTTGCTTTTAAGACATCTATCTATCTATCTATCTATCTATCTATCTATCTATCTATCTATCTATCTATCTATCTATCTATCTATCTATCTATCTATCTATCTATCTATCTATCTATCTATCTATCTATCTATCTATCTATCTATCTATCTATCTATCTATCTATCTATCTATCTATCTATCTATCTATCTATCTACCTACCTACCTACCTACCTACCTACCTACCTACCTACCTACCTACCTACCTACCTACCTACCTACCTACCTACCTACCTATCTATCTATCTATCTATCTATCTATCTATCTATCTATCTATCTATCTATCTATCTATCTATCTATCTATCTATCTATCTATCACACACACACACACACACACACACACACACACACACACACACACACACAAACATATATATTTGAAGTCAGAATTATTAGCCCCTTTATACCCCTTTGAAATTTGTTTTCTTTTTTTAAATATTTCCCAAATGATGCTTAACAGAGCAAGGAAATTTTCACAGTATGTCTGATAATATTTTTCCTTCCAGAGGAAGTCTTATTTGTTTTATTTCATATAGAATAAATGCAGTTTTTATTTTTTAAAAAGCCATTTTAAGGTCAAAATGATTAGCTCCTTTAAGCAATTTTTTTCTTTCGATTGTCTACAGAACAAACCATAGTTATACAACAACTTGGCTAATTACCCTGACCTGCCTAGTAAACCTAATTAACCTAGTTAAGCCTTTAAATGTCACTTTAAGCTGTATAGAAGTGTCTTGAAAAAGATCTAGTAAAATATTATGTATTGTCATTATGGCAAAGATAAAATAAATCAGTTATTAGAAATGAGTTATTAAAACTATTATGTTTAGAAATGTGTTGAAAAAATCTGCTCGCCCTTAAACAGAAATTGTATTTATATATTCATTCATTCATTTTCTTGTCAGCTTAGTCCCTTTATTAATCTGGGGTCGCCACAGCGAAATAAACCGCCAACTTATCCAGCAAGTTTTTACGCAGCGGATGCCCTTCCAGCCGCAACCCATCTCTGGGAAGCATCCACACACACTCATTCACACACACACTCATACACTACGGACAATTTAGCCTACCCAATTCACCTGCACCGCATGTTTTTGGACTATGGGGGAAACCGGAGCAACTGGAAGAAACCCACGTGAACGCAGGGAGAACATGCAAACTACACAACTAAGCCGAGGCTCGAACCAGCGACCCAGCGACCTTCTTGCTGTGAGGCGAACGTGCTACCCACTACTATATATATATATATATATATATATATATAACCAATTTAAATATTTATATATATTTTTATATAATTTTCTTTTAGCTTTATAGTTTTCTGAGTGACCTAATTGAAAAACAAAAACACTAAAAACTATTGAAAATAAATTTCTTATAATTTAACACAATATTCTTCCTTTTATTTGTATAAAACACCTAAATATAAATTTATTAACAGGTGAATAATTTAAAATAATAAAAAGAAAAAAAATTAACACTTTGTTTTACATTATTAAAGACCAATAATATTCCTTTTCTTCCAGGTGAACATGAACCCCTGCCAGTAAAGCAATTTGTGAATCATGTGACAGAGCTTCACAACACCAGCTCGTTTTCCAGAGAGTTCGAGGTTGGTATCCTATCATCCCCCTCTCCTTCCACACGTTTCAAGGGACAGCTGTCTCTCATGAGCCTTGATGTAGCAGTTCAACATGTCATTAAGGCATGTCTCATAAACGAATGTATTTTGTCTATTCGCTCATGCATAAACACAAGTTGTTGATAATGCTTTTGAGTTATAATTAGGTCAGTAACGCATTCAGCTCTATGTTCCAGTCAGGTGCACAAACAGACCCACATACAGCTTCATTAACATCAATCAGTGTCAGATTGGAGATTTTCTTCACACTTGATTAGATCATTCAAAAATCAGGCAAGCTTTAATTGGACACAAACAAGGCAGTACTTAATTATTAGTTCTTGTCATAAGTGCCACCTATGAAAAAAAAGTGATGGATATGTTTCATGAGTTTCTGTTTTGAGGATGTTTGTGTTATGAAGTGAATGAAAGTCTGTGTGTTGTGGCATGCTAGTTATGGTAAACACAAAGATTGATGCAAACTCCAGTGTTTAAATGCATGTTTCTGTTTGCATGGCTTCGGATTCTGTCTATTATTGATATGTGTGGCTGCATTTAATTATGTAGCATAATGGTTTTATTGTTTTGGCATTCACTAGATCAAACTTCTAATAATAATAATAATAATAATAATAATAATAATAATAATGATGATGATGATGATGATGATGATGATGATGATGATGATGATGATGATGATAATAATAATGATGATGATGATAATAATAATAATAATAAAAAGGAAAGAAAATAATTTCTCAAGAAATTACAAATAATAAATAAATACATTTATTTAAACAAAAAAGCTAATAAAATATTTAATCAGTATCAAAAATAGTATCGACATTATACTTTCTCATTTGCATAAAAGCTTGTTATAAGTGGTACTTATTACTTATTGTTTGCTCCTGCAACTTTCTTGTCATTGAGATTTTTTCACAATTTGGACTTTGTAGGATCTCACTAGAGCAACTGTTTCTGTCCATCATTGATATTTGTGTCTAAATTTAATCATATAACGGAACAAAAATTAAATCCTGAATATCTGGTGGCATTTGATTAATATTTAGAAAAAGAAATGTAGTAGTAGATAAATATAAATCAATGAATGAACAAATGAATGAATAAATGAATGACTTATTAATAATTAAAAAATAAATAAAATAAAAAAATAAATAAATAAACAAGTAAATAAATATTTTTTTCATAGGAAAGCCAAGTAATAAATAAAAAATACATTTAAAATAAAAAAATAAGCAAATAAATTATTTAAATCGTATCAAAAAAGTACCAAAGTTATAATTAATCATATAACAGCACAAAAGTTGATTCCTGAACATCTAGTGCCATTTGTTTAATATTTAGAAAAATAAATGTAGCAGTAGATAAACATGAATGAACGAATAAATAAATAAATTAATTAAATAATTAATTAATAACAAACAATAAAGAAATAAATAACCAACCATCCAAATAAATAAACAAACACACAAACAAACAAACAAACAAACAAACAAACAAACAAACAAACAAATAAACAAACAAATAAATAAATAAATAAATAAATAAATAAATAAATAAATAAATAAATAAATAAATAAATGATCAGGAAACCTCAAATACTTGTGACTCCCCATTTGCAATGACAACTTTCTTGTTATTAAGACATTTAGGACAATAAGATATTTAAAAAGGCTTTTTTTCACATGTAGGACTTTATATCCCATTAGGGCAAATATTTCTCAGAATTTTGAAAAAGAAAATTGACAAATTTTGACTTAAAGGGCACCTATGATGAAAATCATCTTTTGTAAGCTCTTTGTACAAAACTGTGTCCACAGTCATACTGTAGTAATATAAAGGGTCACACTTAACAATAAGGTTCATTAGTTAATGTTAAATAATGCATTTACTAACATGAACAAACAATGAACAATACATTTACTACTGTATTTGTTCATGTTAGTTGACGTTAGTTAATGTAAATACAGTTGTTCATAGTTCATGTTAAGTCAGTGCATTAACTAATGTTAACAAGCATGGACTTGGATGTTAATAATGCATTAGTAAATGTTCAATTATGATTAATAAATGCTTTACATGTGTTGTTCATGATTAGTTCATGTTAGTAAATGCATTAACTAATGAACCTTATTGTAAAGTGTTACCATATAAAGACAATAAAATTAAATTTCTAGACATTAAAATAAGATCCAAATTTCTCCCATTTTGAGGCCCATTTTGTGGAGTAGTAGGAGTGTGGTTTTTCTGCCCACTGAATTGATTGACAGCAGAGTATTAACCATAGACTGTATAAGATATGGATGTAATATCCGTGACATCACCCATAGGTTTCTGAAGAGTGCAAAAGAAGCTACAAGTAGGCGTAGCCAACCGTCACCATTTTGTTTGTAGCTCATCGCACCGACTGTGGGATACCAAACAAGGGCAAAGAGGCGGAGCGTGAGCGGAGCTACAGAGGCCTGCTAGCATTTTGCTTAGACAGGCTTTTCTTTGGGAGAAACGCTTAATACTTAATACATTGTGTGTGACTCATCATTGCAGAAAGGCTTGAATTAACTCCACAACAAATACATTAAACAATCATTGTAAAAGATCTTACTGTAGTAATTCTCACAAACATAATGTGAGATCTGCGTCCTTTATATCTGTCACTGTGCTGTTTATCTGACAGAGCAGGAAATGGAGACACTCACACACTCTCATAGATACGGTGGGCGGGGCCAACTAACTAATTTCCATTAAAGGCATAGGCAACAAAAACAGCTACAAGGTGCTCAGAGCTGAAAATTCCAATATTCTGAAAGGTATATTAAATAATCTAATGGGTGTTTTGAGCTGAAATTTTACAGACACATTCTGGAGACACAAAAGACTTGTATTAAATCTTGAAAAAGAGGTCAAATAGGTGCCCTTTAATATCACAATGTTTAAATGTATATCTTACAATTATGGCTTTATTTCTTAGAATTTCTGTCTATAACTGTTGTTATAAATCTTTTTTTTTTCGAAATTAAATTACTGTTACTTATTTAATATTGGATCACTTTATCAACCAATCATTAACAGAAATTACAGACAATTAACACACCTAATGAGCAGAATCCAACCCATGCTAACAGTGCTTTGGCTTTATGCTGTGTTTTGCTTTTTAATGTTGTCTGGTTTGCTACTATATTTCATTGCTTTTTGCATTCCCCCCATTAGATATTGAAAGAGTATTTCGAGGTAAGCCACATTTCCCTTTTAATTTGCTCTTTAGCTTAAGCATGTGTTTGTGATGCTCACTAGTCACCACTTGTTCTGAAAAAGTATTTACAATTTCGTTTTGTGACACCTAAATTTAAGTCAGTGTTGTTCATGTTTCTATTTTTAGGAAGTTCAAACGTGCACCGTGGACCTCGGAACGACTACAGATTGTTCTAATCATCCGGATAATAAGAACAAGAACCGATATGTCAACATTTTGGCATGTGAGAATGATTTTCACATTAAAATTTGATATTATCTTTAAATGCTTTAAAGTCAAATGATTTCCCTTAGAGAATAACCACGTGAGCTTTGCATGTGAAATTGTTTCAAAATTTCAAATTAAGCCTTTTATGTTGATAGCCTTTTGGGCAATGCACCGAAATATAGCACCATTGTGTTTCGGGGTCCCAGGTTTGAGTCCCCCTCACAAAACCATGTCCACCCTTTCTCTCCAACTTCGCTTTCTGTCTAAATACTGCCCTATCGCAATAAAGGCAAAAATGCCACAAATAAATAAATAATAAGGTTCCACTTCATATTAAGTATCCTTAACTACTTTGAACTTGCATCAAAAAATAAATGCAATGTACTTAACGTGTTGGAAATGTATTGCAGAACACTTCTTGAGTTGGGATCAGGTTATGGACAGGATTGGTGGTATTGGTAGGTTTAAGGGAGGGTTAAGGTATAAGGGATGGTCAACAGTATAATTACAAATGTAATTACAGAAATTAATTACAGATGTAATTACATACAGGTAGTTAATCAAACATAAGTACAATGTAAAAACATGTATTTACACAATAAGTACATTGTAACGAATTATAAAGTTCAATGTAAGTACATATTAACTAGTCAATTTAATATAAAGTAGGACCTATAATAACAATAATAATAATAATATTGCATTTATTGTGGAACACATGTGAAACGTGTGGTTTTAGAACATTACCCATGTGTGTTTTATTTTGTTACTCTACCCCTATTATTTGTCATTGTTTTTTAATAGCCTCCTCCCCCTTAATTTCTCATTTGCTTGTTAGCACCCAATTTGTTTAAGCCCCTATGTTTCACTTTTAGTTTGTCATTCATTTGATGTGGATGTTTTTTGTTTGTATCTTTGTAACAATAGCTGGGCTTCAGTCCTAACGTGAAGCAAAACTTTTACAAAGATCAAAAAAAGGGGGGGGGGGAAATGCAAATTAGGTGCATTTCCATCAAGTTGTGTTTCCCCTTTTATTATGTCCGGAATACTTACCTATACCGTCCGATTGATTGGTTAATCATTACATTCCAAGGCATCATACTCCCAGAAACCAACCACTGAAAATCATATCACAAGCTCAGTGAGTGAATATGCTAACATCCAAATATATGCTTGTTCATTGTTTGGCGCCTTCTTGTGACTGGAAAAAACGTAGGTTAGTGTATACTATATTCAGCCATTTCTGTTAGCCTTGGAACGACCATTAGAGCTCAGGAATTTTTTGTTTTGTTTTTGTATAATTGGCCATGTGGCCATGTAATAAATGGTACATCCAGGTGGTTATTTTCAAAAAGTAAAGCCCTTTAATCTTATCTCTTCTGTGTTCTCCCCGTGTTGGCGTGGTTGTTTAATTTTCACTGCTAAAGTCCAAACACTGAAGAGCAAATCCATCAATGTGCAGATTCTGCCATTATTTGCATGAACAATCTTTTAACACATGGATAATACCACCTTAAGAGAGCATACAACATTTGGTAACACTTTGGTTTAGATTACAATTCAGGGTATTATCAAACCCTTAACTAACACTACTCACTCAATAACTACTAATTAGTTATATATTAATCGTTAGTAAGGTAGAAGTTAGGTTTAGGTTGAGGATAGGATTTGGGATGCAGAATAAGATTATACTTAATAACTACTAGTGAACAGTTAATATGTTAATAATCAGCAGGTAATAAGCCAAGAGTTCATATAAAAAACTGTGAACTAAAGTTTTACCAAACTTTTTTATGAATTAAGGGACTAAAAATTAAAAATGTTATTCATTCAGTCACTTGTATATTATGCAATAATTCTAGCTGTGCATTAACACAGAGTGATGGGAACACAGCTGCGATTGTGCCCACTCCTTTTTTTCCACATATATGATCACATGGGTTTACATCAAAATGTTCCAAAATACATGTTTTCTAAAAGATTTTGACATATGATTGCACATGTGAAGCCTATGTTTCTTTTTAAAATGCTGAAGTGTAAATGTGATGATTTTTTAAATATATAAAGATGACTTTTAGTATTGACTGACATAAAATGATCTAATTTTTAATAACATCTCTAGATGACCACAGTAGAGTGAGGCTCGCACCCCTTAACGACAAAGATGGAAAAAGCGGAGGAGACTATATAAACGCCAACTACGTGGATGTAAGACACTTTCCTCAACTTCCTTCACCTCAGAAAAGTTGCCAGCAAACTGTTATGATTTGATCAGTATTTAAGCTATAGATTTTTTTTAAACAGTGGATTTTCATATGTGGTTTGGAGTTCGTCCACATAAAAACATATTATTAGGAGACTGAAACTGAAACTCTGAAAAGTGCAGACAGAATGAAGATTTTCAGAAACTCCCTTTACAATGCAGAGGTTTTGCCTCATGAGATCTGCATGCACTTCTCCTATGTGATTCACCAACACAGCTTTATTCAAATTTGTTCACACCAAACATAGAGAATTGGGTCACTTGCTCTAGTTTACTCATGGGATGTTTTTGTTCTCACACAAACTTTCAGCTTGAATCCAATTATTTGAACTTGTGTCATACTAAGGCCCCGTTTACACTAATGCGCTTTAGTTTGAAAACGCATAAGTTTTGCTACGGTTACGCCATCCGTCCACACTACGCCGGAGTTTTCGAGCGCTGAAAATGGAGCATTTTGGAAACGCTGGAGAGGTCGTTTTCATTCTAAAATGCTGCTGCTCCATCTCAGTGTGGATGGGGGAAAACAGTGAAATCTGAAAATGGAGGCGGGGCTGCTGAGATTTGCTACCTGATTAGGGCTTATGTGTCATTGCGAATCCTTCCCTTATTCGTCAAGCCTCTATCACATGACTATAACACATGTCTTTAACGCTATAGGAAGACAGCAGACCAGCCTTCAATGTAAACAACATGGACACAGAAATGGGAGCGTTGTTTGCACTATTGTCTGTTTAAGGCGCCATTGTGCAGTTATTCATTTGTTACGTTTAGTAACAACTCAACCTCGTCGTCTGTCTTCAAAAATACCTCTCTTGCTTTCTTTGCCATCGCGTTCATTGTTTAACCGGCGTTTGTTGACTAACAATAGCCAAATGCCGAGCGAGACACATGCTTCCTGTTTATACTAGAACGCACATGCCCAGAGTGCGAGAATGGTCACGAGATATACGTTTTTGGTGGCGTAGTGTGTGGACTGAGATATGTTCAGAAACGCTAGTAGAAACGCTAGTGTGAACGCAGATCGTTTTTGATTTTAAAACTAAATCACACTAGTGAAAACGGGGCCTCAGGCAAATTCTGCCTGTTCAAGGCAAACAGATCACAGATTTACATCATTTGTAAGTCATCTTTGTTTGCGCATTTGCATCTATTGTATGTAACTTACTTGCATGAATACTTAGTTCCAAGTTTGGAACCCAGTATAAGGCTGATTTTACTTTTGACTGCCTTGACTGTACATCACAGTGCGTTTTTGCATTTTCATATTTTTTTTACTTAAAAAGGCAAATAAAACTGTTTATAAAAATACATGTGTACGTGTGGACATGACTACCTCAAAGTGTAACCAGTTAAACTAGCAGAAGTGATTAAAACACTTAAAACTCGCTGCTAATTTGCTGTTGATTTGATCTAAGAAAGGTCAGGTCAGCTTGAGTGTGGAAAAGTTTGTGGAGGTCATCAAACTGATATTCTTTCAACATTTAAAAGAAAAATATGTGCAATTCCTTCCATCCATTAACTTCATTTATCTCTTTTTTTATTTTCACACAAGGGTTTTAACAAAAACAAAGCCTACATTGCAGCACAAGGGCCCTTGAAGTCCAGCACACCGGATTTCTGGCGGATGGTGTGGGAGCAGAATGTGGGAGTGATTGTTATGATCACCAACCTGGTGGAGAAAGGAAGGGTAAGACATTTTATGCCGTAGTTTACCTAAATCTGACATTTAGTACACCTAGAATACATTTAGAGTAGATTTAAAATGATTTCTGTCATTCTCAGCATTATCGAATGGCAGAAGACTTAGATTTTGTATAGGATTAGAAGAAATTGAAAATATATAACAGAATTTAGACTTTTGGAGATTAGACGATGATAAATATTGTTTGGATTATTTGTGATGTCTAAGGATATTAATGATTAACGAAAATTGTTGATTTCTCAGAAAAAGTGTGACCAGTACTGGCCTCTGGAGAACCGGGAGGAGTATGGATGTTTTTTGGTTACCGTAAAGAGCACAAATGTCCTTGCTTACTACACCAAGAGAACTTTCACTCTCAGAAATACCAGCATAAAAAAGGTATCAATATTTTTAATAATGGAACAATATTAGTTTTATTATTATTTTCTTTGTTGATATTAAATATTTAATACTTCAAGACAAATTTCCTTGTACTTGTTTTATATCTCACAATTGACTTCATTTGTTTAACTTTGTTTCTAGTGATTGTCACAACTGATAAATTATTGTAATTGTGATTCAGTGTCTAAAATGTACACCTTTTACTACACAATTAAAGTTTTATTAGTGGCAATTGTTATTTTGTATCTAGCAGAGTTAATTGTAGTTGTCCTATTTATGGCTTTATTTTATATTTGCAACTTAATTTCTTTTAATTGTGTCTTTGGGCTCGATCATACACCCGGCGCAATAAGGGACAAGACGTGTGTGGTGCGATGTCTTGCTATTGTCGAAGAAGCACAATCCTAACTAGCACCATGTTGTTTAAACAGCAAATCCATTTGCACCACTTTGTGGACTCATGGGTGTGCCAGTCTAAAAAGGAGGTGTGTTATGTGCATTGCTGGCACTTTGCTATTTTAAGGAACTTTGAGGAGCACTTTAGTTATGCACCTATGTGGGTTCAAACGCTTGCACACAGGATGTACAGCAATACACAAATAGTTTTACATACAAAAAAAGGATTAAAATGTTACAAAAATGGGTATTTTCTACATAAGTATAAAGGTGGGGGAGGGGATTCAAATTTTTCTTTTCAGCTTAGTCCCTTTATTAATCTGAGGTCGCCACAGCGGAATGAATCGCCAGCTTATCCAGCATATGTTTAATATGGTTGCCCTTCTAGCCGCGAAACAGCACTGGGAAACACCCATAGACTCTTGCATTTACACACATACTCTAAGGCCAATTTAGCTTATTTTATTATAATTATTAGCAGTTTCCTTATCTATAAAAGTAAAGGAGAAAAGCGTAAAAGTAAAGTAAAGAGGCCGAATGGAGGACGTTTTCCTTAACTGTTCTCTCACCAGTGAAGTGTTTAGTTTTTCCAATTACAAAGTCCGCCATGTAAATAGCAAATGTGCTATGGTGTGATGCAACTGACTCTTATAGAGAATGGGAGATGAGACTCTGATTTACGTTATGCTCAAAACACACCCATAACTCATTAAGGAAATATGAACAAGCCTGTTAGACATGCTTCGTGGTGCAGACCGTATTTTTTGTCCTTAAAATAGCAAAAGTGAATTCGGACACCCCCTAATGCTTTTGTTCCATGCGCTTTAGACTTGACAATTAGAAATGAAGCCCTATGTCTTAGCAACTGTGACTAAATATTTCCATTATCTAAATCATAAAATAAACATGCATTTTTATAATATATATAAAAATGCCCAGCTTAAATTGACTGAACATTTAAAAACATTTATTTGGAAAGCAATTAGTTGACTTTACTTAAAATAATGAGCCATTGTCTTTAAAGCGATTATTTGACTTTAAATCCAACTGCTTTTCTCACCTGAAGTCAACAAATCCCTTTTAAACGTAAAGTCAACCAATCACTTTAAATTTGAGTGTACCCACTTTTAAAAGTCAATGTATAAGGTTAGAGCAATTCTATTTTATTTAAAGTCAAATAATCACTTCAAATAGAATGGGTTTACTCACTTTATTAGATGAAGTCAACTTAACAAACTTTAAATAAAATGGGTTTAATAAAACTTAATTTAACAAACTAATCAAACTTTAAAAAGTGAGTAAACCAGTTTTATTTAAAGTCAACAAATCAGACTTCTAATAAAATAGGTTTACTCACTTCTTAAAGTCAACCAATCACTTTAAGTAAAGTGAATAGCTGACTACTTAAAATACTACAACTGTATGTGTATAATTATACATTTATAATAAGTTTATTATTAACTAAGTTAACTTAACAGATCCAAGTTACACCAAGGTTATTTGTAGAAAATTTCATTTAGAATTGAATATGAGCTATGTAAAAGTGTTCATCTTAATAATTAATTTAAATAAACTATATTGAACTGTTTATCATTTTGGCGAGGCAGTGGCGCAGTAGGTAGTGCTGTCGCCTCACAGCAAGAAGGTCGCTGGTTCGAACCTCGGTTCAGTTGGCGTTTCTGTGTGGAGTTTGCATGTTCTCCCTGCCTTCACGTGGGTTTCCTCTGTGTGCTCCGGTTTACCCCACAGTCCAAAGACATGTGGTATAGGTAAATTGGGTAGGCTAAATTTCCGTAGTGTATCAGTGTGTGTGTGGATGTTTCCCAGAGATGGGTTGCAGCTGGAAGGGCATCCGCTGCGTAAAAACTTGCTGAATAAGTTGGTGGTTCATTCCACTGTGGCGACCCTGGATTAATAAAGGGACTAAGCCGACAAGAAAATGAATGAATGTTCATCATTTTATAAATAAATTTAAAGTCAATAACTTAACTATTACCAAACATACATGTTTTTTTCTTATAACAACCACAGTTAGGGCAACTTGATGGCTCAGTGGTTAGCACTGTCACCTCACAGCAAGAAGATTGTTGGTTTAAGTCCCAACTGGGTCAGCTGGCATTTCTGTGTGGAGTTTGCATGTTCTCCACGTGTTTGCCTGAGTTTCTCCCGGGTGCTTCGGTTTTCACCACAGTTCAAAGACGTGTACAGGTGAATTTAACAAACTAAATGGCTGTAGTGTATGATTGTGTGTGAGTGTTGGGTTGCAGCTCGAAGGGCAAAACATAAAAACATAGACTGGATAAGTTGGTGGTTCATTCCACTGTGGCAAACCCTGATGAAAAAGGGACTAAGCCGAAGGAAAATTAATGAATGAAACCACCACAGTTAAACTTTTGCTTGTTGTGTTGCATGTTCAAAATACATTATTCAGTTTCATCATAATTGTTTCTTTTTTAGGGTTCTCAAAGATATCGTAGTAACGAGAGGACAGTAACACAGTACCACTACACACAGTGGCCAGACATGGGTGTACCAGAATACGTGCTGCCTGTTCTTTCATTTGTCTACAAGTCTTCTAAAGCCCAAACAGATGGCATGGGCCCAATGGTTGTACACTGCAGGTGGGCTACAGTTCTTATACTTTCAATTTAACAAGACGTGTGATATTTTAAATTGGACATTTCTGATGTGTGTTTACGTGTTTAGTGCTGGAGTGGGCCGAACAGGGACCTACATAGTGTTGGACAGCATGTTAAAACAGATTAAAGAGAAGGGGACAGTCAACATTATGGGCTTTCTCAAACACATCCGTACACAACGGAACTATCTAGTTCAAACAGAGGTGAGTAAACAATAGGTAGGGTCTCATACTGGTATTTAGATATTCATTATTGACTATGAAGGAATTAAAAATCTGTGTAATTAATTCATATGGATACTGAGCTTCCTATTATTTGAACTTGGGCTATGCAATAAACTGGTTGTGGATTCTAAAATTGTGAACTCTATTGGAACTGGTGTTGTGTGTAATTAAGTATAGTTACTGTAATTAAATGAGTTTTCCACTGAAAAAGTTAGTAATTACTTTTCCTTTTTAGGTTTTAGGTAGTTGCAGTCACTTAATCTTGTCTTAAATAACACACAGTTGAAACCAGAAGTTTACATACATTCTAAAAAAAAAGGAACATAACCATTTTTAAAAAAAATGTCTGATAATAAATTATTCTAAACGTTTACTATTTTACCGCCGTTAGGACTAACTAAAATAATTTGAATTTGCTAAATGCAAGAATGATGAGAGAATTGTATTTATTTATTTATTTATTGATTATTGTTTTATTAATTTCTAGAAAATCAAAAGTTTACATTCATTTCCTTGGTTTTTTTTTTTTTAGCTTTGCTTTTAAACTGTACAACTTTGGTAAAATAATTTGGGTATACTTCCATAAGCTTCTCACAATAGTTTGAAGGAATTTTGGCCCATTTCTCCTGACAAAATTGGTGTAACTGAGTCAGTTTTGTAGGCTGTCTTGCTCGCACAAGCTTTTTCGACTCTGTCCACAAATTTTCAATAGGATTGAGGTCAGGGCTTTGTGATGGCCACTCCAAAACATCCACTCTGTTGAATTAAAGGACAGTTGAACTAATTTGGCGGAATACTTAGGGTCATGGTCTGTTTGGAAGACCCATTTGTGGCCAAGTTTTAATTTCCTGGCTAATATCTGTAATGTTGCTTTAGTATTCCTACATAATGTTCTTTCTTCATTATGCCATCTATGCTGCGAAGTGGACCAGTCTCTCCTGTCGCAAAAGTTGGGATGGTGTAGGCTTGTAAGCTTACCCCTTTGTTCTCCAAATGTAACACTGGTCATTATGGCCAAACTGGTTATTTTTAGTTCCATCTGACCACAGAACATATCTACAAAAAATATTCTTTTCCCAGTGTAATATAGCAAAATGTAATCTGGGTTTGTTTACTGATTCTTGCTTGTTGATTTTCCCATGTTGTCACACAAGGAAGCAGTGTGCAAAAAGTGCAATAACCAGAAAAAAGAGCGGGAACTGACTGACTTCTGATAATAAAAGAGTGCTCTTTTCTCCATTCCTGTATTTATTCTGTTCTCAGGGTTTCAATTTTGTTAATTTCAAGTTGCTTTGTTAAAGTTTATGACAGAAAAGTTCTCATTTGGCCATATTATTTTAAGACCAGTCTTAATGTAATGTAATGTCCATGGCGTGTTTATGCACGTGATGTATGACGGTTACATGGCGGATGTTGCACTCTCTTTCTCTCTCGTGAACATGCTTAAATACTTGTGCTACATGACAATATAAAAGCTTTTTTAGTCTTCGAAAGAAAAACAAAACTTTCTTGTCTGCTTTTCCCATACTGCATTTGTTTGGTAAAGGTGAAGGTGGGTGTGTTGAGTCTCCAGCAGTTCAGAATGTGTGTGCGCTTAGAGATGTGTGTATGTGTGTGCGCTTAGAGATGTGTGTATGTACAGTAGGTGCAGAGAAGTGTCAAACAGCTGTGTGGACTGTCCTGTCGCAAAATGCGGCTAAAAGTCCTACACAATGGTAATAGTTTGTATATTGCATATACATGTCGATACTGCATTTCAATAATGCGACTTTCTGCGCTTTTAAAGTGACTTTCCATTGCATGGTAATTCATTTGTGTGGCTACAGTTGTAGCTGTAGCCTCTGCTTGGACATGAATAATGGAGCAGCCTTTGAACTCTGGTTGAAAGAAAAAGTGGTTACGTCACATCCACCCGCCCAACCAAGTGACATGTGCAACACAGAGGCCAGCCTTACCACGTGTATGCAAAGCACTTCAGTCCAGCTTAAAATCTTCAATGCTAATTTTACCCTCACGCAAACTCACAAGACAAATTTTATGGCGATTAAATATATATATTAGATTGTTACACAATCGAAAGAATCAATTAAATGTTTTAGAAATGTATGTAAATATATGGTATGTTTGAAATTTTGTGACATTAATTAAACTTTTTGTGTTTTGCTAAATATATTGTTTAAAATTAAAGTCACATTTTTTTAACACAATTATTTTTAAACACATTCTCAAATGTAATGTATTTAGAATTTAAACATATGCATTTCTATGCATTAAGATTTATGGATATTTGATGTAGTGAGTAATTAACTACCCTTTTAAATTATTTTAGTCAATACTGATCGCAATAAACAGTCTTATGCAAAAGTTTGGCCAGCCCTGATGTTTTTTTATAATTGCAAGCCATAGCCTGCTGGCCTTTCCAATCAGCAATTTCATTTGGATATATTTTATTCCCTAGGAAAACGGCAACATATCAGTTCTGACATAACATTTTGTTTTTATCAACAGATGCAATGCAATTGCAATGCATAACAAAAACAGACAGGTGCAAAAATTTGGACACCCCAACAGAATAATGACATCAATCTTTTGTACAGCCACCTTTTGCTGAAATAACAGCCTGTAGACCAGGGGTCACTAACCCTGTTCCTAGAGAGCTACCTTCCTTCACATTTCAGTTGCAACCCTGACCAAACACACTTGTTTGTAATTATCAAGTGCTGCTTTAGGTACTATTAATTGATTCAGGTGTGTTTGATCAGGGTTGGGACTAAATTCTGCAGTAAGGTAGCTCTCCAGGAACAGGGTTGGTGACCCCTGCTGTAGACACTTCTTATAATCAAGGATTCCCTATATTCTTGCTGAAGGCATTTTGGACTATTCTTCCTTGCAAAATTTCTTTAGTTTAGTCAGGTTTAATGGTGCCCAGTATGAACGTCCTTTTTCAAATCAATCAATAGATTTTCGATGATTTATGGTGTCTAGTGTCTGAGCATGAATTCCTTGGGAGATCTAGAACTGTGCTTTGGGTTATTGTTCTGCTGAAACATCCAACCTTGTCATGTCATAACTTTTGCTGATTTCTGAACATTGTTCTTCAGAATGTGCTGATATTGGGTGTAGTACCTGTGCTTACCACACATCCTTGCAGCATGATGAGCCCTCCACCATATTTTACAGTAGGAAGAATGTGTTCTTTTTCTGCCATGCAAAACGCCTATTGTTGTGGCATCTGTCCACAGCATATTTTTCCAAAATGATTCAGGCTTGTCCAGATGAGCCTTTGCATACCTCAAACGACTCTTCCTGTTGGCAGAATGCAGAAAAGGCATTTCTGCATCCACTTTTGTTGAGCTTTATAATGACATTATTAGCAGCAAGATGTTCCTGGAGCTCTTTGAAGGTGGCCTGTGACCATTGTAACCATTCTTTGCCTTTTAGATATTTTTTCTTGATCTAGCACGTCTTTCCTTCACAAGAACTGTTATTGTGGCCTTCCAATTTCCTACTATATTTCTGACTGTGTACATAGAGACTTTGAACCTTTGTGATAGCTTTTTGCATCCTTTTCCTAATCCATGTTGGTGAGTTTTTGGGTCATTAGGAAGTTTTTTAGAGGTTCCCATGTTGCTACTTTCTGGTTCACAATAAGAAGCACAACTAGCAATCGGCTATCTTAAATATCCTTTTTCATGTTTGATTGCAGTTGTGTTAGGATTGTAAAGGTTCACTGAGTCACTCAAATCAATTTTGTGTTGTAATTGACCAGCATTAAGTGACTGCAGGTTTTGAAATCCACAAATAAAAGAGGGTGCCCAAACTTTTGCATAGCCTATTTTTCAGTTTCAATTTAATTTTGCAAATCTCAATACTGCTACACTATGTATTTCTGTTTGAAAAACATGTCATTATCTAGCTTTCACTAGAAACAGAATAGTATTTCCCTGTGATTTTCCCTTAAAAAGAAAAAGAGCACATAATTTTGCAGTCACAGAGGGGTGCCCAAATTTTTGCATGAAACTGTATATCAACAAATAATTAAAGTATGCTTTTTCCAGGATTTTGAAGAAAATTTGATCAAGTGTCCTTTTTCACGATCAGATGTTCTGCTACATTTACAGGAGCAATACATATTTACCCATGATGCTCTAGTAGAAGCTATTTTGAGTCAGGAGACAGAGGTGTCGTCAAGCCATATACATCAGTATGTGAACAACCTCCTGACCCCAGGAGCCTCATGCAAGACACGCCTGGAAAAGCAGTTTAAAGTAAGCACACTCAGTTACTGAAGAACACAGATGGAAGTCAATATTATAACTTCTACATGGGAATGACCTTGTGATTGCAGTTGGTGTGCCAGTCCAATGCCAAACAAAATGATTGCAGCGCTGCCCTGAGTGACTGCAACAGAACCAAGAACAGGAACTGCTCTCTGATTCCTGGTGGGCCCATAAAACTACTGAGATTACTGTTATTATAGATAGGTGGATGGGTGAGTGGGTGGATGTATGGATGGAAGGATGAATAAATGGATGGATGGATTGATGGATGGGTGAATAGGTGGATGCATGGCTAGGTGGGCGGGTTTATGGATGTGTGGGTGGGTGTTTGGGCAGGTGGATCACATGATGAATGGGTAGATGGGCATTTAATTGGGTTAATACATGGGTGAGTTAGTGGTTGGGTGGATGGATGCATGGATGGGTAAGTGGGTGTGCGATTGGATAGATGGATGGATGGATGGATGGATGGATGGGTGGGTTGATGAATTGGCGGGTGGATGGAAGAATGGATGGGTGGATGGGCCAGTCAATGGAAGGTTGGATCAGTGGAAGGAGAAATAAATGGTTGGATGAATAGGTAGAAGGGTAAATAAATTGGTTAGATGGATGGATAGCTGATGGACAGGTGGATAGATAAATAGATTGGTGGATGAATAGGTAGGTGAGTGAATAAATTGGCTATATACATGGATGTATTGTTGGATGGATGGATGGATGGATGGATGGATGGATGGATGGATGGATGGATGCATGGGCAAGTGGGTTTGTGGATAGGTGGCTGGGTGCTTAGGTGGGTGGATGCATGTATGGGCAGGTGGGTGTGTGTATGGGTGGATGGATAAATGTATGGGTGGATGAATAGGTAGGTGGGTGAATAAATTGGCTGGACAGATAGATGGATGGATGGATGGATGGTTGAATGGCCATTCAAGTGGGTTTATGGATGAAAGGGTGAGTGGCTGGGCGGACTGATGCATGGATAGGTGGGTGAGTGAGTGTATGGATGGATGGAAGAACGGGTGGATGGGCGAACTGATATTTTTATGGATGGTCGGGTGGGTGAATGGCAAAATGAATGGGTGGATGAATAGATAGGTGGGTGAATTAATTGGCTAGATAGATGGGTGGATGAATCGGCGGTCAAGTGGGTTTATGGATGGACGGGTGAGTGGGTGGACTGATGCATGGATGTGTATTAATGGATAAAAGAATGGGTGGATCGCCAGCTGAGCAAATGGTCTTATGGATGGTTGGGCAGGTGGATGGATAAATGAATGGTTAGATAAATTGGCTAGATAGATGGGTGGATGAATGGATGGATGAATGGGCAGTTGAGGGGGTTTATGGATGGATGGGTAAGTCGTTTTGTGGACTGATGCATGGATAGGCATTTGAGTGGGTGTATGGATGGATGAAAGAATGGGTGGATGAGTGGGTGAGAAAATGGTCTTATGGATGGTTGGGTAGGTGGTTGGATAAAAGAGTGAGTGGATGAATGGGTTGGTGGTTAAAAAAATAGGATAGATGTGTGGATAAAGGATTGATGGATATCGGGTGGGTTTATGGATGGGTGGGTGAATGGTTGGCGGACTGATGCATGAATGGGCAAGTGGGTGGGTGTATGAATGGATGGAGGAATGGTTGGATGGGTGGGCAAGCGAGCGAATGATCTTATAAATGGATAAATAGATGGATGGATTGATGGATGTATTAACAAATGGACAGACAGAAAGATAGAGAGATAGAATGATTGATTGGGCAAATTAGATGTACAGATGTATAGACAAATAGATGGAGGGATGAGTAGACAGAATAATAGACAAGCAGATGAATAGATACAGAGATAGTTAGTTCCACAAAAGTGACTGTGGTGTGTTTTGCAGTGGAGAAGTCTCGAGTGTGTGTGTCCTCGTCAGCAGGAGAAACATCAGATTACATCAACGCCTCATATGTCATGGTGAGACATTCAATGCTTCTCTCTATCTGCTCATTCACATGAACAAAGCTAACGTATGAATGCTTTTATATCAGGGCTATCGGCAAAACAAAGAGTTCATCATTACCCAGAATCCTTTGCCCAACACAGTGAAGGACTTATGGAGGATGATATGGGATCAAAATTCCCAGGTTATAGTTTCACTGCCGGACACGAGCAGCACGGTCAGTACTGCTGTCAACAGATTTTATTGCTAAATGCTTTATAGTATCACAAATACGGCTGCAAGATTAATTAAAATAAAATGGTGTAATGTTTGGAAAAATAATTAGACCATATTAGGTATTTTATCGTCAAAAAGTTCATTGTATTGTTCTCCTAAACACTTTTTAAAAAATGTAACTTTACTGTGATTTTTTTACAATAGTAATTTGATTAATTTGGTATTTTTAAATGATTGTACTTATCAGTATTACTACTACTACTACTACAAATGATTTTTTTCATATTAGTTATTTTATTAGTAGAACTCATTTATAGCTATTTTGATAGTAAAGCACAATTAATAATAAAAAAACTAATTAAATCAAAATTAATTCAAAAAAGAAAAATGTATATGAAAGAAAGAAGTATTTGGAAAATAACAAATATTTAGATTTATTTAAAAAAAAAAAAAAAAAAAAAAAACACCTGTGTCATTTTGTGAACAACCAGCATTTATAGGGTTAAAATTCTGAAAATTAATGATTGTTTGTTTATTATGATTAGTACTGATGCTGGTTAAAAAAATCCCTGATCAGATCACACGATTTTGGCACGATTTCCTTGATGTAGTGACTCGTGGAGAAACAAATGGCCGTCATGACACAATCGTTTCTTCTCGTGTAATGTAGCATAGGTTTCGACAACTTATAGCATGTGTGCGACGCCTCACGACACCATCGCAGAAAGCAAGTTTAATTTTTAAAGTAGCAAGTTTAATTTTTTCCCGAACTTCAAGACGAGTTCCGTCACTTGGGTGAAACTGGACAATAGGAGCACATCATTTCCCAGGTATCTCAGCTGCTGCTGTTAATCCGCACGGGTGGATAAGATCAATCATTAGTTAATGCAAATTTAACTACTTTTTTAAAAATAATAAAGTGTTAAGCAATTTTATCAGACAGACTGGCATAAATTTACAGACATCTCCATTCTCTCTGCCTTCCGACCAAGTTCGTTCTTCAGGGGTAATCTGGAAACATGTTCAGTGCTGCTAATACATTGTAAAAGCCTGTCTTGCTTATTCAAATTACTTGATTAAACTAACTTAATTTAAACTTACCAGCAATGAATGATTTGTCATTTAAAATGAAAACAGTTTAATATAGTCTTCTCTGAAACTGTGAATATTTCTTTTTAATTTTATTTAGGCCAGATTTTATTTTATTTAACAAACCAGTGGACTGGTTTTGAAGCACGTCAGGTCAGATTTTATTTGTTATTCTTGTTTATCTAACTAACTAAAAAAATAATAATAATAAAAAAGGAAATTAAAATTAAGATATAAATTATACCAAACAAAATTTGTTTTAAAAATTTATTTTATCCAAAAAAATATACAAATTAATTTTTGTTTGTGCCCGTCCACTACTCAACTGTGTGGGTGGATGATTTGTTTCACTCCATGGAAAATAAGGCATTAATTTAAAGAATGCTTCCCTGTAATTCTTGTATCACAAACCTCATTGCATTGTCATTATATTGGCTTGAGCATCATATTTTTCCTTAGTGCTAATGTGCTTTCATTTTCTCCATCTTACTCGCGACAAATTCAGCCGAGAGAGTGTTTAATAATCAAACATGGCTGGAAAATATACATTTATATTTAAAACAAAATATCTTATTAAAAATTAAATATACCTTTGATCCTATCAGTGTCATAACGAATGCCCTTAAATAATAGCCCATTTGTCACCAAGCATGATTGTTTATTGAGACTGACAAAAGATTAACAAGATAAGAAATATTGTTATAGTAAACCTTGTGACTGCTTTGGGAAATAAATTTCATCGTAGATGTCACGGGATGACTGATCATGAAGGAATGTGTAGTCTGACTTATTTGTTACCCACGACAAGTCAAGATTTTATTTAGACATTATTGCATAATCTGATATAGTGACTTTCGTAACCAACAATAAAAATCATGTGACCAGGGCTTAAGAGGAACTTTTTTTTTGCCCTAGAGTTAAACGATAAAATATAAAAAAATATCATTATTATTGAGTTTGATTATTAATATTACTAACATATTAGTAATATATAATAGTAATAGTATAATAGTGTAATAATAGTATTATTAACATTATTGGCATAATCATATATAATCACACATTTCTGGCTAAACTATGCAGTTCTACAGGCACCAGGGCAATTTTTTTTCTGATAATGTCCAGTTATTTCCAGATGATCTTCCAATACTGAATGAAACTGATTGCCCTTTTATTAATCTCTCATTCCCTTTCTCCCTCCATCATTTTCTTCTATTCCACTCCTAGACAGAAGACAGCGAGCCAGTCATATTCTGGCCTACAAGAGATCAGCCAATCATCTACGAGACGTTCTCTGTATCATTAAGAGGGGAGGACCATGTGTGCCTGTCCAATGAAGACATGTTGATAGTGCAGGATTACATCTTAGAGGCGACTAAGGTAATACAGTAACACAGCCAATCAGATTTCACGACTAATATTAGCAACAACAACAACAAAAAACTGAATCAGATATATATTACCCATAATTCACAGAAGAGGAAGCTACCATCGTAAAGCTATGATAATCAATTCAGTGAGATGTAAATGAGCGATTTCTGTGCGTCATTTCTCCAAAACCATTGAAAAACACGAACGTGGGCATCTGTTTTGAAGATCGCAGCTGGTGCCTGCCGTACGATTGTGGAAAATATTAGGAAGAGCAAATGGCTGCTGACGAAAGTGAGAACAGAGTCTGTTAAACAAACATCTGGTGCTTTTCACACACTTAGCATTAAACCATCTGTATCTGAAGCACATTGGTTAGACTGCATACGCCTGATCATGAACACACACAGGCACACACACACACACTCACACACAGGTTTTGGTGGTTTATGAGCACTCTACATTGGCGTAATGTCTTTTATACTCCAAAAACTGCCTATATAGCCTTACCCTACTCGACCCCTACCCTCTGTTTTATATAGAGAAAACAGAAAAGGGGCAAGACATGAACCACTAGGAACCTCAGCATTTTGAATGTGAAAAGTATGATTTCATTGTATTGACAGGTCATGTCCTCATAAACCAACTCAACATTGTAATACCTAGGTAATACACTGGGTTGAGTTGAATGTAATAAGCCAGTTACTGTTTATTTAAATAAATAAATTTTACCTTTGAAATAATAAAAGGATTAATTATTATTCTTAGGCAATAAAAAAATAATTATATATATATATATATATATTAATGATTTGATCTATCTATCTATCTATCTATCTATCTATCTATCTATCTATCTATCTATCTATCTATCTATCTATCTATCTATCTATCTATCTATCTATCTCTCTCTCTCTCTCTCTCTCTCTCTCTCTCTCTCTATATATATATATATATATATATATATATATATATATATATATATATACACACACACACACACACACACACACACACACACACACACACACACACCCACACAAATATATATATACACTCGCCAGCCACTTTATTAGGTACACCTTACTAATACCGGGTTGGACCGCTTTTGCCTTCAGAACTGCCTTACATTGGTTTGGCTCATTTCTTGAAACAGAAATAATATTCTCAAAACAAAACAACATGGACAAACCTCCAAAACTACTAGGCAATTGTTCACAACAGAATTAAATTTCTCATTAGTTTCATCAAATTGCAAATGTCTAAGTACATCTTTGCAAATGATTAAGTACAGATAGCCTACATTCAGCACAATTTCCAAGTAAATAGATCTAGTTGATCTGAACTGATTGTAGATTCTCAGTTCAATGGTTGTTCTCTCCAAAATATGTTAGGGTCATTTCATTGTATGTCATTACATGCACAATAGTCTGTTCAATTGTCAAAATTAATCAAGACCTTAATACCATGAATACCATAGGTGAATCCCTGGAACATTTGATTACAATTTATTACAGCTTATTATTTTAATGTACAATTTATTACATTCTTTTTGCTCTGACATATGGAAGTTACTTAATGTGTGGTTGATCATTACAATAAAAAAGAAGTTACTATTTCTGTGGCAGTATGAGTGCAATGTGTGACGTCAAACCTTGGAGGCTACTCTTACCCTTAAATCCTATTTCTTTTTTCAGTTTTATACACAATTGAATTCTGTTACCTAGACAAAAAAATAAATAAAAATACAGTAACCAATCTCCCATTCCACCACATCCCAAAGGTGCTCTCTGGCGACTGTGTAAGCCATTTGAGTACTGTGAACTCATTGTCATGTTCAAGAAACCAGTCTGAGATGATTCACGCTTTATGACATGGCACGTTATCCTGCTGGAAATAGCCATCAGAAGATGGGTACACTGTGCTCATAAATGGATGGACATGGTCAGCAACAATACTCAATACTGTTGACACGATGCTCAACTGGAAATAATGGGCCCAAAGTGTGCCAAACAAAATCCTCCATTACCATTACACCAACACCAGCAGCCTGAACTGTTGATACAAGGCAGGATAGATCCATGCTTTCATGTTGTTGATGCCAAATTCTAACATCTGGCAGTTTCCTATTCTTAGCAGACAGGAGTGGCAACTGGCGTGGTCCACAGAGATGCTCCTCTGCATACCTCAGTTGTAACGAGTGGTTATTCGAGTTACTGTTGTCTTTCTATCAGATCGAACCAATCTGCCAATTCTTATCTGACCTCTGGCATCAACGAGGCATTTGTGTCCACAGAACTGTCACTTACTAAATATTTTTTTATTTTTCTGTAAACTCTAGAGAGGGTTATGCATGAAAATCCCAATATATCAGCAGTTTCAGAAATACTCAGACCAGCCCATTTGGCACTAACAACATTGCCACGTTCAGTCACTTAAATCACCTTTCTTCCCCATTCTGATGCTCGGTTGGTATCAATGTGGCATCAAAGTACCGCGTCAGCACTCCAAGATCAGATGACTGATTCAGTCGGTGCAGCACCTGAAGAGTGACTGTAGGAGCTGCGATGATGACACTGATATTACACGATTGGCTTAGTTCACAGCATGACAACAACCATGTGTGTTTAGGGTTTATTATTGGACAAATTATGTTTAACAAATTTAAAAACAAACAATTCCTTTTTATGCCATCTCTATCTTGTACACATCATGCTTATTAAAACACTACAAATATTTTACGGCAGTATTATCTTTTGTTAAATAATTTGTTTATAAAGGCTAGATTGTCTGCACAGGTTTATTTTCAACCTTTTTATATAGACTATTTACTGTATTCAGCTCCATGAATGATTTACTTATATATTTTAGTGAATAACCTAAATATTAACTCAAATAAGTATTACAGACTTGTAATAAAATAATTATCATCATTGATCCTGACACCCCTATAAAGGTTTCTTAACAAATTAAGTTAAAGAACTATTTTATTAAATATTTATAAAATTATTTATATGATAATAAAATATATAGTTTTGTCCTGTAAAGCCGAAGCGACATCGATGTACGCTCATTCTGGGAAACTTCTACTTAAAGTGTAGCTCACTTATTTTAGGAATCTCCTTTTGTTCAATCTTTTTGAATTAATGCGCTTTTCTGAAAAGGCTTTCATCATCCAAAATAATCTTTATCATTGTTTAAGACAATCAAAGCACCTTGTTTTGGATTTTACACTAATATATATAGTAAAGTTTTATATTTATAAATGTAAATAAATGTAAACCCCTTTTTAGCATAATCAAGCAAGAAATATTAACCTAAACAGTGATGTTTAAACTCCTATAATTTGTGCTTATTGCTTTGTACTTAATAGAACTATTTAATTTTATGTTTATATTACCCTCTCGTTTCCCCTTATTTCTCTTGTACGTTTGTTATACATTTAATTAATAATTTCCTTATTGTTTAAAATGAATTAGTTTGTAGAGACTGTATTCCGCTTTGTTTGTACTGTAAATCTTAAGTTGTTATAAATAAAATTAAATAAGAGTAAAAAATGATGATGACGCCATGTGATCGGTGAGCATGACAGCCGCAACTTTGAGTGTCCGGCTGTCTGGCTCCGTTTTCAACTTCGCCCCCACCTGCACTCAGCCAATCTCATAGAACACCGGCTGAAGCCATGGTTCAAGTCGAATCCACCTCATGTCTACATACTGCGCCACTGCCTTGCCATAAAAGATACATTTAAAAAAAATAAATCATAGCTTAATCCACAAATCAAACAAATCTAATGATTTACACTATGTGATTTTTTGCATAATGATAACTTCGCATCAAACTGAGGCTTTCGTTTTATTGACCTTACTCTTCAATGCGAAAGTGGGCTCCTTTTTGCGGTTGTTTTAGAACTTCTGATTCAGTTGTCTATGGGGGAAATGACTAGGAATAAAAACACCAAAAAACAGCCAAACTACTAGCTCTACAAACAAGTGTGTTCGTTACTATACAGACAAAGAAGAATAGAATAATAAAAATACATAAGTTTGCAATATCGAGCAGTGTAAAGAGCTGTTTTTAACGTCTGAAAATGAATGGAAGTGAATGAGACTGGAAGTCTTGAGCCAAAAAGATTGCCTGTGGCCGCTCTTACGCGAATAATAAGGTCAATAGCTGTATAAACTAAAAACATGGATGCAAATCACTGCAATACTACATGTAAAAAACTAAATTATTAAATGCTATAGTAAGCTACTATTACGCCATGTGATCGGTGAGCAAGACAGCCGCAACTTTGAGTGTCCGGCTGTCTGGCTCCGTTTTCAACTTCGCCCCCACCTGCACTCAGCTAATCTCATAGAACTCCGGCTGCAGCCATGATTCAAGTCGAAGGCACCTCATGTCTACATACTGCGCCACTGCCTTGCCATAAAAGATACATTTAAAAAAAATAAATCATAGCTTAATCCACAAATCAAACAAATCTAATGATTTACACTACGTGATTTTTTGCATAATGATAACTCCGCATCAAACTGAGGCTTTCGTTTTATTGACCTTACTCTTCAATGTGGAAGTGGGCTCCTTTTTGCGGTTGTTTTAGAACTTCTGATTCAGTTGTCTATGGGGGAAATGACTAGGAATAAAAACACCAAAAAACAGCCAAACTACTAGCTCTACAAACAAGTGTGTTCGTTACTATACAGACAAAGAAGAATAGAATAATAAGAATACATAAGTTTGCAATATCGAGCAGTGTAAAGAGCTGTTTTTAACGTCTGAAAATGAATGGAAGTAAATGAGACTGGAAGTCTTGAGCCAAAAAGATTGGCTGTGGCCGCTCTTACGCGAAGAATAAGGTCAATAGCTGTATAAACTAAAAACATGGATGCAAATCACTGCAATACTACATGTAAAAAACTAAATTATTAAATGCTATAGTAAGCTACTATTACGCCATGTGATCGGTGAGCATGACAGCCGCAACTTTGAGTGTCCGGCTGTCTGGCTCCGTTTTCAACTTCGCCCCCACCTGCACTCAGCTAATCTCATAGAACACAGGCTGCAGCCATGGTTCAAGTCGAAAGCACCTCATGTCTACATACCTAAATGCATTGAGTTGCTGCGATGTGATTAGAAATTTGCGTTAACAAGCAGTTTCTACAGGTGTACCTAATAAAGTGGCCGATGAGTGTATATATGTGTGTGTGTGTATATTTACATATTTACTTTATACAAATATATATTTTTCATATACAAATATGTGATTTGTCAACTAAAGAGGCTTATATTAAAGGAATACACATGCTTAAAAACAATGAAGTGATCCTGTAATTAATGTCAATATATCATACTGTATGTATGAAATAGTCATTAATACTTTGAAACACTTTTGTTCTGATGTTTAACATTTCTTAAGTGTTAATCTTTTTAAATGAATCTAAAAGGATGTCCAATTAAAATAGTTGAATTCATATTCTGTTTGCTTTGAGATTTATAACAATAGTAAGTAGTATTGAGTCAAGCAATTACACTTTGAGTAGTTTGTTACTTTTTAGACAAAGTAACTATAAAGTAAATTAAATACAGTTTTTATGATGTAATTAATGAATTACTTTTTATAATTACCGTACCCAACCATGTCACTCTCACACACACACACACACACACACACACACACACACACACACACACACACACACACACACACACACACACACACACACACACACACACACACACACACACACACACACACACACACACACACACACACACACACACACACAAATTAATCTCTTTTCTCTGTCTTTCAGGATGACTTTGTTCTAGAAGTGAAGCATTTCCGCAGCCCACGTTGGCCAAACCCAGACAGTCCCATCAGTAGCGTCTTCGAGATGATCAGAATCATCCAAAAAGAGGCCAGCTCCAAAGATGGACCAATGGTCATTCATGATGAGTGAGTTGCATCTTGGCCCTGAAGGGGACACACACTGCGTCTTGGAAAAGACACAGTTTTCTGTGTTCCAGAAGCCAACGGGTCATCTAACTGTCTGCTGTCCACAGCTACTCCTGCCCAGCTTTGAATAGCATGAAAATCCATTTTTGCTAGACTAGAGATGTTGGAGCAGCTGTCAAATAGTAATAATAGCTTCAAAACTAGAAATAGTATGCTGTTATAATAATAAATAGTAGTTTTTGGTAACACTTTACAATAAGGTTCATTAGTTAATGCATTTACTAACATGAACTAATCATGAACAACACATGTACAGCAATTATTAATCATAATTAAACATTTAGAAATGCATTATGAACATCCAAGTTTGTGCTTGATAACATTAGTTAATGTACCATGAGTTAACATGAACTAACAATGAACTACTGTATTTTCATTAACTAACGTTAACTAGCATGAACAAATACAGTAGTAGATGTATTGTTCATTGTTTGTTCATGTTAGTAAATGCATTAAATAACATTAACTAATGAACCTTATTGTAAAGTGTGACCTAGTTTTTTATATTGTAATTGCATTTAATCTAATTTATTTTAAAAATATTAAAATTAAGGGGCATAGGGATGCACATATTAACCAAATAGCCGTTAAGGTTAATTTTTATAATATATTAATATTATATATTAATATACATATATTTAATAATATATGTATTATTTAAGTTTTGCTGCATAAATGTAGAACACATATTTGTTAACTGGCAGGGTGGTAACACCTTCCTAGATGTATTTTGCCAAAATGAAAGGAGCAAAAAGAAAGATATTGGTGGTTACAGTTTGACACAGACGAGTTTATGCCAAACCAGGGCTAATGGTAATGCCTCTCTCCTGGATCTGTGTCATAAACACCTCTGTCTCTTTGCACAAGTGGAGGAAGAAGCCGCAAAAACAAACATTTTCTGAAATGTGGAGTAGGAGCGTCTGGGTTTTCTCTTCATCAGAGCACGTTGCGGCACCACTCATGAACACAACAGATGCAGTTTTGAGGATTTTGAGTACAAAATACCAATTTCTATTCAGAAGGTTACAGTTATTATTAGTTCTTGTAAAAGATATATTTTTAAAAAATCATAGCTTAATCTACAAATCAAACAAATCCAATGATTTAGGCTACGTGATTTTTTGCATAATGATAACTCCGCATCAAACTGAGGCTTTCGTTTTATTGACCTTATTCTTTAATGCGGAAGTGGGCTCCTTTTTGTGGTTGTTTTAGAACTTCTGATACAGTTGTCTATGGGGGAAATGACTAGGAATAAAAACAGCAAAAAACGGCCAAACTACTAGCTCTACAAACAAGTGTGTTCGTTACTATACAGACAAAGAAGAATAGAATAATAAGAAAACATAAGTTTGCAACATCAAGCAGTGTAAAGAGCTGTTTTTAACGTCTGAAAACGAATGGAAGTGAATGAGACCGGAAGTCTTGAGCCAAAAAGATTGGCTGTGGCTGCTCTTACGCGAAGAATAAGGTCAATAGCTGTATAAACTATAAACCATGGATGCAAATCACTGCAATACTACATGTAAAAAACTAAATTATTAAATGCTACAGTAAGCTATACTTAAAGAAAGTGAACATACCTCATCATGAACCACGAGTGAAAGAGGAAATGAAAGCACATAAGCTCTAAGGCAATGGCGTCCTCTGTTCGGCAGGGCAGGTGTCCTGCATATTTTGGTTCTAACCCCAATTAAACAAACCTGAACAAGCTAATCAAGCTCTTTCTAGGTATCCTAGACTTCTAGGGAGGTGTGTGGGAGGAAGTTGGAGCTAAACTATGCAGGACACCGGCCCTCCAGGATTGTGGACACCCCTGCTCTAATGTAAAATCAGATGCTCAGGACATAATCTTTAAAATAATGACTTCTATTAAAAATGTTGACAGAGGTTTGTGATATAACAATTACAGAGGAACATTAATTAAATGCATATTTGCTTTGGAATTTTTATTTGACGGAAGAAAACATATAATTGGAAAAAGCTTATGCTGGTTATTAAAAAGGATTCAGTCAATGTTTTCCTTTTGTAATCTAAATCAGTAAATCAAGTGAAAATATCTAGGGCAGGCTAGTTTATTTTATTCTTTTTATTTAGTTTATTCTGTTTTTCTATGCTGTTGGAAAAACTGCAGGTGCTTGAAGATGCTGTTAATAATGTTGTGTATGCTGTTTTTCGCATGTTAAAATAAATCACTATTTTAAAATGCAATATTTAATGTGTCAGACATAAAATAGACGTGTCATTTATTATTTTTTTAGTATTAAATAATAATTTGATAATAATCTTACCTGTTAACAGTTATTATTCAGTTGTTGGTTGGGAAAACTAACCGAAATGAGCCAAAGGGGCATATTTATTTTGTAGGCCCCTATATAAAATTAATTTTACTTTCATTTGTTTATTCATTTTTTTACTCAAATTCCATTTAAATTGTATTGGCCAAAACGTATATTACCAAAAAAATAAATTAGGATGTACTAAAAATGAATTTTTAGTAACCCTTTAAAAATACTTTTTTTTTTTGAATATGTTTTTTATTATTATGCACCTTTAAAACTATGATCCACCTTTAAAAGAATCACAAAGCACTTTACAAGCATATGAAAATTATGAATCAATAAATGTTTTTCCTTCATGTTTGTATCTATTGTAAAGCATCCTTCAGCAATGTAAATCCTGCACTGCCTAAGCAGTGTGGGTGTTTTAATGCACGTCTTGGTGTTTACATTTTTGAAATATCCCCAAAAAAGCATTTAGAGAAAACAGAAAGGGACCGAGACAAGAACCTTGTGGAACCCCAAATGATTTAGACCCGCATGAATCAACAAAACTCCCGTATTTTACAGCAAAGATTCTCTTATTTAAATAAAACAGGAATAACTTCAGTGTAAGCCCCCTGATTCCCACCCACGGTCTCAAAACGGTTCAGGGATTGCATTCAGAGACCGCTTCATTCCTGATGGCTACATGCAGTGCTTGTCAAAACATAGATCAGCGGCACATCAATGATGCCCAAAACTGTTGTTTATGTAGGTGGCTCACTAGGGTTAGAACTGAACATGCTTTATCATAGATTTGTTTAATAATCTGTTCTGATGGTTTCTGAAGGCATGATTTCCCTTTGTTTCTGCAGACATGGCGGTGTGACTGCTGGAACATTCTGTGCGCTGTTCACTCTACTTCAACAGCTTGAGGCCGAGAGTGTGGTGGACGTCTATATGGTGGCCAAGATGATCAACCTCATGAGGCCTGGAGTCTTCACTGACATTGTGAGGGATTATTTGATCATATGCATGTACACGGAACTGGATAGATTACTTTTGGATTGTAGTTAGTTACTGATTGCAAATTGAATTTATAATCCGTAATATAATCTCTTGGACGACCCGGTGGCACAGTGGGTCTGTTGTCAATTCTGTGTGGAGTTTGCATGTTCTCCCCGTGTCTGCTTGAGTTTTCTCACGGTGCTCCGGTTTCCCCCACAGTCCAAAGACATGTGGTATACTGTATGTAGGTGAATTGGGGAGGCTAAATTGGCTGTAGTGTGTGTGGATGTCCTGGTCCTCCAGGTTGAGCTAACAACCCACCATATAAAATTTGACGTTACGAAACACCAATATGGTGCGGCTAAATATCAATATATAAATGGCTTTTTGAATAAGTAAGTAATGTAATCTCTTATCCCTGCTGAAAAATCCAGCTTAAACCAGCCTAGGCTGGTTGGCTGGTTTTAGCTGGTTGACCAGCCTGGTTTTAGAGGGGTTTTGGCCATTTCCGGGCTGGTTTCCACCCATTTCCAGCCTGGAAAATGACCAGCCAAATCCAGCTAAAACCAGCTCGACCAGCCTGGCTTAAGGCGGATATAGGTGGTTTTGGCTGGACTTCCAGCTTGGCTAGGAGGGTCAAGCTGGTTTTAGCTGGTCATCTTCTAGCCTGACCAGCTAAGACCAGGCTGATAATGGCTGGAGACCAGCCTGAAAGTGGCCAAAACCCCTCTAAAACCAGCCTGGTCGACCAGCTAAAACCAGCCAACCAGCCTAGGCTGGTTTAAGCTGGATTTTTCAGCAGGGATGCTGTGTTCAGACCAGACACGGCATGCGCAGATAAATCGCTCTATTCACATGTAAATAGATGTGTGAACATTTCGAGTTTACAGGCTTCATTCGCGCGTTAAATTCGCTTCATATGGCGTCAAATTCATCTCAAAATAGACACAAATTTGCGTCATGGGCAGGGCTTCAGTCCGTCCGGTGACTCCAGCTCTGTTGCTAAATGGCTAACACATTTTTTTTGAGAAAATAGCTGTTTATGTGCCTTTCTGAAGGCTGAAAAACAGTGTAGATACGTTACAATAGTCTATTAGATCCATTTAGAGGTGCACCCAGCTCTGAGCTCATAAACTCCTACAGAAACTGTGATAATGGAAGCTTTCAATGATGAACTGTTGTCAAGTGTCAGCAGGAGGATTTCCCCCCCGGGACATTAACAACAGTCATTACATCATAATCACGTCTCAACAAGACAAAGCTCCTGATTGGTTAACTTGGCGTGAATGTCTGCTGAAGTTCAGATTTTCCAACTTAAACGATTCGAGCAAAACGATCAACTCGCACCGTTTCATTCGCACAAATTGCGTCATTCGCACTGCCTCTTGCACGCATCGTGCCGCAAGGTGTCTATTCGTGTCTTTGCATTGACTTAACATGTAAATCACGTGTGTGGTGTGAACGCAGCATAAGGTTAGACTTATACAGTCACAAAATTGGACTACTTTTGAATTACATTTAGATTACTTTTGTAATGTACTTTTTGTGGATCCCTTTTATTTAGATTACCCTTACTTAATGATTGCAGCAGAATTTTGACACCACTGCTATTGTGTAAACATGTAATCTATTAAAAACTAACTGTATTTGAAAGCATGTTAAATAGTACTTTAGGTTAATTACAAATACTTGATTTTTGAAATCTGATATCGTAATTCAGATGACAGTTACTATCCAGGCCTGCATTTATACATACAGTGGTCCCTTGCTATAACGCGGTTCACTTACCACTTTTTCGCGCAATTTGACATGTTTTTTTCATTGTGTTCTGTGTCCTGATTAGCACATTGTGTTCTGCGTCCTGACTGGCTGACCATTGTTGATCAATCTCCTCCATGCCGTGTCTCCTGTACATTACAGAATGAATTTAGGTTGCCAAATTTATATAAATGTTCGATCGAGCAGTGTGACTTTGAAGTGCTGGACTGTATGTTTGCAAGTTCTCTCCTCACAATGAACGAAATGTTCTGCACTTGCAAAGGCAACTGCGGTAACACCCAAAAGGCTGAGGAAGATGCTAACTGTCGCACAAAAAATTGGACTGTTCTGGACATGCTTAAGGAACGAAGACGTTACGCGGCTGTAGGGCGCCATTACGGAATAAATAAATCAGGATCAAATGGTTTTGATCTTTGGTTTCATTCTATAATACTGCACTTATTTTTCTACGAAGGTTTGAACTTTGTTTAAACTAGAGAAAAAAGTGTGAAAATGTTAATGCCTGTCTAAGAAAAAAGTATATAAAGTGTGTAGTGAGGGGTTTTACAGCCTTAAAACATCCATAATAATGTTACTAATGCTACTTTGCGGATTTCACCTATTGAGGGTTATTTTTATAACATAACTCCCGCGAATAACGAGGGACCACTGTAAACAGAATTTGTGTGTATAGAGTTTTTTTGTCTATATAGATTAGAGATCAAAATTTTGGAAAATCTTACGTTTCCTAGATTTTTTATTATTCCTATTTGAAGTTACAGGAGGAGTAAATAAAAGTATACTGCATTTAATAAGTTACATATTCTAGCGATAATAATTATTAATAAAAACATAAATTGCTAATGACAAAAAAAAGGTATGGGTTTGAATAAAATGTTAAATATTTGTTTTATTCTATGAATACATTTTATGTTTTATACCATTTCTACCTAATTATTTTAGGTAATATTAGAAATATTTTTACATTTTTTTTCCAATTAAAATAATATAATTTTGCGCTATTTCTTTTTTAGTAACTAACAATTGGTCAGAATAACAAATATTTCTATTTTATATTAATGTAGATCAAGTTTTTTTTCACCAAACATTGATTTCTTACATAACCCTTTAACTGCCATACCAAGAAAAACATTTATGGATTGCATTTTTTAACTCCTAATGTCACTAGTTGACACACTCAATGCATTTTTTCCAACACATCCCATAATTTTTAAAATATCAACCTCTAACAAATGGTTAATAGGTCGGTGTATGGTAAAAGTACCGGAGTTAGTACATATACTATGAAAAATCTGAAAAAAAGAAGTGTAAGACCAATTTATTTTAAAAACATAATCAAAATATATCATTTTTGAATATTAAATCACCTTTATTTTTTGAAGTATGCCATAAAACAGAGTTTTTCAACTGGTGGGTCGTGACCCAAAAGTGGGTCGTGGGAATATTTTCAGGGGGTCGCAAAGTGTGTGGTCAAAACAACAAAAGCTTAATTTTTTACCTATTTTGCTTATACTGGACATTTACTTTGAAATGCGCACGACAACCCTACCGTTTGACGTGAAATTTTATTTAATTATAGCAACAAATATGCACTTTATGTTTACTTTATGTATGAAATGTATGGATTTATTTATATGTTGACAACAAAAAAGACTTAAAGCCTCAGTGTGCCATAAGTAGTGAGGTGCTCTCACAAGAGAGCATAAAATCTAAACTAAAACGACATTTAGAAACCAGACAACATGTTTAATTAACAGTTCAGTTTAGTTCATGGTAACTGAACCTTTCCTTACCCTAACCACTGTTTGCAGTATTTGTCGTTTTTACTTTGTAATATTTCTATAATTTGATACATTTTGTAATGACAGCATAATAAACATAAAATACTGTTTATTTATAAATATTGATCATTTTTTCTTAGGATTTATCTGTCACTACTTATGTATGTTAACAAATAAATACATAATTCTAAATAAATCTAATTCCTAAATTTATATTATAGTTCCTAAAAATTTGGGTCATGGCTTGATGACCATGTAAAAATGTGGTTCCCATGGCCAAACCAGTTAAGAAACCGTTCCATAAAATAATTGTCAAAATATGACCAACCATTTGGTAGAGTAGGCAGTTAAACGTTTTAAGAATAAAACTGTGATATTGTGTATATAATCATTTTTGTAATTTTATATATATAAAAAAAGTTTAAATTTGTAATAAATTGGCACCCTGACTTTTTTCAAAATTGAGTTATTGACATATTCTTATTAAATGACAAATTAACAAACTAAATTAACATTATGGGATGTTAACAAATGTTACACACATGCTGTTTGCTATGGAATGCAAAAACTTTGAAGCTCAATATCTCAAAACCATTCAGAACGTAGATAGAAAATTATAATTCCAAGGTGATGAAATTCTCATCAGTAGTTTACAAAATAAAATGTCAATTTCAAAAAGTGTATACGTCTTAAATTCAAAGAAACTGAGAAGGACACACGCATGTTAATGTGTTATTGCATAGGCTATATATTTTACATAAGATAAAAAAAAACATCAAAAATATGCTTATGTTAAAGTTTTCATAGAATATATGAGCTTTTATAGTTGAATATTGAAATATATTTATATCTGTAACTTTAACGTTTCCCATGTGTGTGCAGACTATTGGCATTTAGACATTTTAAAGGAAATGTAGTGACTCTTTTTCGCATCTATCTAGAGTTGGCAGCAAAGCTGATGAAGGAAAAAGTCAGTCATTAATAATCCTGCCCTGAGGTGGAATTAACTCCAATCCACTTGGGAAAATTGAATATTTTAAGTGGTATGTTGTGGTCAAACTACCAACATGTTCATGTTTTTTTTTTTTTTTTTTTTTGATGATGGGATAGGATCAGTATCAGTTCCTCTACAAAGCCATTCTGAGTTTGGTCAGCACCCAAGAAGACGAGCAAGCGCTACAGTCCTCCGACAACAACGGCACGGTCCCAGGAGACGTCTCGAGTGCGACCGAGAGTCTGGAATCCTTGGTGTAACCATAGTGATGAGCCGGCACAGGAAAAAGACTCATTTTTTTCTATCAAAGAATGCTCTTGTTTTCCCTCAGTCCATCACTGAACTGATAGAGCTCTGCTGGATGCAGCGCCCTCCCGAAACGTGTGCCTTTGTACACTCCACATTTTTAATAATCGTTTTGTGCTAATGTCTTACCTACTAATGTCTTTCTCATAGAATCTCATATTTATTTGCTTAAAAGCTCGTTTAAAGGGGAAATCTGTTTTTGTTATTCTTTTAATAAGACTTTTTTAATTAGTCTATTTTTTGTAGTAGAATTTCAGCCACTGTTTTTTTCTTCCTTCATTCAAATATACAAAGAAAGTGGCAAAATCAGTCATGGATATAATATTCTAATGTGTAAATAATATTACAGCAACAACGTCGATGGACCAAATTTCTATTTATGTCTAGAATTTTATATTTGACGCACTAGTGCTTATAGGCGTTTGAGTCATTTAGTCAGATTTGAAATGCTGTTTTAATATTCCGGATGCCTCACTGATTGTTACTGACGTAAGCGTTATATACTGACACTGTATAGCTGTAGGTATTTTTTTTTTTTCTCTGTTTTGTAGGATTAAACAAAAACAAGAAATCAAGTGGACTGGTCTTTTTATGGAGAGACATGATATATCCGTTATAACTAGTTAATAGACCATTATTAAACTGTTAGTTAACAAGTTATAAATGACTTGTTATATAAAAGTTAATAGTTTGTTAATTATTTATAACTGTGCCTTATAGACGGCCAATGGATAACTTACAAGCTGTTAGTTAACAAGTAAATTACTTCTTAACTGTATTTTATGATTTATAACTATGCCTAATAATTTATTAAGAGATCATGAACAAGCGGTTAGTAAATAACTTAATAAAGGCTTGTTAAGTATCAGTTAATAGTGAATATATGTTATTGGGACATTATTCTAGTTGCAGCTATTTTTCATTTATTAACTGTTAGTAAATGAGGAATAGTTGCAACTTTAGAATAACGTCCCAATAACATACTTAAGCTAATAACTAACACTTAACTAATATATTTACTCACACTTTACAGATTAGTTATTCTAAAGTGTTACCGAGACGTGTCATGTGCTTACATTGTGCTCATATAATCAAAAAGTCAGATGACATTAGTATTTGTGGTATTTTAAGTTAATCAGGTTTTAACTTCAAATTTGAAGTTATACAATCTTGATGACTTGAGTCAGATAATGCAAGTTAAAATATCTTGAATTACTTGATTCATCGTTTGTATTTAAGGTAGCAACTAATTTAACATGAAATTGGAATAATCAAATTTTGTGATATTTTATTTTTCGGCGATAAATATTGCTACAGGCGAAGCAGTGGCGCAGTAGGTAGTGCTGTCGCCTCACATCAAGAAGGTCGCTGGGTTAAGACTCGGTTCAACTGGCGTTTCTGTGTGGAGTTTGCATGTTCTCCCTGAATTTTCTGTTTCATGTTCTTCCTGAATCTTTTTTGTTTTGTCTCGTTTCTGGGATAAATATCTATAGATTCTTAGATCAAGTAACAATATTGTTCTGTTTTTAAGGTCAAAATTAAGAGTTTTTCCTTAAAACAACCAGTGGGGTGAGTAAAATAATCTGTTTTCGATTTAAAATGTAGACATTTGGAATAGAAACAAGATAAAAAGTGAAAGGAAATCATATAGATTCTGTGTAAATACAGTAATTAAATACATTTCTGTAGCTCCTAGTTAACTGTAGTTCAGACTCAACATTGTATATCTTGCGGTGTGATTATTGCGAATGCTTGATTGTAAATTATCTAATTTGGACATTAAGGTCTGACTTTGCGTAGACTAAAGTCTTGTCACTTGACAGAAAAATGTACAGTATAGAATATAAAGGCATGGTGCAGTGGGAAAATAATTAATATTGTGTATGACTCCCATAAGCTTGGAGGACTGCATCCATACATCTCTGCAATGACTCAAATAACTTATTGATAAAGTCTGAAACGGCAAAGAAAGCGTTCTTGCAGGACTTCCAGAGTTCATCAAGATTCTTTGGATTCATCTTCAGTGCCTCCATCTTACTCCAGACATGCTCAATAATGTTCATATCTGGAGACTGGGCTGGTTGATCCTGGAGCACCTTGACTTTCTTTGCTTTCAGAAATATGAAATATGAGAAGGACCGCTATCCTGCTGAAGAATTTGCCCTCTCCTGTGGTTTGTAATGTAATGGGCAGCACAAATGTCTTTGTCTCAAATGTCTCAGGCTGTTGATGTTGCCATCTGTTCAGCACATCTTTCATACGCCCTCATACTGAATGTAACCCCAAACCATGATTTTTTTCTTTACCAAACTTGACTGATTGCTGTTAAACATCCATGAACCCGCATAGACCCAAGATTCTCACAGATGATTCATCTGAAAAAATAACCTTTCACCACTTTTCCAAATGATCAACTAGAAAGTTGATCAAGTTATGATTTGTTGCTCTTACAACTGGGATCAACGACAAGACTTTTGTCAACCTACCTATAAACCTACCAGCACTATTTTAGTACTATCTAGTGTAGAAATGTATCTTTTTATAATAATATTGGTCCAATTTAAACTTTTAGTTTGTTTCTTTAGAGTTAAAAATAAATGGGTTAAAGTGAAAAACAATTAAAAAGTGGATGGGAAAAATAAGCTAATTCCAAAGTATGGTGGGAAAATCAATTTTTCCCCCCTAAATACTTTGGAATTTACCTGTGCATGTAAAAAAAATAAATATAAACTTGAAGCCTTTACAAAATGTTAAAAATATGTCAACGTGATTTGAATGTGGGAAGAAAATCTACAAAATTTACATACTATTAATAATTTTACAACTTAATTGAATCTTGCTGAGAGGCGCTGACTCTTTATAAAAACATAAATACTACATTACGATATCAGAGAGTTATCATTTAATATTATCATATAATACCTTTTTTAAGAATATTTTATTTTAAGAATATAGTATTTTAGGAACCTAAAATGTAACCTAGTTCTATATCCAGTGTTCATACACATTTTTACTACTAAAATTCCATGAATTTCAACGATTTTTAAGTAAAGTAAGACTTTTAAGTAAATTTTTATGACTTAATGTTTCATGAAAATGTCTACAAATCCTTAGCAAAAGAAAAACAATGCATGTTCAACTTTATCGTAAAACACGCAACAAAAATAATTCGTAAAAAATAATAATGTAAAATTAATTTAGATAATACTTACACTGCACTAATAATGTGAGAGTGTGTGATTGGCCAAGGACAGAAAAAGAAAATAATCTATATTCAAGTAAACTGGGTTTTCCATGACTTTTCCAAAACTTTGTGGGTTTTCTGTTTATCCAAAACCTTTCCAGGCCTGGAAAACACCAAGTCAAAATTCCATGGCTTTTCCAGGTATGACCCCTGTATGCAAGTAATACATTTCAAGCCAGATTCACTTCCAATGTAAATCCTATTTTATTTAAACTCAGTTGTTAGCCCTCCTATGAAAAAGTTATTCTATTTCAATAATTTTTCAAATTCTGTTTAACCAAGAGACATTTTTACAACATCATTTTAATAACAAATTTTCAGTTGTCTATGGCATGACAATACTAGTATTCAGTTTAAAGTGCAATGTAAAGATTAAACAGCTTAATAGGGTTAACTAGGCAAGTCACAAGACAACAGTGGTTTGTTCTGTAGCCAATTGGGGTATTTTTTTTTTTTTGATAATGTGTACCTTAAAATTATTATTTTTTATTTTATTTAAAAACTGCTTTAATTCCAGGCAAACTAAAAGAAATAAAATACTATTATGAAAAAAGTTAATAAATATATAAAGGCTGAGTCAAGTTTGAGTTTTTCTATTGTTTTGTGTACAATTGGCAGAAACTTGGAGCAAAATCTTTCCAGTCTCCGTAATACCGTTCATATTCGCTAATATTCTCCTTTTTCCATCTGCCCTCGGGACAGACTCGTGTTGATTACAGTCTCCAGACAGCAGCCGCTTGGCTCGTGTGAGCTCTTAATTCTGAACTTGCTTTTCTTGTTACCTCGCCATCCTGATTGCCAAACTATCAAGGAGATCAGAACAACAGTCCTTCGGTCTCCCTCCATCTGGCTCAGGAGGTCAATAAAAGAGAACAAAGACAGTTTTTTTGTTTCCTCCTTAAAGACGTTTTCTGAATAGGGTTGTTTTTCAATTAACTTCTGCTCCTCGAATTCATCTTGGCTTAACCCAGCGAGACCGTGTTTCTGCTAACGATCAGGTCATTTCTTAAGGAACCGATTATTATAAGCCCACAGCTTAAGGGTTTGGTGACGAAGATGACAGCTACACGGAGTTATGAAATAATCCCTTTGAAGAATCGCTTGTAATTATTCACAAAACCTAATCCAGTCTTAAGAGCAAAAAGGTACTCATTTAGACCAAAATATGGGTCAAATGGCCAGACACGGTCTTCTGGATCCTTCATTTGCATTTTTAACTTCTAATAATTACAGACCCAATTATCCAGCGCTTGGTGGCCTACTTTATAGTGACCGCACTGCTGACCCCATGGTACAAACAATGCAGATTGCGTTTACGGCCTCCGCCGGCCAGTCAACACAGGGGGAGGGGAGGGTAATTTACTCCAATTTCTGCCTAATGAAGTTGACAGACAATATTTAAGATGTTTATTTGACGCATAACAAGGGATATGAATCCAACACCAATGTTTTATTGGACAAGCGTTCCTCTTAAAAGAGCTCTTTAAATATACTACACTTTAAAAAGGCTGTAGAAATGATTTCAACGTCTTAACATGATACAGTTTCAAAGAGAATTTGTAAAAATAATATGCGATGGTAAAAATGCTTTACAGAAAATGGTTATGTTATCAGTAGTATCCAACATGACATCATGTTCGCATGAATATGAATCCATAGTTCATTTTTTTAAGCAGACAGTCATGTTTAAAACCTTTTCTTACAATACTGACTGCGTATAAAGTTCATTCTCAATGACGGAAATAAGAAACGGGACGGTTCACTGGAGGAATAAAAGTGCTTTGTGAAAAGTAACACTCCCGTAGCTACAGTGTTGGGTAAGAGTTGGGAAAGAACTATATTACAATCTTGAGTCACTTAAAAAAAAGTAACTAAATGTGTGACTTAGTTACTTGTTAAGTAAAGTATGTAATTATTTATTAGATAGCACGGTAACACTTTATAATAAATACACACTATGAACCATTTATAAAGGCATATGTTTTTTTCATTATTTGTTAAGCATTAACTCTACATTAATAAATGTTAGTAAGCAGTTTATAACACAGTTTAGTACTGAAGTATCACATTATTTATAAACCATTTGTATTTAAGAGAAGTTGGTGGTTTTTAAGATCATTCAAGTAAATGATGAATTAACAATTGAAATCAACATTTATACATCTTATTATTCAGGCATATACTAAAATGTAATTTGTTTGTTAAGAAATGCTTTAAAAACACAACTTCATCCAGTTTTGTGACCAGTGTGGAGGACTATGTATGCTTTATAAATGACAATTAAATTAGTATCAAATGAACAATAAACTTTGCAATCCTATGTAAAAAAATTAACAGTTTAAACAGTTTAAACATTGCTGAATAACAGAAGTGTCAAAATATAATAAAGTTGGATAAAAAAACAAAAACATAATAATTGAACTATATATTATGATACAACATTTCGATGCTATTTAGCAAAGTTTAAACATTGTTTAAACCATGTTTAGCTGTTTAAGGGTTACGATTGCAAATATTTATTTTTATTCGATACAGTTTCATTTGTAAATCTTTAAATTAATAGAAATTATTTGTGATTTATTTTCTTTTTTCCTGTTTAGAATATAACTGAGCCTATAATTGTCATTTATATGGGGTTTATAAAGCAAAAATAGTCCACAATTTGGGTCATAAAACTGGATGAAGTTAAGTTAATAAAGCATTTACTAACAAACAAATAATTATTAATATGCCTGGATAATATTATAAATAAATGGTAATTTGAACAGTTTTTTAATCATTTACTTGCACATTCTGAATGATCTTAAAAAACCACCAATTAAGCTTAAATAACTCGTAACTAAATATTGCGATACTTAATTTAGTAATGAAAAATAAATCAAAGTATGAAAATACAATGAGTATGTACTTCATAAATGTGCTCATAAGTCAGGAATAAAGCATTTGTATCTGCTGTTATAAACCGCTTACTAACATCTATTAATGTAGAGTAAAAGATTAACAGTTAATGAATTAACAATTCGCTAATGCTTAATAAATGGTTCATAGTGTGTCGCCGGTAACAATTTTGTTTAGGTCACAATTGATGGTATTAACAAACCATTAACTAACACTACTAGCTTAATAAAATACTAATTACCCATTAATTAATAGTTAGTAAGGTAGTAGTTCGGTTTAGGTTTTGGGTAGGATTTAGGATTAGAATTAGAGGTAACACTATAATAATGGCACACTATGAATCATTTATTAAGCACTAAAAAAAATAGTGAATTCATTATTAAGCATTAACTCTACATTATAAACGTTAGCAAGTGGTTTATAACTGCAGATACAGATGCTCTATTCTAGACTTAAATAATGTGCTTAATAATTGTATTTTCATACTTTGTTTATTATTATTTTTTCTTTACTAAATTAAGTACTGCATCATTTACAAACTAGTTATTCGAGAAAAGTTGCTGGTTTTTAAATATCATTCAGAATGTGCAAGTAAATGATTAATAAATTAATAAAATTAACATAATAGTATATATATATATATATATATATATATATATACATATATATATATACATATATATATATATATTATCCAGGCATATATTAATAGTTCATTTGTATGTTAATAAATGCTTTAATAACTCAACTTCATCCAGTTTTGTGACCTAATCTAGTGAGGTCTATTTATGCTTCATAAATCCCTCATAAATGACAATTAAAGGCTGAGTTATATTCTAAACAGGAAATAAAATAATATAAACGACTTTTTAATTTCTATTTATTTGAAGATACACGAATGAAACCGTATAAAATGAAAAATGCATCTTTGCAATCTTAACCAAAACTAAATTTACAGTGTAGTTTAAACATTGTTAAATTACATTGTAATGCTGTATCATAATATATTGTTAAAAATGTTTAACTTTATAGTATTTTTAATTTTAGATAAGATTGCAAATATGTATTGTTCGTTTGATACCAAGTCTTTAATTGTCATTTATTATAGATTATAAAACAAAAATAATCCTCACTTTAGATTAGGTCACAAAACTGGATGAAGTTTTGTAAATAAAGCATTTATTAACACATTATAAGTATATGCCTGGATAATAAAATATAAAGTTGGTAATTTCACGGGTTGATTAATCATTTACTAACTCATTCTGAATGATCTTAAAAAACACCAGCTACTCTTGAATACAAATGGTTTGTAAATAATGTAATACTTAATTTAGTCATGAAAAAAAGAGTGAGTAACAAAAGTATAAACGAACAATTGTTAAGCACATTTTAAATGTGCTTACAAGTCAAGAATAGAGCATTTCCATCTGCAGTTATAAACTGCTTACTAACGTCTATTAATGTAGAAGTGATGCTTAACAAATAATGAATTCACTATTTGCTAATGCTTATTAGATGATTCATAGTGTGTAGTCATTACGTTTAGTAGTGTTACCAAATTAGATAATACTTTGTAACTACTAATGAACAGTTAATATCTTAATAATAGGCAGGTAATAAGCCAGTAGTTAATAGCATGAATTGTGACCTGAACTACAGTTTTACCATTTATTTTAAAGAGTAAGATTGTAAAAGTAACTTTACCCAACACTGCACAGGTCAGTATGAAACTCCTAATGTATGACAACACAACTAAAAAAGGACGCTCATTGTCGACTAACAGAATCTACTTTTCAGATTCAAGTTTGAAGATAAAGTTATTAACCGTTGGATCATTGCTAACTTTACACAGTCAAGGCAAGTTTATGATCTCCAACCGTTCATTGTGGAATATGAGCAGTGGTTTAGCATCTGCTATCAGTTTCGTGACAGAAACGAGGGAGAGTGAGATCTCAGGTTTGTGTTACTCTGATACACTGCTCTTGGTGATAAACTGGAGACCCTCGTCCTGCAGTCTCTTCAGCACCGGACTGTAGATGCTCTTCACCATCGGCACCACAAGCCCCTTAGTCGTCAGTTCACCTGTAGGGGAACATCATACAGTCAGATTCACTTACATCAACGGACTCAAACTCAATTCCTGGAGGGCCGCAGCTCTGCAGAGTTACTTTCTGGAAATGTAACAAATTTGTCCAAAAAAATTTGTTAAAAATAAAATAAAATTGTGCATTTATGAAGTGAACTTCGCACCTTGAGTGGGTTTGACAAACCACCTGTAAAAATACTCTTTTCTCAAAAAAGAAACACTCCAACTTCCTTACTTTAGAACTTACACTTGAAGTCAAAATTATTAGCTCCCCTGAATTATTAGCTCCTTGTTTATTTTTTTCCCCAATTTCTGTTAATGGAGAGAAGATTTTTTTAACACATTTCTAAACATAATAGTTTTAATAACTCATTTCTAATAACTGATTTATTTTATCTTTGCTGTGATCACACTACAGAATAATTTACTATATATTTTTTAAGGTTTACCAAGGTTAATTAGATTATATAGGTAGGTTAGGGTAATTATGCAAGTTATTGTATAACGATGGTTTGTTCTGTAGACTATCGAAAAAAAAGTTAGCTTATTTTGACCTTAAAATAGCTTTAAAAAAAATAAAAACTGATTTTATTCTAGCCGAAATAAAACAAATAAGAGTTTCTCCAGAAGAAAAAATATTAACAGACATACTGTGAAAATGTCCTTGCTATGTTAAACATCATTTAGGAAATATTTAAAAAAGAAGAAAAAAAAATCAAAGAGGGTATAATATATCTGACTTCAACTGTAATTCTCTGAGTACTAACAGATCTTTAGATTAAGTAGCACTTTTTCTTTTTAAATCGCTGAATGCCTAATCAATTGTTGCTTTCAACAAAAGCATCTGCTATTTGACTAAATGTAAAAAAAAATGGAATCCATCAAGAATATGTTTACACAACGACAATCAACTGAAAATGTAAAAGTTTTAATTTGCATTTTGGAGACAATTTTGCCCAAACAATCCCCTCTTACACAGTTTTACATATCAGTTCTGTTGTATTTTATTTTCTTTTTTGTAAAAAAAAAAAATGTATTGTGGCCAAAAGGCATAAATAATCTCCAGTTTTTGCTCGAGAATGTCGAGTTAAATGGCTCTTACAAAAAAAAAAAAAAAAAAACTATAATAACTATTAATATATAATATAAATATGATATTAATAACAGTAATATATGGGTGATTTTAGAATTGCACATACATTTTAGATCTTCAAAATAATCCTGTTTTTAAAAGCAAAAGTTAAATCAACAGTTTTGCATAATTAGCAACACAAATAAAACAAATAACACAAATAAAATCAAGTTACATCCAAAAATAACGTCTGTGTGTGTATTTTGTGTCATTTTGTCTTAAAAAAATACTTATACTTAAAATCATCCAATAAAAGAATCGCACTATGCATACAGTGGTCAGCATAATTGAGTACACCCTATTTTGAAAATAAATATTTTTATCCATTTCTTAGTGAGTTAAGGCAATGTATTTGGTGGATTTAAACAAAACAGATATGTTTATTAAAATATTATTTTAGTCACCAAACATATTTAAAAATTAAAAGATAATACAATTAAATTCAAGAATATAAAAATATTGCAAAAACAGTATTTGTTACAACTTACAAAATTTCAACTTAACCTTTCCATTTTTGAGTCACTTGATTTTTCCTCTTTTTTAAATTTATATTAAATATTTTTCTATAACACATAATATTGGGTGTACTAGTTTTTGGACCGCTATCATGAGTTATTTTGTTAGATAAGCTCCAGATTTTGGATTTCACTACTGAGTAATCGAATATATATGCAAAAAATAATATTGTACAGCTTCCCATTACAAATATGACTTTAAAAGATAGATCTGTGAGGGTTATACTCTGGGTTATATGCTGAACACTGTATATCTTTACTGTCTCTGCATGCTAAATTATAGTCAGCTTCTGTTATCTTCAAATAATGAAGTGCATTTTTTGTCTTTTTGTGTTTATTTTAATTTGAAAAAAAAAATATTTTATGTGTTATTTGTTATTTTAGTAATATAAAACTACAAATTTATGTCTGTCCCTACGTTCTGGTCAACTCTGATGCATCAGTTAAAAAAAGTCAACCAGGCCTGTAGCCAGGGGGGGTTTGGGTGGTTAGAAGACCACCCCTCACTGACAAAGGTCCAGAATTTGTCCCATATATGAGCTCATTTGTCCTATTCTAACTGCTATGCAATCATAAATTGTGAAAAAAAAAAACTTAATCGAAGAAGGCTTTAAGAGAAGAATCTAACTTAAGTGACGCCACCTTTCACTACTGACCTATTATTTTTGTTTTTAAATAGCGAAAACATATTACAAATAACATTTTATTCTAAATTTTAGACCTTTTTCTTGAAAAAAAAAGGACCAATAAAAGGTGTGAAGCACCAAAAGTTAATTTTGAGGTGTATAAAAATTTAGTTTAATACTAAGGCTATTGTAGCTATCCATGAATTTTTTAAATTTACTATTTACAAGAGAAGCTAGAAAAATCGGAAGCTCTAGTCGACACTATGTTTCCCAAAGATGAGTTGCGGCTAGAAGGGCATCTGCTGTGTAACAACGTGCTGGATGAGTTGGCGGTTTATTCCGCTGTGGCGACCCCGGAATAATAAAGGGACTAAGCCGAAAAGAAAATGAATGAATGAATTTTTTTACTATTCACGTGGCCAAATTAATTCAAGTTAAGTAGAATGTGCTGGCGGCTTGTTTGTTATTTGCATAATAAATGACAACAGGCTACTTTGCTGTAATAGGTGGTTTTTAATATAAGGCTATAACAGATTAATTTTTCCTCTAATGATTAATGATGTGATAAATCTTTTTAAAAAAAAATTATGTATAAATACTTTTTTTTAAAAATATTTTTGATTCTAAATCTTTAGCAAATGTTTTTGGTTTATCAAAAAGTGTGGTTATGATGATTACCCGACAAGCTAATCCAGAAAAACATGTGCTGCCACTAAAATGCAGTATTTAAACTGTATTATGTTATATACTATATATGGGGGATTCTAGATTATTTCAAAAACAAACTTTAATCAATCAGTTTTGAAGAATTAGTAACGCAAATAATATTAAGCTATATCCAAAAATAATGTCTGTATGCGTATTATGGGTCATTTTGTCTTAAAATACTTAAAGAATTGCACTTTTTATTGTTTCTGCATCCTGAATTATAGTTTGCTTCAATTACCTTTAAATAATAAATGACAATAGGTTACTTGGCTTTAATAGATCATTTTTTATTTTATTTTAAACTTTCACAGTTTCTAATGATATATGATGTGATAAATCTGTATTTTAAAAATAATATGTATAAATACTTTTTTCATATTTTTGATTCTAAATCTTTAGGAAATGTTTTTGGTACATCAAAAAGTGTGGTTATGATGACCACCTGACAAGTTAATCCAGAAAAATAGTGCTGTCACCAATATGCAGTATGCAAACCTCATAGTTAAAAAGAAAATGAGACGAATAACTGCAAAACAAAAAAAAAAAATTCCAGTTTTTGAGATAAAAGAACCACCCCTTTAACCAGACTGGCTACGGGCCTGTCAATGAAATCTTTACCCCACAAGGGTCTGAGGTGATTTTGGGGTCTTTATGTTTTGACATGCCCTGACATTTGTGCTCATATCAGCTACTTTTTACAGGCCAACATGTATTTTTTATATTCAGCACAAAATGTGCTACAATTATGAGAAATATTAATGTACATGCTTGCATTTTTTAAAAAGAAAAAAAAAATATGTGTGGTTAGTAGGTTTTGGAGAAAATATGTAGCTGAAATAAGGTCTAAAAAACACACTGAATGGGCCTGAACAAGACTTCTGAGTAACTAGTTTTGTAGGCTAGAATATTTACTTCACAATTATGTAAAACAACAACAGAAAATGATATGCACAGAAAAAGCATGTGACTTGATTATAATAAGTTATGTCACTTATTATGGTGGAAAACTCATTCTTTTCCCATTCATTTGTACAAAATGTTTAGGACACACCAATAGTTGATTAATTTTTTGTCAACCCTGTAACTGATTTCAGCGAATGTCACATTCATTTAAATAATAATAATAATAATATGATTAAAATGCACAAAAATCTGTGATACTGTGCTATCTAGTTTGAGGTTTGCAAATTAAGCTAAAGAATAAAATAATGGTGTATGAAATGTCACCTCTGTTAATGGTTTAAAAAGTTGAACAATAATTCAAACAATTATCAACAGAATCAAATGCTCCTCATCACATTTAGGCCCTTTTCACTAATAATAGATTCAGTTTACCGTAAATTAATTATTTTTTGTATTTCACTCCAGTTTAAGGAGAATGCATGGAAAATGCCTGGAAGGAGGGCTGTGTAATTTGGACTAAAATCTAAATCTCAATTAATTGAATATTTTAACTCGATTATGATTAATAAATGATTATTTTATTCATTAATTTTTGGTCATCATAGTTCAGATTTTGCACAGTAAATATGCTCACATATTACAAGTGATAGATTTTTTGAATGAAGAGCGCATTGCTTAATTTTAAAATAATTGAAGGAAACACACACTATCTACTATCTATGATTCATTCATTCATTCATTTTCTTGTCAGCTTAGTCCCTTTATTAATCCCGGGTCGCCACAGCGGAATGAAACGCCAACTTATCCAGCATGTTTTTACGGAGCGGATGCCCTTCCAGCCACAACCCATCTCTAGGAAACATCCACACACATTCACACACACACTCATACACTACGGACAATTTAGCTTACCCAATTCACCTGTACCGCATGTCTGTGGACTGTGGAGGAAACCCACGCGAAGGCAGGGAGAACATGCAAACTCCACACAGAAACGCCAACTGAGCCGAGGTTCGAACCAGCAACCCAGCGACCTTCTTGCTGTGAGGCGACAGTACTACCTACTGCGCCACTGCCTCCTATCTATGATTCTCTACTGAATATTAACTTCAACAACTGAAATTGTTGAGCTTGTGTATAAGAGCTTGTGTAGCGAACGCGGACGGTTTCACGTCGTCCGCCTCATGTTTCGGCCCTTGTTTTGACTCGGGAGGCGTGTCCAAACGCCAGGTAACCACTATATAGTGAGCACGCTAGCTTAGTCGGCAGGAGAAGCACTTTAGCATCGAGACCAGCAGCCTGTAAGTACATTTAAGACTTGTTTCAGTTGTTGTGTATGGTTTGAGGACTTGTTTTCAGCTGTTTGTGTAAAGTTGTAGAACATTTAAACTTGCTTTCAGTTGTGTATAATACTAGAAGTGTTTAGCCACTGTTTCCTTGGTTACTATAAGAGCTTATGTAGCGAACGCGGACGGTTTCGCGTCGTCCGCCTCAGTTTCGGCCCTTGTTTTGACTCTCGAGGCGTGTCCAGCTGAATTCAATCAGCTAGTGCTTTGGGGTTATATAAACAACTAGTTAACCGCGGCAGCGGTCGCGGCAGCCTCGTGTGAAGACCGACGAGTTTAAAGACCATCGACTCTACCTGCGCAACTCCACCGAGCAAAGACACCGACAAAGCACTCAAGTACGTTACTTTTTTGTTTTACTTTATCTTTACACTTATTTTTGTTGTCAGTGCACGTTTATTATGTGTTTTCTAATTCCTGTTGTTACTAACACTCGCAAAACACGGGAGGTACGCTGCAGGCGTAATCCTCACAACCTTCGTTCAATACATGTATCTGCTATTTCTCAACTCTCTCTCTCCGTGGGCCTCTGGAATTGTCAATCAGCTGTTAACATGGCAGATTTTATTACCTCCATAGCTACATATTCTGACTATAATCTCATGGCTCTAACTGAGACCTGGTTGAGGCCGGAGGACACTGCTACACATGCTACTCTTTCTGCTAATTTCTCTTTTTCCCACACTCCTCGTCAGACAGGGAGAGGGGGTGGGACTGGACTGCTAATTTCCAAAGAATGGAAATTTACTCTGATACCGTCCCTGCCAACAATCAACTCCTTTGAATTCCATGCAGTCACCATTATCCACCCCTTCTACATAAATGTGGTTGTCATCTACCGCCCACCAGGTAAATTAGGTCACTTCTTAGATGAACTGGATGTTCTTCTCTCATCTTTTTCTAATTTTGCCACTCCCTTGTTGGTGCTAGGTGACTTCAACATTTACGTTGACAAACCGCAAGCTGCAGACTTTCAGACTCTGCTTGCCTCTTTTGACCTAAAAAGAGCACCTACCTCTGCTACCCACAAATCAGGTAATCAGCTAGACCTTATTTACACACGACACTGCTTCACTGATCAAACAATAGTAACTCCACTACAAATATCCGATCATTTCCTTCTGTCTCTCAACATCCACATTACTTCTGAGCCACCACACACTCCAACACTGGTTACCTTTCGCAGAAACCTACGATCTCTCTCACCCAATAGACTATCCACCATTGTTTCAGACTCTCTTCCTCCATCTTGCAAACTCTCTGCACTTGATTCGAACAGTGCCACTGATACACTCTGCTCCACGCTAGCATCATGTCTAGACCGATTATGTCCGCTTGCATCCAGGCCAGCCCGTTCCAGTCCTCCAGCACCCTGGCTCTCGGATACTCTCCGTGAGCATCGCTCAAAACTTCGGGCTGCAGAGAGAATTTGGCGGAAAACTAAAAATCCTGCACAGCTCTTAACATACCAAACTCTTCTGTCCTCTTTCTCAGCTGAGGTTACTTCTGCAAAGCAGACATATTACCGTCTGAAAATCAACAATGCCACTAATCCTCGCCTACTTTTTAAAACATTTTCCTCCCTCCTCTATCCTCCTCCTCCACCCGCATCCTCCACACTTACTACTGATGACTTTGCTACATTCTTTTGCACCAAAACTGCAAAAATCAGTGCTCAATTTGCTGCACCTACAACAAACACGCAAGGTACACCACCAACACCACACACACTCACCTCTTTTTCTTAGCTCTCTGAGTCTGAGGTGTCCAAACTCGTGCCATCTAGCCATGCAACCACCTGTCCACTCGATCCAATTCCCTCTCATCTCTTGCAAGCCATCTCTCCTGCAGTCATACCAACACTGACTCACATAATTAACACATCTCTTGACTCTGGTTTATTCCCCACTTCATTTAAGCAGGCTAGGGTAACCCCACTGCTAAAGAAACCCAACTTGGACCATACGCTACTTGAAAACTACAGACCAGTATCCCTGCTTCCATTCATGGCCAAGATTCTGGAGAAAGTAGTGTTCAATCAAGTCCTGGACTTTCTTACTCAAAACAATCTCATGGACAACAAGCAATCCGGCTTTAAGAAAGGCCACTCAACTGAGACTGCCCTGCTCTCGGTCGTGGAGGATCTCAGACTGGCTAAAGCAGACTCTAAATCATCAGTCCTCATTTTGCTGGACTTGTCAGCTGCTTTTGACACTGTCAACCACCAGATCCTGCTATCTACGCTCGAGTCACTGGGCGTTGCGGGCACTGTTATACAATGGTTCAGATCTTACCTCACTGACAGGTCATTCAGGGTGTCTTGGAGGGGAGAGGTGTCCAACCTACAGCATCTAAACACTGGGGTACCTCAAGGCTCTGTTCTTGGGCCACTTCTCTTCTCCATCTACACATCATCTCTAGGACCAGTCATCCAGAGACATGGATTCTCCTACCACTGCTATGCTGATGATACCCAGCTATACCTCTCTTTTCATCCTGATGATCCCTCGGTTCCAGCTCGCATCTCAGCCTGCCTGTTGGATATTTCACACTGGATGAAAGATCATCATCTCCAGCTGAACCTCGCAAAAACGGAAATGCTTGTAGTTTCTGCCAACTCGACTCTACACCATAACTTTTCAATCCAGATGGATGGGGCAACCATTACTGCATCCAAAATGGTGAAAAGCCTTGGAGTAACGATTGATGACCAACTAAACTTCTCTGACCACATTTCTAGAACTGCTCGATCGTGCAGATTCGCACTCTATAACATCAGAAAGATCCGACCCTTCTTATCTGAACATGCAGCTCAACTCCTTGTTCAAGCTCTTGTTCTCTCCAAACTGGATTACTGCAACTCTCTACTAGCTGGGCTTCCAGCTAACTCTATCAAGCCTCTTCAACTGCTCCAGAACGCAGCAGCACGAGTGGTCTTCAATGAACCTAAACAAGCACATGTCACTCCACTGCTAGTCCGTTTGCACTGGCTGCCAGTTGCTGCTCGCATCAAATTCAAAGCTCTGATGTTTGCCTACAAGGTGACTTCTGGCCTTGCTCCTTCTTATCTGCTCTCACTTCTGCAGATCTATGTGCCCTCCAGAAACTTGCGTTCTGTGAATGAACGTCACCTCGTGGTTCCATCCCAAAGAGGGAAGAAATCACTTTCGCGAACGCTCACGCTCAATCTGCCCAGTTGGTGGAATGAACTCCCTAACTGCATCAGAACAGCAGAGTCACTCGCTACTTTCAAGAAACGACTAAAAACTCAACTATTTACTCTCCACTACACTTCCTAATCTGCAATTGCCTCTCTGAATATCACACTAACTGTACCAAAAAAAAAAAAAAAAATACTAATACTACTAATACTTCCCTTCTTAGACTTTACAGACCTGAAACTTGCCTATAGCACTTATTCATTGTTGCTCTTAGTTGTGTAAATTGCTTCCTTGTCCTCATTTGTAAGTCGCTTTGGATAAAAGCGTCTGCTAAATGACTAAATGTAAATGTAAATGTAAATGTAAATGTAAATGTAAATTGAAACACACGTTGCCTAAAACCAACATTCAAATGTTTTTCCTGTAATGTGAAAATAAATAACAAAATCAATTATTTTCAATGCTTCTCATATTAAAAGTAGAAAACAAGCAGTATCTCTTCTTAATAATAAAAAAAAAACTCTTGCATAATATGTTACTAATATTTTAAACTTTTACATTTCTTGCATCTTCTGTAAACAAATGTTTTAATTTAAATAATAATTAAACATCTCTGGCGCAACTTCGTCAATTGTCAATGTAGTGCAATGTAACACAAAAGTAACAACCAGAGCGGGGTCATGCGATTCCACACACGGTAGAGAACGTGATAAAAACATTTTTTTTTAAATAATAATAAATAAATAAATCGACCTGAAAAGAAAATAGATCGATTATTGTTCCTGAATGTCGATTTCAATTACTTTTCGATTAATCGCTCAGCCCTACCTGGAAGTTACCCACAATTGCAGAATGATATAAAAGATTACTTTCTCTAGATTGGGCAAAAAATTAATAACATCGTTATTATATTTAAAAATATATAAATACAACAAAATACAAAGGTAAATGCATAATTTTGTAGAATTTAAATGAGCAAGTGTTATTTATATCCATTTTATAACTGGCCCGCACTGACCGTTGAGCACCATGTGGGCGGCAATGGCTGCAGGGTAGCCTACGGTTTTTGCCATGGCCGAGTATCCACTGGGATCTCCGTAAACCACCAGACTGATGTGTTTGGTCTCCAGCTCGCCCGTTGGGTGTCTGATTCCAACATCATTCCTCATGATGATCATATCGCGCTCGCCCTTGTCTGCACCAGAAGAAATGATCCAAATACAACATTTATTCCATGTAACATGACTAAACATTTATCTCTGTGATGCTCCGATGAATGATTTTCAGGGAAAAAAAACACACACACAGGTTAACAAATTGTTAATGATGACATCACAGCAGCACATTGTGAAATTCAAAGAGGAACAGGGTCTTTACCAAAAGAAAGTTTAGCTTCCAGATGCTTAGCAACCGCTGCCAAGATGGTTTCGGCATGAGGAACGGGTTCTTCACCGAGCAACCCGAGCCTGGTGGGTTTCAAAGAGTCAGTCATCACCAACCAACAGATTCATTGTCTATTACATCATAGACTTTCATCACAGTAACACTATAAGTGGTGTAATGAAAACTGTCTTGACTCATGATGACAAACGACTTGACTAAACAAATCAAATTGAACGTACTGTATTGGCACAATAAACGCTTTTGGCATTAGCAGCGAAAAAGATTCAAATAGGCAACTTTTTTATTCTTAGTCATGCAGATAAGAATAAGACATTATTCAAAACTATCAATATTTTCCATTTTATTTAACAAGTAAATAGGAGGCACACTTTTTATATAAAATAATTTAAGGTCATACACATCAGGAGAAGTCCCAAATGCTTAACGAAAATTGTATAGTCATGGCTTGTACAGTGAACATACGAGCTGAGGTGAGCAGTTTACAAGCTCCTGATCATTTTTAAACATGTTAAAACATTTTGGGAACTGTCGTGTTTAAATTATGGGGTGTGCGAGAGAGACTCTGAAAGCCATGTTTTTCTCTTCCATTTTTCTCACAGAACTTCATGTGATTGCTTAAAAATGTGCAGGGTCAATTGTATACATTTGTGAAAATCTAACAATTTTCACATGAACTCCCTCTCTCATTACATGTTTGTAAACATACAAACTTGCAGCCATCAAAATTTGCACCATGTACTCCTGGCCAAAATGTATGAATTATTTAAGTGAAACATATTTCATCATTTTTTAATGGTAAATAAATACAACAGAACAATCTATTTATTCGGTTAATGACAGGTTAACAAGTGTCAGTTGTTGTTTTTTTCATGAAAAACAGAAATGGAAAAATTAAGGACAGCAACTTTGTGTGTGTGTGTGTGTGTGTGTGTGTGTGTGTGTGTGTGTGTGTGTGTGTGTGTGTGTGTGTGTGTGTGTGTGTGTGTGTGTGTGTGTGAATTTATGTTCTGTTAAGCTATAACCCCGACTACCTAACAAAAGTCTTGTTGGGGATCCCAGTTGTAAGAGTAACAGATTATAACTTGACTTCTAGTTGATCATTTGGAAAAGTAGCAGAAAGTAGATTTTTTTCAGTGAGTCATCTGTTGAACTCCATCCCAATCATCACAAATACTGCAGAAGACCTATTGGAACTCGCATGGACACAAGATTCTCACAGAAATTAATTTTTTAAATATATATATATATATATATATATATATATATATATATATATATATGAATATATGAATGTATGTGTGTGTTTGTATGTATATATATATATATATATATATATATATATATATATATATATATATGTGTGTATGGCCATGCCCCAGTAGAGCTTTATGTCTAGCAACGCCCTTGGGCACAGTATCAGGATTAATACTCAGAATATTGGTATTGGGATCAGATCAGTTCCAAAAAAATGGTATTGGTGCATCCCTAATTGCAAAACTCAACAAAACCACATAGTGCACATTTCCCCAGTATCCTAATGTCACAGGTTTCATGACAGTCTTACAAACACCACTTCAAGTAAAGTGTTATCTAATTTGTTTTAAACAAAAGCTCAATCGTTAAACTTTTACTTTATTTAAAAAGACTTGAGTTATGCTTCATCTTTTTAGCTTCGCAGTCTCACACCAGCATGATTATTATGATGAAAGTCTACAAAATACTGTTAGAAAATTATTCTACCCACCATTTGAGACTCTGCATTCTGAAGTCATCCTTGCCGATCTTCTCATAAACAGCATCCTCAAACACACTGTTGCTGACAGTAGCGGACAAGCCAATCTGCTTACAAAGAAGCTCTTTCTGCATAGGAGACACAATCATCAAACCCGGAAACAAAGGACAGTCAAGTAATCAGGGCCATTTTCATACACCTCAAGTCCCATAGTTTTATTTTATCATGAATAATTTTATCCTTACATTGAAGAAAAGACATTTTATGAAACAAGTATCGATGCATCCATACCCATGAAACAGGAGAAGCTGTGTGGTCCAACAGTGGACATGGCTCTGTGTTAATGAGTCCCAATTTCACAAAGCCACTCATTGCAGAGGAGAAGCCCTGCAGACGGTAGAGTATTTGAGGTGTCAGCAATGCAATACTAGAGGTTACAATGAATTTTTATTGTGTCATAGATCAGTTTGAATACCCTGAAGCGCAGAGTTCCTCTGATCAGTGTGTGCGCAGACTCAATGCCGTATGGCTCGGCGTACTTGGTGCTGTCTCGGTTGGGGAAGCCTTCCAAGTTGAAACCAGGCATGAAGTCCATCTCCTTCGTGACATCCAGGAGAGCACCGCCAGGAGGAACACTGACAATCTGAGAAGTGAAACACACATATATTGACTCATTACATTTTTCTATGTTTACCCGGGCACACTCAATGCAACACATTTTTGTCTGTGTAGAATTTGAGAAAAGTAATAAACCAGGTTAATAAATAATAAATAAATTCCAGGGGTTTTGGGGGAGTATGGAGCTAATATTATGCCAAAACGATCAGAATTTGTTCTGAATTGTGTTAATTAAAATAATTGACAATTGTAATTTAATAAATAAGAATTTTATATGCCGTTAAAATTGTTTTAAATTTCTTAACTTGAATTTGAATTTCATAACTTGAATATTAAAGATCTGAAATTTAAGACAACAAAATTTTTCAAGGCAAAATTTTTATAGACACATTTTTAAACTTCAGATTGCTTTGGTTCTGAATTCCTAGACTGCAGATATCTAGTTTGTAAAAAAAAAAGTTTCAAATTTTCAAGATGAAAAAATTAGGAACATCAAATTCAATTTTCTAAAATTCAAAACCAGAAATTCAGATAGTGAAGATCAGAAACAGCAGAAAGTAGGTGATCAACAGGGAAGAGTAGACATTCACCAAAAAAGTCAAAACTAAGCATTTTGGCCAATCACAGAGCTGCATGAGTTTACTGGTGTATGTGAGACTCAGGAGGACACAATTCTTCTGCAAACTGACAGCTGACTGTCAGCTGTTACCACAGAGAGGGCGGGCACGTGCCAGTAAATGAGGCCTACTTTAGTGAGCAGAGCCTGCATAGGTTGTAATTAACATTCAGTTTGTGGCACAGAGTGATCATTTGGGAGCCGTGCGGGAAGTTAACTGCTCCTAGCAGTGAAAATGAAACCGAAAGTGCACACAGTGTTGCCAGATGTAGCTGACTGATTCCAGCCCAAAAAGAATCCAAAACCCGCCGAAAAGCAAAAGTACCCACCCAGTCTTCTGTATTCACGAAAATCACATCAGTGACAGATTTTAAGCAGAAAATGACAGATTGTAAGCATACGTCTCAAACACAATAATTCAACATTAGAATTAACATCAGCATTAAAGACCAGGACAAATCTAAAGTCTGTGCAAGTCCGCCATTCCAAGTCTATACAAAATTTAGCATTTTAACCAACAGTACTAAACAAAGCCTATTGCTGTTTTACCACATGTTTGAGAATTACAACAATAATAGCCCACTAATATTAACCTTTATTTTACATCTAAAAAATAAAAAATAAAAATCATGATTCTCATTTTAACCAGAATCGTGCAACTCTAATTCATATACGTTCGAATCAGCTCATTTATAGATAAAGTGACTCACTATGAATGACTCGCTCAAAGACTTCTTGTTAACCTAATTTGTTAAGTGCTAAAAACTTTGTTTCAAATGGTAACAACATACCTATTACACTAGGCATGGTTGTCCCCCTCCCCTCTTTTGTTGAACAGATCCACCACTCATTAATGTTCATGAAAGTCTTTGTGTTGAATGTATTAGGAGGTTTGCTGAAGGTGCTGCTGTCGTGCAACGAGGGTTTGCATCTTTAATAAACTATGAGAGTTTGTGTTCATTGAAAAGTAAGAATGATTAACACTAGAAATAAGTGGGAAAAGGAGGAACTGTAATAACGGAGGATGAATGGACAAAAATATGGAAATGTTCCATATTACAGAAATAAAGGAAATGTTGTTGGATTAGTTTAATACGATTTTTTCCCACCCTCTGAGAAATCATATTGGAAATTTGGGTAACACTTTACAATAAGGTTCATTAGTTCATGAATTTACTAACATGAACTAATCATGAACAACACTTGTAGAGCATTTATTAATCACAATTAAACATTTACTAATGCATTATTAACATTTAAGCTCATGCTTGATAACATTAGTTAATGCACCATGAGTTAACATGTACTAACAATGAACAACTGTATTTTCATTAATTAACGTTTACTAACATGAATAAATACTGCAGTAAATGTATTGTTCATTGTTTGTTTATGCTAGTAAATGCATTACCTACTATTAACTAATGAACCTTATTGTAAAGTGTGACCCAAATTTGTCTATATGCTGGAGAAAATGCAAAAATACAAAGGCAAATCACAATCACATCGTCTGTGACTGCTTGGTTATTACATTTTTTTTGGTAAAGAAATACACAATGCCCTACAAAATATCTCTAAATCTGAGATACCCTTTGATTGTAAACTTCCATTTTTTAGACATTTAACAGAGGAATGGGTAAAAAGGAATAAGTATCTAATGAATATCTTGTTAGTGGCTGTCAAAAGGAGCATTACTAAAAAATGGTTGTCACATAAAAGTCCTACTCTAAATGCAGGGATAAAAATTTAATTGAAAATTTATAAAATGGAGCAAATTACAGCATTTGTAAATCAGAAAATGGAATGATTTATTTAATTCTGGGAAAAATAGACCAACTATGCAACATCCCTAGACCTTAACTTTTCCTACTGTAAAATCGGAAAGATCACTCCCTACGTGTACATGGTTTTGTTGCTGATGTGTATGTATATCTTATTTTACTTGTTTACGTTATTTGTATGCTTTAGAAAAGTCAACACAGCACATTTAAGGATGATTTTGATGTGAACATCACCTGATTGTCTTTCAGGTAGATGGCAGGACTGATAGTGTTGAGCAGGACACCGTATGGACTCCAGCTGAACTTGTAACGCAGTGGGTTGTCTGAGCACTCTGGAGCAGGAAGTCCACCACAGAAAGAGCTGTAAGACTCAACCTGTCAGGAAACAATGATTTACATTTGGATTAACTACAAGTGCGCTATGTGACTTGACCGTCGTATGCCCGACTATTAAGTAAAAATGAACATTCAAGAGGCTGTGAACGTTTGTTGAGGTCTTTCAATATGTCTTCCAGACGTGGTGATGAGTGCACCAATGGTGCAACAGTATGTCACTCTATTGCAAGTCCTCATCAACACATCCAAGTGCTAAACAAACATGAGTGAATGAACGCAATACCTACAGTGCAACCGTCTGCCTTGGCCTGGTCGATGCACTCCATGGCCAACATGTGATCAATGCCAGGGTCCAGACCCATCTCATTGACGATGGTGATGCCAGCATCCTCGGCACTTGCAAAACAATAGTCAATCATGGTGAAGCCACATGAATGTATACTCATCCAGTGGCATTTTAAAATCTAACAAGGTCAAACAAAGATACTTTCAATGGGCTTTTAAAAGGGATTTATACAAACCTCTCGAAATGACAGATCAACAAAATATGTGAAAATCTGTCTAATTAAAAAACTGTTAAATCTTTTCAATGAATTAGCTGGTCCAGTTAACACAACCATTCTAAATGAGCGACTCTCATATCTGCCTCAACTTTATTTCAACTGGATTGAAGGTAAATCATGGAACTGTTTTTTTTCCAATATTTTCTTTTAATACCTTTTTTACTGATTCATTTCTCTATCACAGTAGTATAACATACCCACATTAAGACCAGTGTTGAATAAGTGACTTTAAAACAGTGATTAATTACATAATTACCTCATTAAAATGTATTAAAAATATTTTTTAAATTACTTATAATATTCTTAATTAACTGAATCAATACAAAAAAATCCACATACATATAAATGCATATACAACAGAAATTTAAATCTAACGCTACATTATTTAAATTTGAGTCTAACTAAAATGTAAATTTTTAACAATATATATAAAAACACAAATGTTTCATATTTACTTTATACATAAATATGCATACATTTCTGAAACATTTCATTGTTTCTTAAGCTGAAAGAAAGTTGAACCATGAAGTTATGCAACAGATCTAAATATCTATAAGAAAACATAATATTTTACATGTATTCCATTTAATTCATACATATAATTTGATGCATATAAATTAATAGTTTTTCTTAAAGAGCCGCTATTTTGCATTATAAGAGGTCATATTTTGGTTTAGGGGGTCTCCAACAACAGGCTGAGATGCATGCAAGCTCAAAAAACACTTTCATTGTCTTACAATATGCATTTGTTAATACCTAATTATCCCAAAGAACTCCCATATGATTCGTTTAGCGATTCATTTGTTTCCAAACCTTTTCTTTGTGTGAAGCTAATTTGCTGTTAATGGCCTGAAGACCCATTATTTTGTGATTGGTTGACTGGGTTCAGCGCAACAGAGAGAGATGTCCACCAAGGTTATGAAGTAGCACAGAGTATGTGAGAGCCCAGTGCAGGAATGCAATAAAGCAATGCAGTTTAACACCAGCATATTGCTCTACTCTTAACACTAACCTCAAGTAATAACAAAGACACGCTTTCAGTAATAATTTACACAGTGGCACTATTTTGAAAACTGACTGCTCCGTTTGTAGAATCGCAAGCTCACAAATGCATTTAAATCAGTGAAGGAAGAAGCACGTGTTGCGTTTTCAACATAGTTTTGGACGAAATGTGTGAATAGTACTAAACAGATTTAACTTGGGAGATAAAGTACAAGCACTTATCTATAGATACGTGATTTCAAGCCACGTGGAGTGATTACAACTTGCAACACATAATTAATGCATATTTTGCAAACTACAGAAAATAAGGCAACAATTTTAATTACATTTACATGTTATGATCTGGAGGAAGAAGAAACTGGTCCATATGAACTGTAACAGTTACTGACAAACTCCCTGTTAAAGTCTGACAAAGTCCCATTCATACAGTAATAGTCTCTGCTGCTCCTACAATAGCAAACGGCCGATGAATCCCACGTTGCAGCGTAGGTTATTGTATCAAAAATTTAAAAAATGACAGGAGCAAACACAGTACTAGATTGGCTATGCTGTGATATTGTTGTGAAAATGAACAGCCGAATCTCCATCTGTCAGTGATCGTCATCTTCGTGTCATGATCAATACTGTCATCCCTCATTCTCCACTAGTGTCTGAAGGGAAAGGCACGTTCACATTTGACCAGATACAGTACTACATATTTGGTGATGTACTGTACCGTGTCGACGTCAACGCATTCAGGCAAAAGATCTAAACCCAACACTATTGATTTTTTTTTCCGACTATTTCGTTCAAATTTAAACCTCAGCTGGATGTTTTCATTCACTTAATGCTGCGTTACATATTGCATGGAAGCTTACTTTTAAAAACCCATAATAAAAGCTCTTTAAGCATATGCATTTGTCTACAGAAATGATATGAATACTTTTCTTTGATTGAAAATAGAATTATTCTGCAAAATAGACAAATTATTCTGCTTCTCCGACCTGATTTATATAAATCTGTTTAAGTTATGTACAATATTTAAGGTAAGTATATTATTAGTATCCACATAAGGTAGAAAACAATGACAGAACTTTTAACTTTCCTGAAATATCTTTTTTAAACTTATAATCATAATAATAAAAAAACAGGAAGCATCCTACCTCTTCTGAAGCTCCTTCATGGCTGGACTCAAGTAACTGGCCGTCACCATGTTCACTTTCAATTTAATGCAGTGCTTAGCTACTTGTGGGTGAAAGGAGTATGGCAGCATGCTAGATACCAAAAACAACAAATAAAAACAAAGCAAATTAGCTGATGGTTTACTAAAGTGTGCATAAAAGGAGCTATATGTGCAGAAACCCTTGTAATTATGTGCACACATGACTGCACATTTAAGAGACTAAATGTGAATTAATGCCTCAGTAGACTTAAGCAAAACTCCTTTTCTTTTTGGAACTTTGGTTAAAAATAACAAGTTGCTGGAAATACACCAACAATATACTGTTAACAAACAAGTATTCACTCATGCTGCTGAGACCGACATTAGAAGGATTGTTCACCTTAAAATTATTTTAAAATAATCATTGACTTATACTCAAGTGGTCTTAAACTTTCAAGAATTTCTTTCTTCTGTTGAATAAACAATAACAAAATAAATAAATAAATAAATAAATAAAAATTCTAAAGGAATAAAGTAAACCAGCATCCATTGACATCCATAGGAACAACATCATCAACAGCAACAACAACAAAATACTATGGACTTCAATGGCTGCCGCTTATCCAACACTCTTTGTTCTATGTTCCTTTGTCCTCAACAGATGAACGAAACTTAAACAGGTTTGGGAAAAAGTGGAAGGTGAATAAAAGTTGACAGTTTTCATTTCAAGTGCAAACTATCCCTTTAAGCCTAATATAAGTACACTACCTGACAAAAGTTTTGTCATCAATACCAGTTGTATAAGCAACAAATAATAACTTGAATTCTAGTTGATCATTTGGAAAAAGGCAGAAGGCAATTTTTCCAATGAATTATATGTTGAACTGCATCCCAATCATCACAAATACTGCAGAAGAGCGAATGGAATCCACATGGACCTAAGATTCTAAACGAAATTTGTCAAGTTTGGTGAAGGAAAAATCATGGTTTAGGGTAACATTCAGTATGGTGGCGTGTGAGAGAACTGCATAGTGGAGGGCAACATCAACAGCCTGAGGTATCAAGACATTAGTGCTGTCCAATACATTACAAACTACAGGAAAGGGCAAATTCTCTAGCACAATAGTGCTCTTTCTCTTACTGCAGCCTCCATATGAAAGTTTCTGAGAGCAAAGAAGGTCAAGGTGCTCCAGGATTGGCCAGCCCAGACACCAAACATGAACACTATTGAGCATGTCCGGAATAAGATGAAGGAGAATGCATTGAAGATGAATCCAAACAATCTTGATGAACTCTGGGAGTCCTGCAAGAATTTTTTTTTTTCGCCACTCCAGATGACTTTATTAATAAGTTCTGTGAGTCATTGCAGAGATGTATGGATGCAGTCCTCCAAGCTCATGGGAGTCAAACACAATATTAATTCTTTTTCCACTGCACCATGACTTTATATTCTATACTGTACATTATTTCTGTTAAGTGTCAAGACTTTTGTCTCAGCAAAGTCAGACCTTACTGTCATAATTAAATATCAAGGCATGATCATATTTTATTTTGGTAAAATAAGCTTAATCTAAAGACCTTTGCTTTTTATATTAGCCACTTCTGATACCAAATGATCAACTAGAAGTCAAGTTATTATTTGTTGTTCCTAAAACTTGGATAGGCAAGAAGACTTTTGTCAGGTAGTGACATGGATAGGACAATAACGAGACAGGAAGAGAAGTTGGAGAGAAATTGGGGGGTAGGGTCGGGAAATGTCCTTGAGCCGGGATTTTTGAGTCGGGCTATTGCGCCGACTCGGATAATGTAATTTAAGCAGGACACGCATATGACAGTTGGAAGTAGCGCACAATGGACGCACACATTTGCATTTTATATAAAATGAAACTATTCAGATGGTGCTCTGTGGCGTGGCAGAAATATGAACAGTGTCCTTGCGGCGCCATTGTGCATACCCTGATACAAATTCATGTTTAGAATTAAAATGCATTGCACTTCGTGGCACGACAACGAGCGGCACATCTGGTGTGCAACACACTTAAGATTAAACTGCTGTGATACTTGAAGTACTGAATATTTGACTCTACAGAACAAAACATAAAAACGTCCACAATCTTTCACATAAAAATTTGTCAATAAGTTTTCATAGACAACATAAAGTGGGTTTATGTTGTATAGCTTTATTTGTATAGCGCTTTTACAATGTAGATTGTGTCAAAGCAGCTTCACATAAATGGTCATAGTAACTGGAACAGTGTAGTTCAGTTTTTTAGTGTTTAAGTTCAGTTCAGTTCAGTTTAGCTCAGTTCAGTGTGATTTAAACATTACTGAGAGTTCAAACACTGAAGAGCAAATTCATCGATGCGTAGCTCTACCAATCCTGAACCATGCAAGCCAGTGGCGACAGCGGAGAGGGAAAAAAACTTCAGCTGATGGGAGTGAAGAAAAAAAACCTTGAGAGAACCAGACTCAGTTATAGTCTGCACCACGTCCCGTTAATACATCGTTTTCTGTTATTGCCAATAGCCTAGCGGTACTGTGTGCCAACATATAGCACCTATTTGCTTGCAGCGACGTAAGTTTGATTCCTGGCTCGAGGTCTTTTGCTGATACTTCCCTTCTCTCTTTCCAGTCTTAAATCTCTCTGTCCTATCATAATTTCAAGAGTTGGCCCTTAGCTGATGATTGATTATGAACCTTGTTTGGCATGCTGTCCCGGGAGAGAGCCCTGAACTCGTGAGATCCTCGAGCCCGGGGCTCCTTCCAGTTGAAAGGCGAGAGGGGAGTCCGAGTTCAGGTAGGTCTCAAGAACTCCCCTGCTTGATAATGTTGGAAGTAGACTGATGCTATGAAGTGTCTATGCTGTCAATTTAGATTTGTCAATTTACTTATGTTACATGTTTTTGGTCTGTGGGAGGAAACCGGTGAGCTTGGTGAAAACCCACGCAAACACGAGGAGAACATGCAAACTCACAGAAATTGTCCACAGGAAGTGTCCAAGCCGGTGACATTCTTGCTGTGTGGCCGTGGTGCTAACCACTAGGCCTCTGTAATAATTAATAGCTGATATTGAATTCAAAGCTATAGCATATCAACAATGATATGAAAAATGCAGATTTCTATAGCTAATAAGATTTAAGATGGATACAAGCTATGTTTCTATCCAGCTATTTTGATGTGCATTTTGTATTTGTGCAGAAATTCGGTTGATGGAAACACCAAAATGTGCATGAATTTAGATTTTTGATTTTATGCACATAGTGGAGTAAAATTAATATTTTTTTTTCAAAAAGAAAAGATTCTCATAAACTATGATGGAAACACTTTTGCAGAAACAAATTCCAGTATGTGCTTTTGTTATAAGAGCCTTATCCCTAAACCATTTCAGTATTGGTGTTATCATAATATTAATGACCTCCAGAACTGTCAAGATTATCTGTGCTCTGCGTCTTACGCCTTCAAACAGCCAACAGTGTCTGCATTTTTCTTTGTCTGAGGTGCAGGTCATTAATTAAATAAGTAAAAGATTCACGCAGCTTCTCCTACCACAGCAAATTTTGTTTTTATAGTTGATATTTGGCAGCAGTTAATCATGAAGTGACAATTTTGTTCTCTTTGACTCGTAGGATGTAAATGCTGCCTTATTTGCACGTATTTTATGCAATATTCCAGTTATGCGTATAAAGGTTATTCACATTTTTGGATGGAAACATAGCTAGTGAGAGTTGCATGTCTTTTGAATAATTAAATATTTCCCTCATAGCAAATCATTAAACACTGGAAAACAATGTAAATAAACTAAATATAATCTGTACAAGATATCAGACAGATATCAGAGTCTGAATGTGTAAAAAAAAAAAGGCAGATGTGCATCTGGAAAGCAGCTGGTGGGCACAATGATTAAGTGCTGGCACAAAACCATTACTATAAAAGGTCTTGGAAAAAAAAGGAAAAAAAGGCTACACTACTTTATCTGGAGTAGCAAGATGTATTATTTACATAGAGAAACATAACTAGCTTTATTTGTTAGGTTCATTCATTAAATACATTCTATTATATGTCAAATAACCCAGCAGGCACACAACATCATTAGACCTTAATATTAGGTAAGATTTAGGTCATGACGTCAGGCAACCAAAAACCAAAATTCAATGTCTAGCCAGCGTCTAAGGACAACATTATTTTGACTTCCAATTATATTATATTATAAACCCAATGTTTGATAGATGTCATAGTGGTAACATCCACATAATGTCAAGGTGTTTGGTGATAACACAAGGTGATAACATGATTAGACGTTGACATTTTGTTGATTTTAGGTTGATTTAAGGTTAGACATTGACATCGGCCTGACATTGGGCTCTGACGTCAAAGTAATTTTCATTTCCAAACAAAATCCAACATCACCACGATGTTGGGGTACAAAGTCAATATGATGTCATGTTGACATCCTGTGCCAGCAGAGCAAAAAAAATGCAGAATATGTTCCAAAATCACCATTGAAGACTGTCATGATGTAGTTTATCTTAACTTGTCCAAACTGAATAAATACCTAGCTAGTACTGTATCCACTTGTTAAGTGGTGACGTATGGAATAGTGTTTGTATGTTCAAATTGTTACTCATTTGAATTGAGAAAATATTAGTTTATAACCAATTTATAGCCATATCACGGTTTAAATAATTACTTATATATATATATATATATATATATATATATATATATATATATATATATATATATATATATATATATATATATATATATATATATATATATATATATATATATATATATATATACATATACATACACACACAGTATATACATACATACATACATACATACATACATACATACATACATACATACATACATACATACATACATACATACATATATACACACACAGTATATATACACACACAGTATGTATATATATATATATATATATATATAAATATATATATATTAGGGGTGTCAAAATTAATTGTTTAATTAAATTAAATTGTTTCTTCTGTGCAACGCGATGCAGACGCGGACAATTCTGTATCGGTTCAGTAATAATCATAACCGGTTATTATTTACTGACGTCATTTATCTCCTATGCGCTCTGTCGCGAGGGAGGTGAGCGCGAGTATTTACAACACTCAGGCAACTCAGGGCCGGCCCGTGGCATAGGCATATGCTAAGGGTGCTGTACATCCAGGGGGGTGCCAGAAATGAGCGGTTCAGTTGGTTTTGTTTTCGATTTTCCTGACACACATTCAGTTATAGACGGCATTAACTCAAAAACCTCTTCCCCTAAAAAGATCTAAAGTGTGTTTCCTACAAAAAGACAAAGCTGGTTATGTTTCACAGCTGTCTTTCTTTTTTTTCGCTCGACATTACGAGCACTGCTCCGTTTAACCTCTCGCAATATGTGTTTAGCCGGGAGAGCTCGAGCTGAGAGGAGCTCTCAGTAAGGGACCGTCGGAAAAGTGCTTCTTTTTTTTTCGTTTTTCTGCTCCGCTCAGCACGAGCTCTCCCTGTTGCGACGCTTAAGTGTGTGTGTGTGTGTGTGTGTGTGTGTGTGTGTGTTTGTTTGTTTGGTGCTGTCTATGTTTGTGTATGTGTTTGAATGAGAGACAGTGTGTTGCTGTGTGTCTGTGTGTTTATAAAGATAGCTTGTTATAGCCTCCCCCCTAAAATATAACACTGTATATAGAAAGCATCGTCAATGCACCGTGATGCACCGAGAAATCGAATTGAACCAAAGGCATGATAATCGTAACCGAACCGTTAGACCAGTATAGGTTCACACTTCTAATATATACATAATTTTCAAAAGTATTACAGTACTTCGTAAACGTTTATAATGTCCATTTGTTGAGTCTCCCCATACAGTTTGATAGAGCGCTTGGACCCGGAAGCCACTTTGTCTGACGTCACACTTAACAAATCGATAGCACTGAATACAATATCAATATTGCCTTAAGATTTTAGTTAAAATTGGCCGCAAGACAAATCACATCTACCAAGAACATGTCATATCTACTTTGCAAATATTCTGCCAAACACTCCCTGTAAAGCAATGTCAAAGCATAATAAAGTGAATGAATATTATGCCTGATGACGATGTCGTGGTCTTTGATCAGAGACTCCAGGTGGCCTTCCTGGCTGGTGATGTCCAGCATCACGGCAATGGTGTTGGGGTATCTGGTTGCCATCTCTTCAGCCTGATTCAACAGATTTGATGCTGCAATGAAAAGATCACATAAGATTTGCGAAAGGACAGCGACTGCAGTTTTTACACTGTGATGCAACTGTATTCCAGACGAATTTTGCATTGGGAACATACCCACTGTGACCTGAGTGCCGGCGTCCCTAGTGAGATACTCGATAACTGGCCCAGACACATAGCCTGCACCCAGCAAAAGCACCCGCTTCATGCCGCCTTTCTTTAGGATCTGCTCCGATTCCCTGTTTGCCAGATGGTAGAGCCATTACTATTAACACACACACACACACACACACACACACACACACACACACACACACACACACACACACACACACAGTACACACACACAGACACACACACACACGCACACTATCACTGGCCAAGCAATCTGTGAAATCACAAAACATATCCTTCTGGATAGTGATCTAAAACCGATTGAAAGAGATGCAAAACCCACAAAAGGACACAGAAAGATCTTGTTCAGTTTGATTGTCCAGGAGTCGAAATCAAGAAAATTAAAATCTTTTCAATTTATGATAAGACAACATGTATACAGTAAATCACTAACTAGGGCTGGGTGATATGACAAAAATTGCTTATCATGACATAAGTCACCTCATGTACTGGTAATGATAAATGCATGTATAACAAAATTGTAATGTTCAATCAATCAATTCAACCGATTCATAGTTTATATATGAAGAGGGTAACACTTTAGTTTAGGTCACAACTCATGCTATTAACTACTGGCTTATTATCTGCCCATTATTACGATATGAACTGTTCATAAGTAGTAATAAAGTATGATCTTAATCTGCATCCCTAATAATACCCAAAACCTAAACCCAACTTCTCTCTTACTAACTATTAAAAAAGAACTAATTAGTCGTTTATTAAGCTAGTAGTGTTAGTTAATGGTTGGTTAATAGCATGAATTGTGATCTAAACTAAAGTGTAACCATGAAGAATTTGGAGTAACATTTTAAAATAATGGTTCATTATATAATGTATTTACGAACATGAAAAAAACAATTATTAAAACATTTATTACACCTTTGTTGTTGTTAGTTAACGTTATTTAAGTTGAACACTGTTAGTTCATGTTAAGTCAGGGTGCATTAACATGAATTATGAGTAATAAATGTTTTACAAGATGATTCATCCTTAGTTAATGTTAACTAATGGACCATAATTCTAAAGGGTAGCTGAGTTTGGTTCTAATACTGTATAAATCCACCTGGATTACTTTGAGTTTTTTTTTTTTCCAAGAACGTAGCATGAAAACCACAATTTTTTAGTTTTAAACCTTTGTGTGGCATCTTTAGGTTAGAATTCAATCAAATACTGATTCAAATTTTCAAAGATTTATTATAATTATATATATATATATATATAAGCCTATTATATTATATTATATATTTACTATCTCTCTATCGTAGTAGTAGTCAGAATTATTAGCCCTCCTTTGAATTTGTTTTCTTTTTAAAATATTTCCTTAATGTTTACCAGAGCAAAACTATTTTCACAGTATGTCTTAAAATATTTTTTCTTCTGTAGAAAGTCTTATTTGTTTTATTTTGGCTATAATAAAAGCAGTTTTAATAAAAAATAAAAAATAAAAAAAATTATCATAAAATTATTATCCCCTTTAAGCTACATATTTTCGATATATAGTCTATAGAACAAACCATCATTATTCAATGACTTGCCTATAATTACCCTAACCTGCCTAGTTAACCTTATTAACCTATTTAAGCCATTAAATGTCACTTTAAGCTGTATAGAAGTGCCTTGAAAAATATCTAGTAAAATATTATTTACTGTCATCATGACAAAAATAAAATAAATCAGTTATTAGAAATGAATTATTAAAACTATTATATTTAGTATTGTATTGAAAAAAATCTCTCTGTTAAACAGATTGGGGGAAAAATAAACAGGGGGCTAATAATTCTGATTTCAACTTCAATATATATATACATATATACTTACACTAAATGTAAAGGTCTATTTCTTTTTATACATGTAAAATAAATACTCAGAAAAAATATACATGGGATGTTTATTTAGAACTTCGGGGACAATGTTTGATTTTGAAATATAGGTCCTACTTTATATTAAGTGTCCTTAACTACTATGTATTTGCTTTAAAAAATAAATACAATGTACTTACTGTGTTCATAATGTATTTAAGAACACTTGTGGTTGGGATAGGGGTTGGGTTATGGACAGGTTTGGTGGTATGGGCAGGTTTAAGGGTGGGTTAAAGTGAAGGGAATGGTCAGCAGTGTATTTACAAATGTAATTACAGAAGTTAATTACAGATGTAAATACATACAGCTATTTAATCAAGCATAAGTACACAATAAATACATGTATTTACACAATAAATACATTGTAACAAACTATTAATTCCTGTGCAAGTACATATTAGTTAAGGCCACAACATAAAGTGGGACCGAAATATATAACAAACAATAATTCAATATAAAACAGTTTTCAAAAACTAAATAAATGCAGGTCCAAAAAATAAAAAAATAATAATAATTATGCAGTTTTTGCATTAAAAATATACAATTAAAGTCAGAACTATTAGCCCCCAGTATTTTCTCCCCAATTTCTGTTTAATAAACAGAAGATAATAGTTTTAATAACTCACTTTCACTTCTAACAGCTGATTACAGTATATTTGACCAGATATCTTTTAAAATCCTAGTATTCAGCTTAAAGTGCGATTTAAAGGCTTAAAGGATTTGTTCTATAGTAGGGCTGTAGGATATATTATTTTAGCATCCAGCATCCACAATAGTCACATCACAGGATCTGCAATGTTAAGAGTTGTTAACAGTTCACAGAGAGTTAAGTTGTTACCGTGTCTCGTTGCTTAATTTTATTGAATCATGTATACCATACATGCAGTATTCATTTAAATTTGAATATTCAATTAATGTATACCTGAATGCTGTTTGACGCCTCAAGCTTTGTTTATTTCATGTCTTTTGCTCTATTGTATTTATGTATGCGTGTAGATTGTTTATTACACTCAGCCCCTTACGAAATCACCCCAATCAATTTAAAATGATAAATTCTTTCTAAATAGAGCTATTCAAGTCACCTGTTGAAATTGTATTCATATTGCAATACATAATCGCAGAAAAGCTAAATATTACAATGTCAGATTTTTTCAATATCGTGCAGCCCTATTCTGTAGACAATCAAAAAAATCTTGCTTAAGAAAGCTAATAATATTGAACTTAAACTGTTTAAAAAAATGTCACTGCTTTAATACTAGCCGAAATAAAACGAATAAGACTTTCTCTAGAAGAAAAAATATTAAAGCAAAATACTGTGAAAAATTCCTTGCTCTGTTAAACATCATTTGGGAAACATTTAAAAAAGAAAAAAGAAATAAATATCACAGGGGGACAAATAGTTTCGACTTTAACTGTATCTCGTTAAATTAAAAGGTTGCAACTTTCTTACGATGCTGTTATTCGTGTTTCTGACTGCTTCCTCATAATGGTGCGTGATATTGTGCTCATATAAATTATGAAAAAGTGTTGGCGCAAACAATGCACTGTGACACAATGTACATTGTGCCATGAAATAAACATATGAAACAAACGACTTTTTAGTTTGTCCACAGATGTATATCCTTAAATCGCGCAGCCCTATCAGCAGAGGGGTGTGCAAAAAAACTGAGGAAAACACACAGATGTACTACTAGATCAGGAAGTTCTCGATTCAGAATATAATCAAGGGCGTTTAAGGGGGTTGTTAAAACAACGTTCTGCTCTGCGAGTCCCCTGGGAGACACATGTGATCCAAGAACCCCGTCGCTCAGCCTAATTGGATCTGATGCAGCACATGAGCGAAAAATGTAACACTTAACCCCCAACCACCTGCATGCCTTTCTCAAAATACCATTAAACGATGCATTCATAATAACCACTAACTATGGGTTTTCACTTCTATTTAGTGCTACTTATGAAAGATCACATAATTAGGTGCATTAAGTCATAAAGTGGCATATTTTCATATCAAATAAGAAGGGGTTTTCTTGGCCTTACAGTGATTTCTTATTACATAGAAGATGTTAAGAAGCTTGACTTGAAATATAAACTTCAATAAATGAGCAATTTATTAAAAAATAAATAAATAAATAAAATAATAATAAATAAAATAAAATAAACACATATACATATATATATATATATATATATATGCTTGTTGATGTTTAGCGATATTTAGTTGCACTGTCCTTTAACAGTCAGATTTTAAATCACAAGTAAACAACATAATAACATAACAACATACATAATTGTGTGTATTTTTATTATATGAGAGTTGCTTGCATGGCTTGAGATTTCTGTATAATTGATCACTTTAGACTAATTCCAAGACAAATGTAGACAAACTTAAATAATAAATACAAATTATAAATACATTAGAATCTAACTGAATTTTTAGAAATATATGCATTTATAAAACTAATAAAATAAAACTATGAATTATGTCTTATATATGTCTTATGTCCATATTATGTTTTTGGAGGAACTTAATTTAGCAACATTTTAAAAATACATTAAAATTACAACAATGTAGTTTATATTATATTCTATTTTTATTATCAAATAAAAAAATTCTTGACCTTACTGGGACTTTTTATTACATAGAAGACGTTAAGGAGCTTGACGTGAAAGTTGACGTTTTTTTTTTTTTTTTTTTTTTTAATGTTCAGCAATATTTTGTTGCACTGTCCTTTGACCATCATATTTTAAATAATTATTAAAAGTAAACAACAGCATAATAAACATAAACTGTACGCAACTGTATTTTTACTTTATGCAAGTTGGTTATGTGGCTCAAGAACTCTGTATAACTAATATAAAGAAATTTAATAAATAAATACAAATTATATATACATTAAAATCTAATAGATTTTTTAGAAATATATACTTTTATAAAACTAATAAAAAAAACTTTGAATATCATAAAATATTTACATATAAATGTCTGTATGTTTACGGAGAAACTCAATTTAACAGCATTTACATTTACATTTACATTTAGTCATTTAGCAGACGCTTTTATCCAAAGCGACTTACAAATGAGGACAAGGAAGCAATTTACACAACTAAGAGCAACAATGAATAAGTACTAAAGGCAAGTTTCAGGTCTGTAAAGTCTAAGAAGGGAAGTGTTAGTAGTTTTTTTTTTTTTTGTACAGTTAGTGTGG